TTCCTTGCAGTAGAAGAACGTGTGGTGTAAGGGAGTCAGTTTATTGTGTAACAACTAACCGTAGGGTTGAAGCTGTGCGTTGTTAGAGTGATACTGGCTGACATTTTATTTTACTTCTATATAGTTATATAGTACGTACGACCGTAGCGCAGTACTCTATTACAACTACCTAAGGAACGGTTCATTTTTTACTATATAATTCCTTCTTATTCTTGCATAAGAACGCTCACACTATGTCTCAATTCCATCACAGCACGAACATCAACAAAACATCATCCACAGAAAGCGCCCACGTCGCCATAAATTCCATCCACACGAATACGCAAACCCGTAACCGAATACGCAAAACCATCTATCTAACCAACACCGATACGAAGCCGCAAAGCCACACCACGCCCCCAGCGCACGTCCGAACGCCTAAAACGCGGCTGTGCCGTACGAGCTCCCTATTTTGCGCCCCAATCGCCCTTATAAGGAAATTGCGTATACTTAGTGCAGCAGACCCTTGCGCAGCCCCTATTAAGCCCGTTTAATTTAACGCGCGCCCCTAAAGATAAATCGCAGAACAGCGATGCAGACGTCCTGTTTTTGATATCACAGCGCAAGCACAAGCACAAGCACAATGTGGCAGAACACAAAACAGCAGAGCAAAACGGGCCTCGATAAGGCGTGGACGTGGGCGGGCAAGATTGATGGCCCGGCGAGTAAATTCTCTTTCTGGGCCTCGTCGCTTGACAAAGAAAGCACAAAGGCTGCGCGCATCCTGTCGAGTTTTTGCCGTAAGTTTTTGCGCTCTTCTTTCTTTTTCTGGGATTTGGAAGCTGATTGAAACGCGGTAAAGAGGAAGGTTTTAATAAGGATGCTTCGTCATCAACTGGTCAGCCAAGCAATAAAAAGCCCAAAGGCAAGGATTACGTGCTTAGGAAGATCCCGCCAGATGTAAGCACCTATCTTTATCTCTACCCCACTGCCCCATTTTCATAAATCGGCATTCGGCTAACCCTTCCCGCAACACGCAGGTCATCCGCAACGCAGTCGGCCTCGCAATCTTCAGCACGCTCCGCGCCGGCTTCCACGCCTCACTCGCCAGTGGCAGCGGGGTACTGCTGGCGCGAAAAGCCGACGGGACATGGTCGCCGCCGTCTGGAATCCTGCTGCACACTGTCGGCGTCGGATTCCTCATCGGCGTCGACATCTACGACTGCGTCCTCGTGATCAACACATACGAGGCGCTCGACGCGTTCTGCAAGACGCGGTGCACGCTCGGCGGCGAGATCAGCGCGGCCGCGGGCCCCGTTGGCGCCGGCTACAGCGTCGAGAGCGAGGTCGTGCTCAAGCGTGCGGCGCCTGTGTTTACGTATGTGAAGTCGAAGGGGTTTTACGCGGGCGTGCAGCTGGATGGCACGGTGATTATTGAACGGAAGGAGGAGAATAAGCGCTTTTATGGCGAGAGTGTGCCTGTGGCGAGGATTTTGGCCGGCGATGTCGATGAGGATTTGGAGTTGGATGCGGTTGCACCGCTTTGGGAGGCTGTGAAGGTCGCAGAAGGTCCTAATGAGCTGAAACAAGAGGGCACGATGGGCTTTCCGTTGATGCCGGATGGGACGCCCGTGGCTGAAGCCGCTGAGCCAAGGCCGGATCCGAGGAGACCTAGTATTAATTGAGGTGTTTTGAGGTTATATTCCGAGGTTTTTGCATTCACTGAAGCTGAAGCCCGTTCTAAATACTATTAGTAATTAATGTCCGTCACCGTGAATCGAGATGGTAATGATTGTATAGAGTGGAAGAAGATACCTAGTTAAGATATGTTAAGCATATGCGTGCTCTAAGATCTTTTCACCCATACCTAGGACTCGGGCTGGGACATAGGCAAAAAGTACTCTATAGGGACTGATTATGTTATGCACTGTTTCGCTAGATGGTGGATCTCGGTTCGCAGTGACGGACGTTAACGAGTTAGTAAAAGATAACTTCCAAGTTGAACCAACTCACCGTCCACGTGCAGTGTGGCATCATCCCGACCCATCTCCGGAAGCCGAGAAAGGAGATAATGTCGCGATGGCGCGCTGGCCCTTTCATTGCTTTCATGGCTACGTTCGACCTTGGACTGAAATAGCATCTTGCCTAATCTGGAATTGTGCAGCAAGATGCATATGTGAGTTGCGGCATCACCGGGTGACACTGTTGCGATGGCGCGATGGCAGGAGCCTCTCTCACCCTGCTACGTTCAATGCTGGGAGTAAATGCACATTACCTGATCTGGTATTGTGCAGCGAGATTCCCACAAGGTCCCGAACCATCTCCGGAGAACGGGGAAAGATGTTGATGTCGCGATGGCGCGATGGCCCTTTTCTCACTTTTCTCACTACGTTCGACGTTGGACAAAAAGACGCCTTGCCTGATTTGGCGGGGTGCCGCAAGCTGCTGACAGGGGTACTGCCTCGTTCGGTGGTCGTTGGTCTTCATCTTTGTACGTTCGGAACATGGGCTTAGGATATGAGAAGTCGAAGTGATGTCGTGGAGTGTGCGCTTACGGTGGTGGGCCTGGTGCGTGGTTGAGGCCAGGGAATTCCGTGGAAAAACCTTGGGTAGTGCATAAGTCGGGTGAATTCAAAACGGCGGACAGTTTTGATGTGATTGGTCGATACCAGTCAAGTAGCCGCACCATCATAGCCCAGTTAGCCTTGCACTTCAAAACGGTAGCAACTGCGAGAAACCAGCATGATGTACAAACGCAGTTGAGTCATCTTGAGTTCAAACTTCATGTTACTGGCTCAGCCCCAGTCAAAGAACCGCCAGTTCAGCACGGGTGGTGACCTTAACCGCAGCCGCGTTCAGACAGCCACCAGTTCAGCATTGGGTGACCTTGACCAGATCCATTGACCTGGAAGTTCGCCCTGCCGCGACGTGGTGAAATTGCCCTCCTGCGACCTTGGAAGTTCGACACGTAGCGACCTGAAGCAGTTATTGACAGATGCAGCAAGTGGGTGAGTGTCAATCCAGCGAGAACTTGAAAGACGACGCGTCCGCGCGTGTGCGTGTGAGTGTGCGACCGTGAGGCGTGAGGCGTGTGATGGTGCGCGGTGTGAGCGAGTTTGGCTAAGAGCGTGCGTGGTGCCAGCATGGGAAATTGGTTATGAGAAGAAAAAGAAGGGTGGATTTATGGTTTGGAGGTTCCAAGATGCGGGAAGATGTTGCGTGGGGAGGTCGGCGTCAGTGAACAACCTTATCTAAGTTCCTTGAGTCGCGCCTTCCGAATCTGTCTGGACCGGCTTTTTAGCCGTTAGGTGCCGCGCCGAGCGTGAAATCCACTACTGTTTAGACGTGGATGTGAGATCATTGCGGTCCGCGAAAGTAATGCTCGTGAAGTGCTTCCGCTTCAGGAAGACGAGGCCGCACACGCGAGCTACCCGGTGCCTTAACCAACATCCAACAACAGCACACTTCACTTCATAAAACGAACCTTCCAACATCGCATCTGATTATCCAAGCCAACAGTATAGTCTCCACCTACACCATGTCCTATCCTTCACCATACACACAACCCTTCCACCACCCCATTGATCAACCCCACACTGCCATAATTCGCAAGCAGGTAATACCCAATCCAACCCAATCCAATCCAATCCAATCCAATCCAATCTAATCCAATCCAATCCCACACGCACCAACCTCCAACCACCCTCCCATCTTCATCTCAACCTTTCAAAACTCCCATTCCAAGTCTCCTTTCTCCGCACCCGTAGTAGCCGCAGAAGCCTCACGCGAACGCCGCCGCGGCTGCCTCAGTATCGCGCTTAGTTCGAGGAGGTCTGAAGACGAGGAATTGTCATCATCATCGTCGTCGCCATCGTCATCCTCGTTAGTTAGGTCTATGTGTGGTGCGTTTCCTTTCGCATTCGGTTTGTTGCTCTGTTTCTTTTCCTTTTCTTGGCCCGTACGTCTGGTATGAGAATTGTACGGCCGCTCGTCCGTACGCTCTAAAATGCTGGGGATAGGCGGAGCTTGTGCCCGTGGAGACGTTGATGGTAATGGTGATGGTGGTGGTGGCAGCGTGTGCTGAGCCTGAGCGCGGCGGTGCAGCGTCGAGGACAGGGATGAGCCCGGCCTAGCGCGTGGTGCGGCTGACTGGAGCGAGGTCGCGCGTCTGTGGTGGTGGTGGTGGTGGTGGTGGTGCTGCTGCTGCTGGTTTGGGGACTGAGGTGCAGTGTACTGGTGCGCGTGCCATGGCCATGATGTTGGTTGTAGAAATTTGGGTTGGGATGGTGGTTGCTGTGTGGACTGGGCTGGGGGTTTGGGCGGGAGGAGGTGTGGTCGGCGTCCAGGAACTGATTGTAGTGAGGTGGCTTGTTTGTGCTCTTGGTGGTGATGCTGTCGGGTTGGAGGCTGGAGGGAAGTGTACTGCTGCTCGTTCTCAGGACGTGATGTGCTGTGTAGCGGCTTAGGTTGTGGTGTAGTTTGCTGTGTACGCTGTGCTGGAATGCGAGGAAGATGCTGTGAAGGGTCGCGCGCTGATGTACGCTGTGGTGACGTGTGGACTGTGTTCTCCCGCTGCTGATGCTGCTCTTGCTTCGCTGGCTCCGGAGCACGGTGAAGACGCAAACGCTTCGGCGGCGGCGATGGTGTTTCTTCATCACCACCCTCGCTATCCACTTCGACAATCTCACCCTCTTCAATCTCTCCCTCCTCAACCTCACTCTCACTCCCATCCCTCGCAACAACATCCCTCCCCCCCGGAAACGCCCGTTCCCCCAGCCCCCTCGTCAGCTTCATGACCTCCACCCCATCCCCCCTCCCACACCCCCGATCCAGCATAATCAGCCTCACCGCCGCCTCGGGCACCAACACCCTCACCACAACAGCCTGCACGCTCCACCCCTCCGCGACCTCAATCCTACGACTCGCAATCCACTGCCCTAGGACCGACCGCCCCGTAACGCCATAGTACCCCGGCACCCACGAGACAGTGTCCCCGATACTCGCGAGCGACACCGGCGCATCCGCCCGCAGGTCCCCCGCCCGCGCAAAAAACGATGACGTCCACGGCCTACGCCCATATGCCTGGAGCGCCGGGACGAAAGGCTCGCACCGCTGTGGCAAAGCGTCAAAGTCGATGTCGGTGTCTACGCTGAAGCGGTCGCGTAGCTCCGCCCGCGCGGCTAGGATGTTTTCTTCTCTGGCATGCGCGGCTTGGATGGCGATGGGGACGCGCGGGGGCGTCGGCGGGCGCGGGTTGAGCCGCTCGGCGGCTTCTTCGGCTTCGTGGATGGCGTAGATACGTTGGGCGGCTTCTTGGAGCGCTTTTGGCAGCGGTTGCATCGTCTTTTGGTGCGGTATCGGCGGGCGTTTGAAGATGGGTGGGGGTGGGCGTGGCGGGAGTGCTGGCTTGGGTCGCGGTGGGGCGGATTTGGGAGCGAGGGTTTGGGCGGGGCGCCGGGGCGGCGCGATCAGGCCTTTTGGGAGGGCTTTGTGGGTTCGGGGGTGGGCGCTGGTGTTTGTGCTGGGTTTGTTAGTCTTTTGCATGTTGGTAGGGACTTGGAGGCTTACTTTGTTGTGCTCGGACGGGTCGCGGAAATGAAGGAGGAGTGGGAAGCAGTCCTGACGGAGAGGACGCGGGCGCCCGCGCGGTGTGCTGTCGCTACCCGCACGTCGGATCGCTTGTCTGGGATTTCCGGCGCACTGTCCGGGTTTTCTTCGTCATCCATGGTGTTTTTTGTTGTTTGGTGTTTGTTTTGTGGTCTGAAGGCGAGCTGCGTTTGCGTTGACGTTTGCTGCCCGCAGAAAGCTTCCGCTGTGCCCATGTTTTCCTAATGAGGCTAGCACATTACTCTAGCGCGTTTCGAGCTGGTTACCATGGCGAGAAGACGATGTGGCTTGACATTTTACTTTCTGTGTACTTGAAAAACAACGAACGATCCTTGCGGCTCGTAATGATGAGTTCCTAATAGGTGGAGTGAATACATAGTAAAGCTCTCACACTATGTAACTGCTGACGAAGGAGTTCAGGTTCCCGGCTCTTAAAGGCGGACGGGTACCTGCACATCTTTGGTCAGAACGGAAGAGGGATAGCCTTTCGACCCAAATGCCATAACGTGTTCATGTAAAAGTGATTATACTTATCCATTTTGGTTTCTTTCTTTTTGCTTCCTAGATGCCACGCTTTTATCGTTTTCCTCCTCATACAGTCGTACTGGCTGGGCCGTCCTGCATTAGAATACTGCCTTGTATTCCTTCCGATGAATGAGGCGCGTAGGCTACGACTACGTTGAATCCTTTTTCGCCTATGTTGCCGCTTAGCTATATACTTCATAAATACACATTCACGCGTAGTAAATAAACACATATGTAGAGAGCGAGCGGAGTAGGATGAAGGTCAGAGTTTGTAATACTAGGACTTGAACAATTTTGTGATAGTTAAAATAGGACTGCGCGCATGATGAGGTTGAAGAGTTTGTTTGGGGGTTGATTGGTTAGCTGGATTGGAGGAGCGGATGTCGTGAGAAGTGAGGCATTTTGGACGCACTGTTCTTTCGTGAAAGACTTAGACAGTTGGATTGGTAAAGTGTTTGACTAGAGAGAGGTAGTTGATATGAAAAGTTCGTAACGACCGCTTTGTTTGTCTTTGTTTGTCTTTGTTAAGGAAATTCCAGCGTCTCTGCCTCCCACTCACTAATGAACGTTTACATCAAAACCGAGATGCGCCTGCCATCAATCGCTGCATTTAACTTTCTTCAGCACCACTCTTGATCCGAAATCTTCGATTGAAGCCTGGATTTTGCTTGGTCCAGTCTTTCACCCCTTTATCATCCATCATGGTCGCATTTTCCAATACACTTTCCGTCTCTACCGATACCAACTGTGCGACCACTTGCCAAGAGTTATGAAGGAGCGATATTTGTGTTCCTTTGTAAAACCAGACTGTGACGACAATGAAGAGGCTAAGGTGTATGGCCAAAGTTGTCGCGACTATGATGAAACCGTTGTAGCGTACTGGCATCTGGCATGGGACCCTGGAGACTGTGTTTACGTCGCTCATGCTGTCAAATGTTGGGAGCCAGTCATAGTAGGCCATGCGATAAACTGTTGTCATGAGTGCTTGCCAAGCCAGGGCGGGGTTGTCTGTCTCAAGGATGGTATCCTGGAAGATGGCATTGAGGACTTGACTAAGCATGTAAACGGTCCCAGGAAAATATGTAAAAGAGCATTTTGTGCATGGCGTATATAAAGGGGGAATGATTCCCAATATAGCGTTGAAGATGTCATATGTTTCCCTCTTGAAGTATTGGCTCTTAAAGAGCCTAGAGGTGTTAATTGACTTGTTAGTGGTCCAAAGGTCAGACGTGTCGATGCTTGTATTTAGAAACCATAGTTTTGGGAAATCATCTTCTTAGAATGCGTCAGAAATTTTGTTTTGAACGGCATGAAGCGACTGCTTACCTTTGTCCATTGTGACATTCAAATTGGGTGACCACTGATGGCTATATGTACTTATCGTATTCTTTAATCCGCCAATGTCTATCTCTAACGCGCTATTGGTATTGCTTTTTTGCGCAGTTGCAGCTAATTGCTGTCTAACAGCAGTTGTGTTGAAGTCTAGGGTTTTAGAGTTCCAGCTCAAGGTTGGCTCAGGTATATGATTTCTTCGGGCGGCTGTTATTGGGTACTGTTGGAAATGTATTATTTTTTGTTCTTGCCTCGTATAATTAAGCTACATGAGTAAGCTTTTCGTGGTCCAAATATTCTCGAGTACTTACAGTGCATCAGAACACATAGTTATACTAAGATGAGTTGGAACGTTGTTCGAAGAGTTGCCCTTTGCTGGGATCGAAAAATCAATCCATACACCATTTTCCTCTTTAATAAGGTTTTTACGAGTCTTGGGATCAAAGAAATCAGTTGCGGGTTCGTGATCGAACAAACTGGTCATATTTCCCCCCAAGCGAAGTAGAAGGAAGGATCCGCCGAGGTTAACCGGCCATTCTTGACCGCCGCTTCCATTCGATGCCATCCAAGTCCAGGCATAATCGTAATCTCCTGACTCTGGTGTCTCGAATTTCTGGAAGCGGTAATCTAAGGAACTGTTGAAGGTGTGGTCTAAACTGTTTATTAAGCCTCCTGCGTATAGTCGACAAATCTTGAATGATGGCTCTGGTAGGATATCATAGTATTCCACATTACAATCAAAATTGTATGTGTCTATACTTTTGTCGTATCGTAAAATTTGCTCGAGTTCTTCAGTAAGTGCAGCGGGCCATACATTTCCATGGATGTTTTGGGATTCGGGACCGTCTACGTCAATTACGTTTCCAGTGATATTTGGTCGCATGCAAGCAACACGGGCGTCAAAAACCGTGGCGTCACCTTTATAGATGTTGAGATTGAAACGGTCGAGCTGAGAATTAATAGGGAGAAGGGCCCGAATAGTCGGTCCAGTATCGACGACCGAGTTGATGTAAACGTCAGGCTCTCTTTTCCATTCCGCAAATTCGGGGAATATTTGAGGGGTTGTCTGCCAGTAGAGTACGTCATGCTCGGCCTTTGCATAGATTATTTCTTTGTAGGCCATCATACTCATTCCGGTTCCCGCAGAGCTTGTTCGTGGAAGTCCTTGTACGAAACTACTGCTGATATCCCAAAGCAGTAACGTTGATGTAGCTTGAGATATCAGAGTGCAAAGGGCAAGTATACAGATGACGGAAAAGATGGCTCTGCATTTCAGGCCTCCCAGTCGCCCGCCCGCGGGCGGCAGGCGGGCGGGCGGGCTGATTATGTAACAGCCCGCCCGCCTAGGCGCCCGCCCGCCCGCCTAGTAGGAAGTTATCCGCCCGCCCGCCCGTTGCCTGCAGGCGGGCGGATAAAAGTGGTCTGTGCGTGTTTTTTTTAGGTATTCTAAGATTTCTAAGATCCGAAGAGTCTAGGTTCAATTCCTAGTAAATATAAAAAGTATTGCACTTATTTGCGTTTTATTTTTTTCCTTTAAGTTTTAGTATTCCTCGCTAAGATCGGGCTTAGCAGCCGCCTTACCCAATACGGAAGGTGGATCGTCTATTAACCAATCAACGTTAAACCTTAAGTCGACCTACCCGCCCGCCCGCCTAGGCGCCCGTCTTCAGCCCGCCCGCCCAAAGGGCCCGGGCGGGAGCGGGCGGGTGACTGGGAGGCCTGCTGCATTTAGGAGGCCGTCCACTACTCAAAAAGGGCATGATAGATGTGAGTGGCCCTGTGTTTACGTATCGAGCAAGTGATAGTGCTGGTGCTTTCGTCAAGAGCACACCTCTCGGGGCTTCGAAAGATAAAGCTGCAAGCATTGTTACAGCTGTACTCGCTTGCGTTGCGACGGCAAAGCGTATTAGCAACGTAGATATTGTGATAGCCTGCGAGATCCACCTATTGGCCATGATGTGCCTCCAGGAACTGATGTTGTCGTCTCCGAACCAGAGAAATGAGAGGAATGAAAGGGCTGCTAATAGAAGAACCATAGCACAGATATTCGACCAAAGTAGGTATTGCCCTAGGCGCTTGAGAAATGGGAATTTGGCAGATGTGGAGTTGCTGGAGAAGAGATGTTCTGAAGAAGACGTTCGGTGCTGCCATTGATTTGTGCTTGCTGAAGAATTATCATGAGACTGTTCTTGGTTGGTCATGAGACTTTTGGAAAGGTTGTGGCTCTTGGTTCCAGGTGTTTTCCGGCGAGGAAGGGCAAGTAATGAGTAGCTTGACTTTAGAGACATTTTGGATGATGTAGATGAACTATGACGAGAGTGATGGCACATTTTAATAGTCAAATGATTAACTGTTTCACGAAGTTTCAGCTGATATCCGAAGGGCTAACACGGCAGAATTCGACCCCCACTTCTGCAATTGAGGCAAAGGAAGGAAAAGCTGCAGCCATCCAGGTAACACAAGAACCAATAAACAAGCTTGCCACGGTATTTGAAGGGCTCGGGTGCATACACAATTACAGTAGTGCTTGTTTTAAAAAGATAATGTGGATTAATATCCCAGTTCATCTTAAAATTCGAACAAATAGTACGCAGACTCAAGGGCATTTGCATTGTGAAGATGGCACAAGGGAAGAGCAGAACTACGCAAATATACCAGCGGGAGTTTTTATGGCTCATACCATCTGTTCCACAAAATTTTTTATGTAGGTAAGACTGCTGTGGCCCCGTGCGACAGAAGAATCAAGTTTTTTTTCCCACTTGCATAGAAGCCTGATCGCTTAAGGGTTAGCGTACCGGCTCCGTCCATTGCTGGCTGCCTATGCTTTTTAATAGAAGGTGTTACTGAAACAAACGCAGTGAAATCTGAAATTCAGCCTCGCGCTTTATCACTCATAAGAGGTTCTGCCTAATTCTGCACGCCGGTAGTCGGTAGCACGGGGCTTACAGTAGCTCTATCTATAGAAGGCCTGACTAGCCAGTCCCGGTCTTGTACAACTTCGAGCTGAAGTGGTACAGCTACCCCGCCACTTCCTGTTTCCACGATTCACAAAAGTGGGAGAGAGCAACGCAATCCACTGCGCCCACCTCTCCTGCAAACGCTTTTGCAAACGCTTATCTATTAATTAATCAGAGTATACAACCCTCCCGTCGGCGCCAAACAATGTGAGGAACGAACCGCCTACCGTTCTTTGCTCCTGATAAGCTCAACTCTACAAGTACCGTCTACTACCATCCCCCTAAACCAAGCCCCGTCGGGACGGGGCTGTTCTCTGCGTGACGCTACGGAGACAGACATGACGGTTCGCTAGCTAACCGCCCGCTTGACCGGGCCGACGGTGATGAGGCTGGACGATACCATACTCTGTTATTGATCAGCCATTAACCCCTAAAACGTTCATTCTCATTTATGGCTCTACTGGACACATAGATATACCCATCCCTTACGCTACTTATCTCGCTCACAACCACAACGACGGCGACACCACTGCATCGCTTCCGGGTCTCATATATGCGAGGTTATGCTCGGAGGGCGAAGCCTTTAAGGCTAAGGGAAGCGGCATTGTTGAAGTTAATATTATCACTGTTGCTGGTGTGGGGAGAGTTTATGCCGGGAGTGAGCGAGAAGGCTGTTGACATGCTCACTAGTCAAGGCATTTGTAGGCCTGATGAGGTATTGAACCGAGCTACGATACAGTAAAGAACCTTGAAATCGCGTTGGCGACTCCATGGACTTTTAATTTGTTTGGGTGATTATTGGCCTCTCTCCAGCAATGTTGCTCCGGCAGTAACGGCTGTTGTTGTTCAAAAATGCGAAATTGTCGTAGCCTCATTAACTCCTCGTTCAACGGACCCGTTTTTGAGCTGGTTTATGAGGGTTAATTAACCAGTATCGAAAAGTCCTCTTTGTACGACGTTCTGATTGAGGTCGGCTAGCGTCTCTATCCTTAATAAAAACCTTCTTTCTCATCAATCTATCGTTTTCCCCGCTTGCAGCCTCATCAACCGCCGATGCTTTTTTACCCCAAGAACGGTGATTCCCTGATGCTATGTGGCCATGTTCGCCGCAAAGGCCTCCCTCATGGTTCGCAGGGCGTTTGCATTGCTTGCCGTTGCTGGTGCAAGTTGCGGCGCAGCGCGGCTTAGACTTTGTCGAGTGTGTGGTAGTGTGGACGCGACAGTGTTCACACCCGTCCAGCGAATATCGGATGCATCGCTTGCCGGTAGCATCGTCGATTGCCCTGCAGCGGGGGTTGCTGGGCGTGGACATGTGGTATTTGCAGAGGTCGACCCCCTTCTCGGAGGTAAGTTTGCATCGCTTGCCAGAGTTGTGGGCGATTGCGTGGCAGCGTGTATCAGTCTCGCCTCGATGGTGATGGCAGTAGTAGTGGCCGTACGAGGTCGCATTCTTGCATTGCTTCCGTGAGCTGGGCGCGACGGCGTGGCAGCGGGGGATGTTGACAACGGTCGTGGTGCTGTCGATCGGTATCTCCGAGGGGCCACTGTCGCCACTGCTTTTGCTACAATTGGTCCTTGAACGTGCTGCCCCAAGTGTGTTTGTAGGCGGTGCTGGGGTTTTGGGACGGGAGAGCGTGCTCCATGCTCTTGTTTGTGCGATTTGACAGGGTGTGGACAACGGCAATCGACCGCGTATAGCCAGACTGAATAACTGCCGGGGATACGGCCTGATATGAATCATTGTATTGAAGTGGGGAGATACAAGGTTGCGATGATCCAACCCTGGTGTTTTGGCATCGTCGTACAAAACAAAGCCCGCCAATCCTTTGTGAGGCACCAGCCTCCTTTGTACAACAGCCTGTCAAGCATTGGATCTGAAGATATGCAGGGGTAGAGCTGCAGACCCCACACTTGCTCAAAGCCGTTCAATTTAACGCGTCTTTCAACTCGTACCTCCTCGGTCCAACTCCTACAAACTACCACAATGTTCAACGCCAAACCGCCTCTTCGCCCATTGTTAAGACTAGGGTTTTTTGCTCGAAGTTCCCTCTCCCAACAACCGCGACAGTCTTTCCACAATCATCAAACAACACGGACCAGAACATGGAGTATAGTTTCTCGGCCCTGGATACGAGCACTGCCAACAACGACGCCTTCAGCAATCTCAACAAGAGCCAGCGGTAGCAGCAGGAACAACAATAGATTCATCACCACCGGCAGCGATATAAGAAGCGTCTCTACAAAGTCAACCCCTTCAGTTAAGGGTACCGTCTCTACTCCTACCAAAGAAAAAGCCACGAACCCAAAGTCGCCCACCAAACCCACCACCGAAGCCAGGAGCAGCAATCCCAGACCGCAGTGCATAGCCAAAAGTACCGGCAAACAATGCAAAAATTGTGCGTTGGAAGAGGATAAATACTTCCGGCACCATACCAATAACCTAAGCGTGCCAGCGGCCTGGCGAAAATTCGACAAGTTTATAGAAATAGGAATGTTGAGACTAAGAGTAAGAGATAGGGAAAGAAATTCCGTAAAATGATTGGATATACGATATTTAAGGATTGTCGGATTCCTAGCATGCCTTGCCACTTCTGTTCTGAAGACACCCAGGATAAAGCCTCAGGACTAGTATGGGGTAGGAAGAAACTCTCCACTCTACTCTTACTCGAGAAACACCTTCCAAAAACCGGTTTCCTTGTCCGCTTTTGCGTCCCACGTTTATCTTGTCATCGAACAGCATAGATGTATTCGTTAACTTAACAACAGTTAGCAGGCTCCTGGAGAACTGACACGATCGTAGTAGACAAACTTATGCAAACACTAGTTTCCTAGTACTGCTATTCACACAGCTCTAAGATTTTACACTTACAAAGGAAGGATAAGCAAAGTAGTAACAAAGAAAACAACCTAAACTACGACCTACTCAATCAGCTCTCACAAACTTCAAATTTCCGTCTTCATTACGAACAAGCATCGCACGCATAGGTCCTGCCTTTTTCGCCAGTAACACCGACGTTTCCTTCGTGTCCGAATCCAGTACTAAATCCTCCTCCTCCCAGCCTTCAAGACCATGAAAAAGGAAAGCAATAACCGACGACTTCAACAAGGGCTTACTGCTTTTTGCATTGTGAAGAATCGTCGTGACCAGGAGCGATGCAGTGGAAAGAACCACAAAGATGGGGAACGAAAGCCACTGCCAGTGGACGTTGATGTACGTCTCCGGCACATATGCCTCGCCAGAGACCGCGGTACTGTTGTAGTTGACTGCACTGCGCATCATTGCGTTAAGCACGTTTGCGATACCGGCCATGACGTCCTGGGCAGGGTGATCGTACAAGTAGACGTCTGCTATGGCGCGGCTAATGGGGGAACCGGGGAATGTCATGGGCGAGATGTCCATTGGCGTATAGTTGAAGTTCAGGAATGGTTCGAGATAGACTTGTAGACCGTCTGTAGTCGTTCGGCGGACGCCGTATTTGGTAGATGTAGAAGTGTTTCCGCCGTCCGAATACTCAGTATATACGGTTCCGTATAAAACATCCCTGATGGAGCCTTCATGGCCGTCTGCATTAGGTGGTCCGTAATAGTCTTCCTCTCGGCTTGTGACTACGACGTCTTTTGTTGTAACGTCTGCTGTATGTTTCCCATCTCGGAAAACTACGTTGTCAAGGTGTTGTACGCAATATTTCATCTCGCATACAGAAACGCTGGCGGTAACGTTTGCACCCCATACTTGAGATTGGTCGCTCGTAGATCTTAATGCTGTGAGGGTAAACCACGTATCATGTTCCCAGAACTTTGTATTTATTGTAAGGTGCGGATCTCCCACGTCTTCCAGGGTAAAGTTGACAGCAGGAAATGTTGGTAAGTTGGGGTCGCCAGTGTACGATAGGTCGAGATCTTGGTATTTGCAGTAAGCGACCATAGTAGAAAAATCAACTTGATCCTTGTTCGAGATATAGAAATCGGACAACGACGAGAAATTATGGAAGCGTTTTGCAGTAAAGTCTATACCATCCAAATAGATCGTATAGTTGCAAGCTAACGAATCCGATGCTGCAATCGTATAATTCCTGCAGCTTGAGCAGAATCCGAATGTAGTCAGCCTTGGCCAGCGGCAGTCCGTAGTAGGGCATTCAATGGAAGGACGTTCGGAAGCAGCCTTGGTCGTAAAGACTGACGATATAAGGGAGTTTGCATCCACAAAGGCTGACAGGGATTCAGGACCCTCGCTTGGTATCATGTAGAAACCGGAGGCCACAGCAATTGATGAAGTGGTGTTTTGCAAAGGTGCGTTTCGCGTGGGATAATCGATGACCTGCTGGGCCGTTGGTTCAAAGGCCAAGGCAATAATGGTGACGAAAGCTGCCACGCCAGCAGTAACAGCTGTGAATTTTGTTTTCCAGAGGAACATGAAGGATCCAAACGGGCCTCTGCTAGCGTCGTCGAACGCTTGAAGCTGGCTGAGGCTTCTTGCAGAGGAAAAGTAAACCCATTTTAGCTGGCTGATGCATTCGGCAAGCGGCATAAGCAAAGCTGACCGTGCTATTGTCGAAATGACTGCAATAAGCGAGTTGGGTTTAATCGGCAGCTTCCATGCGGATAGGGCTTTTCCGTGCATGGACCAGAGTATGACAATGATCAGCATGATGCAGATCACGCTGACCACAACGCCAGCAGTCTCCCACCACCAGCCCCATTCTAAAGGCGCGGTTTTTCTTTTGCCTTGAAGAGAGTTTGGCTTAGACGAATCATCGCATTCTGATACGCTATTGTTGAACGCAGACTCTCGTTTTAAAGGTCCTGCGTGCTGTGGTCCACCCTCGGTTCCAGGTTGTGGTTGTTCCAGGTTATCATCAAATACCGGGACTTGGGGGATCGAAGAATAATCTTGGTTTCGGAAGCTCGTAGCTTGGTCTCCCGTCGGTGGCAAGGGTCCTTCCATATCTTTGATGCGAATGACTTGAAGCGAAAGCGATGTATTCAAAGAGAATGGAGCATAGTGAAGGCAGGAGAAGGTGAATGATGTGCGTACCTATACTTCGGAAGTGCAACTACCCCTTTTTGAGACAGTGCGGCGGTTAGCATGATCATTGGAGCGTAGATGCTCAAATTCTGCACGATCTGCGACTCGCTGTGGATTGATGTGGATCGTGGGGGCCGAAAGCAGACTGTGCCGCAAGCCTACGCGCAGAATGAGAAGGTGCTCCACCGAATACGAACATACCCGCTTCTACCGCGTAGGGTTTGTCTCAGCTTTATAGTTTTGAGGGCGGGACCGCAAAAAAACCCGGTTCATATCACTAGTAACATGCAATAGGCGCCGAACAATTTAACCACTTCTTTCTACCTACCAACTCTTATAGAATCTAGTAGATAGTATAAAGATTATTAGTTAATCTACGACAATAAGATATAAAACGACTCTGGGCAGTTATCGTATATATGGTTAAAATAGGTAGTTAAATTACCTAGAGCCTATATATAATTATACTAACCAGCACCTATACTATCCACCCCCGCCGCATCGAGAGCGAGAAAAAAAAGAAAAGAGTACTTATAAAAAGCCTATAAGCAAACGTTATATAATTCTACCTAAAGTGAATCCCTTAAAAAACAAACCGATGCATAAAAAAAAGTCACTTACAAAAAAACAAGAAAATCAAAATAAACATGCATCAGCCGCGAATCGAACGCGGGGCCCATCGATGGCAACGATGGATTTTACCACTAAACCACTGATGCGTTGTTGGGGTGCTATCTTATCGATAAGATTTATTTTGCCAACACAATAAATATTCAAGTAAAACTGGCTTGCGCATTTAGCGAAAACTTCTGAGACGCCGACTTCACGTCGCAAACACAGAACTACAATGAAGACACTACCTAAAGCTTTTATCCACCAAACTCCATCATTTTGTCGATATGCGCACCCACACCCACACAGCACAGCACAGCAAGCCTCCACCACCTCGCACAGAGTCTCGCCCGCCTGTCCATCCAACTCGAGACTGAGGCCGAAGCTGGCTGCTAGACAGCTAGACAGCCATCGCAGCTCGAGTGGGTATTAAGTATGTATTTATACTAAGTATATTAGCTAGTTAAGTCTCAACTATTACTGCTTGATCTATCGCTCCCCGAGAAGTCAACTACAAGGACAAAAACCAGCACGCATTAAAAAGGCAAAAGCACAAACAAACAAACCCCGCACGCGCGCATGCATGCACATCCGCATCCGCGTCCGCAACCCCGTCTACATAAAGACATCGCATCACTTCGCGCCAACCTCTCTGCGCTTGACGGGACGGCCTCGCTCCTCCTCCCCGCTCGTGGTGTTCGTGCCACGTCCGCGCTTCTCTCGCTCCTTCTCGCGGTCACGCTCTCTGTCTCTGTCTTTCTCCCTCTCAGCACCCGCCTTCCTAGGGCTGATCTTTCCTCCCCCGTCCCCACCGCCACCAGCAATCCACCCACCCACACCACCCCGTCCCCTACCAACACAAACCCCAGCATCCTCTCTCACGCCCTCAGCCCACACGCCCAAACCCCAACGATGCACCTCATCGACCCACCGAACGCACTCCCGCACCTGCTCGTGCAGCAGCATACTCCCGCGCGCAACCCGCCGCACCGTACAGCCCTCCCAGTCGCCACCAGGCGAGACGCGCACGCGCGCGCACCAGACGGCGTAGTCGGCGCCGGCGACGCTGAGGCCGTAGTGGCGGAGGGCGTGGGCATCCACGTGCACTTCCTGGCGGATCTGGAGGCGCTTGCGATGGAGGCGGAAGCGGTTGTAGAGCGCGATGGCGGCGGCGAGGGCGATGGTGTGGGCGGCAGTGAGGTGGGCGGTTGGCGCGGAGACGGCGGCGTGGGAGACGGTGAAGTACGGCGCGAGCAGCTGCTGCGGCGGCGCCAGGTGGATGTAGTCGGCGGCGGCAGCCCAGGTGCGCGCGTCGAACGCGGATGGCGACAGGAAGTACGTCGCGCCTGGGCGGATGTCGAAGAGGGCCGCTGCGGCGGCGGTGTCGGGCGTCACGGCGTCGTCGGTGTCCAGCAGCGGCGGCGCGTGCCAGGGCTCCTTGGACTTGGGCGCGATGGCGTGCATGATGGCGCGCTCGGGGACGAAGCCCGTGTCCTTGGTGTTGGTGCCGGATCCAGAGACAGGGCGGCGGCACTCGCGCTTCAAGAGGTGTTCGTAGACGGCGACGCCGTGCTCAGAGGCGTTGAGCTCGCGCAAGGCAGCCCACTCGTCCACGATGGCCTGGACGGTCTTGTCGTCCGTTGTGAGCCAGATCCGCTCGGCCTGTACGCCCGGCAGGTTCTTGTAGTAGGCGGGCTCGTTGCCGTGGAAGGCGTCGGGAAGACTGGTTCCAAAGTGCTGCCAGACGTCCTGCGTCTTGGCTACGCGGACGTCGTCGAGGACCTTGATGCCGCGCAGTGCGAGGATGGCTTCGAACTCGGGGGTGCCGAGCATGTCGGTCGTGTCGGGTGAGAGTGGCTTGCTCATGGTGGAAGGAGCTTTGGGGTCGGAGGGAGCTTTCGGGGCGGTCGGAGGCTTGGGCGCAACGATGAGGTCGGTGGGATTGACCGCGGCGACTTGCTCCCACAGATCGTGCGTCCTGTAGGGGTCGGTGTCGGGAGGGTTGTCGTCGGAGGCGCTGCCGGAAGAGGATGATGTGCTTTGGCTGATGCTCGTAAGGCTGGAAGGGCTTGAGAGACTTTCCTTGCGACTGGACTCGGACTTGATCTTGTGATGTTGCGGCTTCGGCTTGCGGGGCGACATTCTGAACGGATCTAATGAATCGGATCGATGTCAAACAATTGTTGATGGTGTCAATGTCGCGGATTTCTGGATGTCAGAAAAATTTTATTTTTCTAGGAAGCTGCCGTGTGAAAGGAAGCGCGTCTTACATTGCGTGTTAAGGAATAATTTCCTACATCTCGTAAGTGGCTTGCGACTGTACCTACTAGCCAAGATTGCGTGATGGTGTTTAGTGAATTCATCAAATATGAGCGGCGCACAGGCTCTCATAAGTCTTTCACCAGACAATAGCCCACATGCACTACAAGCACCCTCGTTTCGGCTTCTTCCGCATGTTCCCGTTTCTTCCAGGCGCTTCCATCGCATACCATTCGCTCGAAGACCAGCAAGTGTCAGTGTCGGAAGCACGATGTTCTTATCTAGTTATTTGCCTTCGGGGGCGGCCAGCAAGCTACATAGTGAATAAAAACTACAATCAGCGAGAGCAAATAGGTAGGACAAGCGGTGGCGCACTACCAGGTGTTTTTTAAACTTTTCTTGTCGTTTCTATCTTCTTTCTAAAAACATCAATCGCAAGATCCGTCCAGAGTCCACCCAATTTGTTAATACCCAAGCTGCCCCAAGGGAAGGAAGGCAAAGCAAGCCTTACTACAGAACCCTTGGCAACAGAATCATCGCTAAGAAAAACTAGTTTCGCATAAAACCCACCCCAGAAGAATCCAGAAATAACCACCCACCCGCCCTTCCAAGACCCAATCGCCATTTAACCCGTCCTCCAGATAGCAAGGATGATGCACCAGGCAGCGAGCTCCAGGTAGCGCTCCCGCAGCTCTCCAACCACCTGCGCGCCACCCGCAGTACCGGCCGCCCTCTCCACCATCTCCGCAAGGGTCTGAAGGTCGACCAGGTCCGGCAGAATGAGCATGTCCGCCTGGCGCGAAATCAGGCGACGGATCCAATCAACTATTTGCACAACCTGCTGCGTCGGGGAGCCTCCGATCTGGACAGCCTGCTGAAGGATGGTGCCTCCATCGTTGTTGTTTTCGGCGCCTATGTTTCCAACACCTCCAGTGCGAGCAGCCGATCCAGCGCGCATGGCCGCAAGCGCCATGCCAGTCTCTGTGGCGAAGGAGGCCTCGTCACCAGCGTTGGCAGCATCAGCGTTTTCTCCAACATCCGGGCCTTCCCTCACGGTTGAGCCGTCCCTCACACCCCTAACCTGGACGGTCAGCGCCGCAACAGCCGGACCCGTCGGCAGCGCCAATGCGGTCACAGTCCAGCATCGCGCAAGGCGTTGCGCGATGGCGAAGAGGGCGCCGCGGAACGTCCCAGAGTTGACGTGAGTGTTAGAGGCACGGGCCATGACGTTGTTGGCGATGTCCTGGGCGGTGGCAATGAAGGGGTGCGTCGCCTGTGTGCCGGTGAACACCGGGTTGCCGTTGTTAATGTTTCCGACATTGCTGTTTGTGGTGTAAGTGTTGTTATGATGGACGTGGTGGTTGTTGATGCTCTGGTCATTGTTGTTGTTATACGCGTTGTGGAAACCGGTACCAGCAGCAGCATAGCCAGCAAAACCACCTCCGCTGAAAGAAGTACCAGTCATATGCGCATCAACAGTAGCACTGGGTGTGGCGCCAACACCCGCAATACCAGGACGCGGCAGAGGTCTCTCGAGGCGCGGAGCCTTCTGCTCGTTGGCCGACTCGTTCTCCCTAGGCTTCTTACTCTCAGTAGGGGCAAAACTGTGAAACTTCGGCTTTCCAAGCTCCTTGGTCTTGCGACGGCGCTTGATCTCCTGCGTCTGGTCAGGGCGTGGCAGTCCCACGATCTCGTTGAAGCTGCTGACTTGAGCCTGGCCAGGCAGCAGGACTGGAGGGATGATACGAACAACCGCGTGCTCAAAGCCGTCATCCGGCGACCAGTTCATCTCGTCAATGAAGGAAGGAAGGCGAGAAGCTTGTTCGGGGACTTCCTTCGCATTGGAGCCAGGACCAGTGGCCTTGGTACCATTGGTGGTGCGATCAGCAGCCTTGTTCGCAGCCTTGTCTGCAGCCTTAGTGGAAGACTTGTCAGCAGCCTTGTCAGTACCCTTGGTTGAAGCCATGTTAGAAATCTTGTTAGCAGCCTCAAGGACGTTGGGGTCAGCACACGCGTAAAAGTAGCGCTTGGGATTCACCGGCTCCCCGAAAGATTTCTCGGCGCCATTGTTGAAGCGCTTGCGCTTGTCGCCGATGTTCGTGGTGTCCTCTAAGTTCGTTGTGTTCTGCTTGCGGGCATTGAGCTTGCGAGCATGGCGGTCGCGCGCGCTTGCAGAGCCGTTCAAGCCTGTCAATGGCTCTTTGCGTGCGTGCGGTTGGTTCTTAGAAGGGATGGATGACTTCGCCTTGGTGGTTGGGTTCGTGTTTTTGTTCAAGAAGTCGATGTTGATTTTCCTGTTAAACTTCTTTCCAGCCCCAACGTTGTCGTTCTTTCCAGCCCTAACGTCGTCCTTCTTTCCAGCATCATTCTTCTTGTCATCGTTCTTTGACAGATGATCATCGTCATCTTCATCATCATCATTGTAGTCAGTGTCAGGCAAGTCCACCTCGTCGCCCAGGTAGTGCTCCCAGATGTTGTACTCCCACACTTGGCCAGGCGTAGGCATGGGGTTGAACAAACCTGCCTTGCGAAGCGCGGCCCTCAACATCACACCCAGCGTCGCGATGTTCGCTTGAGTCATGTTCGTCCCCGACCTGTCGACCAGAAAAAGATTGAAGTCCTTGGTCTCTGCCAGGGACTTAAGCAGATGCAGGGACGACTTCGCCGCCGCCGATAGACGCCGCTCCGGTGCCTCGGCGGGTAGCTTCTGCATGATGGTTCGGGGGGCATACTGGACGTGGAACCTGGCACGGTAAACAACAGGCTCGGGCTGCTCGTCGACGTCAAGCATTATGCCGCTATCGACAACGGTACCAAGGGGCGGCTCCGTCGCAGCCCTGAACAACTTGACCGTGTGAGGGATGTCAATTTCACTCTCAACCGTATCGTGCGTCATCGAAGCGTTCATGACGGGGTAAATAGTGTAAAAAGTGAGCTTCTTGCTGGCGTCATTCTGTTGGAGCTGCAAGTACAGACCCAAGACCAGAGTCTCGGCGTTGTGCTTGACGTCGAGAAAGAGAGCGTGCGCGCCGCTGCCAAGGGTACAAGGTGCAGATCCTTTGGATGGAGTCCAGTGCGCGACGACGCGCTGATCAAAGAGCGTCTGCGAGGGCGCTTGCCACATGATGTGCGGTCTCGGTGGTGGAGCTGACATTTTCAACAAGGCGACAATCGTTGATCAGGTGAAGGGTTTGACAAACCGTTTGTCAATGAAACCTAGAGTCAAGCAATAGCCTTGTCAGAGCAAGTAACAGCAAAATAGTTGATGAAGCGACTGGGGAGAGTGGCGTGAGAGGAGCGACTCGAACCAAAGGGAAACCAGAAGGGAAGAGAAGGGAAACGCTCAGGGAATATGCCTACTTAGACCTTGTATCGCAAAGACTCCTCCGCAGAAGTCAAAAAGCTGAAGCAAAGTTCGCAGAGACCTTGAAAAAGGAGTCGTCGCAGTCGTCGAGAAGATGATTGAGCAGTCGAAAGAAGTCGCAGATGATGACAGGAAGGGCAGAAGTTCAAACGAAAAGAGGTTGTGGAGAAAGTACTGGATGAATCGCAAAGGAACCAAGAGTTGGTCGAGAAAATAGGGATGAAGAAAAAGAGATGGAAGGGGAGATCTTGGGGGGGGGGAATTTATACATGGTGCGTGGGAAGATTTTCCTGCTTACCACGGGCTTACCACTGGCTTCACACGACTGTGTTTACATGATATGGGCGTGGGAAGGGGCAGAGTAGTGTGTTGTTAACACAAAATGCGCGTAGAAACGGAGAAGTCCCAACATGTAAACAAACCTGCCTGCAGCCGCATGTCCCAAAGAAGATGGCACTAAACCCGGGCGGGAAACGTGGCCTCTTAAATTGGGCCTAGAGGGGGGATTTTAACACGTATAAGCGTCGACGTCACAGCTTGTAAACAACCCTGCCATCAGTCGGAGGTTTCAAACGGGCGACACTAACGCCGGGAGAAATTCGCCATCTAGCAGCGGAAGATGCCATGCTGCCAGTGTCAAAAGGTGCCACGCCCTGTAGGGTATAGTGCCATAACTCATCCAAGTGTTTACATCCCCATTCGGTGAATGACCGGGTCACGTCCGGCAAATGATCGGATCACCTGCCCGTCTCCCAGGCGCGCACGCAGCGCTGTTCACATATCAAAAGGCCGAGTTGTGCTAGGCGTCGAGCGATGTCATTGTCCCGTTTGCTGCTCCGCCCGCCTGACCAGGCTTAGCGCCTGCGAATGAGCGATGGACGGTGGTGTGTGAGTGCCTTGTGGATGTGTAGCCATGCTCTTATCATCTTGCGCTCTGCGCGACTTCCGTGGCCGGAGACTGCGATCAGCGTGGAAGGGATTTGGGGACTTTTGTGTGAAGCTGTCTTGTGTTAAGAAAGAAAGGCAGTCGTGGGATGGAAGCTGGCGGGTGCGGATCTAGGCAGGGATGCGTCATGTGTGTGAAAATGAAGAGTGATATATGTATATATAAGCCGAAGCTGCGTTTGCGGCTCGGAGGCAAGGTAATCACATAAGTCTGGCGGCGTTGAGCGGGCTGAATGATGGACCAGGGTGAAGAGGTGAGGTTGAGAGAAGCTGCGCGAACGGCGTGGGGCTTATCGATATCTTATCGCCCTTATCGATCTCATCTCGTCGATCTCATCTCGGCATCGGGCGCCGCACAGCGCGATCGCACGCGAAACTTTCCTTCTACAAACGCAACATCCAGTGTCAACAGATTGCATCCACGGTGCTGGTCCAAGCCGTGCTTCTCAGCGGCGGGCTTCGCCAGACCGAGCTGTCAGCCTGTCGCTTTCTTCTTGCTAACGAAACACGTTGTCGCTCCTGCCTCTGACGCGTCGGCCTCATCGGCGCGGATCTCACAAGACAGCTCCTCCGGTTCGAGAGACTTCTAGCGCTTCAAGGAAACAGATTGTAGACAATTCTAAGTTGCTCGGAGGCCTGTGTTTTACAGTACATACGTCTTGAATAGCTCGACAAATGTGAAAACTCCGAACACCTAGTCCATCACCTTGCAACCCCACAAACGATCTTCTGACAGCAAAGCTACATCATCCGAAGTGCTCATTGCCAGCACTTTTTAACTTAGCTCGCTCTGCAACTTCATCCGCTAATCAACACTACCACAAAAGAATGACTGACAGCACCAAAGCGTGGGAAATATCATGGACAAAGACAAACAGTCTGCGGCAAACGCCGCCCAACAGAGCTTCGGATCACACATGGACTCACTACTTGATTTGGACCCACAACGGCGCTTCCCAGCTGACATTCCCGACCTTCCACCAGTGGCATTCAGCCTATATCCAAACGACGAAGGATTGGTGCGACACATTCTGGAATATCTCCACACTCTGATGCGAAACTCCGAAAGTGCTGCGCTACTGCTGAAGGAGCCGCCAGGCCCAAAGAAAAGAGAAGACTAGGTCCTGATTTCCCAATCACCGCAAGCTACCATTAGTTTGCTTCGGCGCATTTTGCCTCAAGACGCGTTGCCGGCAGAGATGTGGCAGCGGCTCATCAAGGCGTCTGCTGGGGGGCGAAGCGACGTTGGCGAGAGCGTCGATGATACGGGCGATATTCAACTCGGTAGCGCGGCCCCGCCTCGGACGGAATCATCAGCGCTCGCTGTTTCGCAAAACACTTCGGATATCCAGATCGGCTCAGGACATGGTAAAGATATCGTGAAAGAAAATGTGCCAGATTGGAAGGAGGCAGTCGCTGCGAAGTTTCAAAAGAAGCCTGCGGCGCGAAATGGGAAAGCCGCCAGCACCGATAACAACAAAACGAACACCGGCCTAAACCACACTTTAACGGGAAGGAAAGACCAGAATGGACCTTCGAAGAGAAAAGAGCACCCCGATGGGACTAGCGGAGCGGAGAATCCAGCAACAAGAACGAAAGGCCGTAAGCTAAGTCCCAGAGCTCCAGCAGGCGCCCCGGACGAAGAAAGCAGATTACGCGAGTTTGATGATGAAGAGCGGCGGTTCGCTGAGGCCATCTTGCAAACAGAAAACCCCGGGAGCGACCAACCTCGGTTTAACTTGAATAATGCGCAGCTGAAGGACATCATTGCCAAAGCCCGAGCGGTAGCTAACAATGAGGGGCTAGACAGATGCCTCGAAATTCTAGAGTATTGGTGTGACTCCGGTACGCTTGTGGACGCTGACATCCTGCGTAAAATGGAAAACTTCTCTCAAGAAAAAACGGATGCCGCCGGAAACGACTTGGTTCAAAATTTGCGATGCTGGCATTTCATCGCTGGACAGATCAGCGAGAGCAGCAATGTACCGTACTGTCTCTCGCATGCCCTACTTGGTGCGGCTTTCTCGTCCTTTTCTAAACAGCATTCGCGCGAGGGGGAACCAGATATGGTAGAGCCTATGGAAAGGCTTTTCTGGCAGTTGCATCCTGAGCTTGCCGCCGGCGAAGGTGACCCGAGAGTGGTCCATCGGGACTTGTGGCAAATGCTTATGTCACGCATGATCAAGGCGCAACGTTGGCATAATGTTACTCAAAGACTTGGATGTGGTGTAGTGTTCGTGTTCACGCCGGAAGACATCCCTAACTCCTGGATTGAGCAGAGTGTCGGGAACGAGAAGATTGATGCGTGGCTGACAGCGGTGACGAAGTGTAGGGGTTGTATTGTGCAGTCTTGTAAATCCATGATGCCGGGAGTTCTGGGTACACCAGAGGAGCTTGTATGTGGCGGTCCGCTGCCGGAAAGGTTGTTGAGGATAGAAATGGCAGAGTTTGCAGAGAATGCTGACGACGAGGAAAGAGCAAGGTTGTTGCAGGGTAAAAATTGAGCCAAGCAAGGCAGGAGACAGCATTATATAGCGCTTTTAATCAAGCATCAAGCTTGTCTCCCTTCACAAAAGGGCAAGCCGACCATTGAGTACAGCCAAGAAAAGGCCTTAGTAACAAACGCGGCACCCAGCAAAGCACCACCCCAAACCATCACCAGAGAGCCAAGAAAGAAGGTAAATGTCGCGATGGCGCGCTGGCGCGAAGCTCTTCTCCTCTTTGCTACATTCGATGTCCGAAAAGGCGCCTTGCCTGATTTGGCAAAGTGCAGCTAGTAGTTGCCGAGACGCGTCGCGAAGCCTCCGCTTCGATTCGCATCCACTCTCCGCTTCGTCCAACGACCTTCAACATCCTTGACCTGTCATCCAGCAGCCCTGTGCCAACCTGACTCCAGAGCAAGCCAGCGCTTTGACACCAGCTCCGGTTTCGCGCTGAGTAGCGGCTCAGCCATGTTTGTGGCGGTGCGCGTCTCCGTTCCTCGGTCGGCTGAGTCGGACGTCGCGGCGACCGTGCTGTCGCCTGGCAGCGCCGCTCTACTTTGCATGCTCTGGTTTCTGGGCCTTGAGGGTCGCACGCTTGTACGGGCCAGTGCATGTCGTGGGAGGGGAGCGGAGGGCTGAGCTGCCGATACCGACGTTGTGTTCTCCTGGTGCGGTGCCTGCGAGCAGTCGCTCGAGTGGACGATCATTTCGACGTGACTGACAATGTATTTGTAGAGAAAACTTACTGCACATGTCTTATTAACCACACCAATTACTCTGGTTGAGGCCCGAATTGTGGCTTCAAGTTCAGCTGTAGAGTTGCTCTTACAAGTTCTGCTTCAGGAACATACGAACAGGTGAATTTTTGGAGTTTTCTATTACCAGTAGTCACTCTTTATTCTGCCTCCTTTTCGAGATTCTTTCCTATATTCATCTCGTACCCCAACCGGCTATGTATTTCTTTGTGCATTTCGTTGGTCTGCATATCCCACTCACTAATATCGTGAGCCACAACTTTCAACTCATCGTTTGAGATGGGCGTTGAAGTTGACGGTCGTAAGCTTTCATTGGCATAGGTTTTGCAGAATGCCGAGGCAGTTTTGCCGCTGTTCAAGCTTTTGCCTCGGCTCTGGCCGCCTGTGGCTGGACAAATCATATCTCATTTCATCTCAGCCGCACACTAACTACGCCACAAACGCCTTTCTAAGCCACTTCAGCTGATGTGCCCCTTAGGCTAATCGCGATAAGGAATCATGCACTCTCTTTCAGAATCCAGATGTTTTCGAAATGCCATTGCATTGACCATGGAGAATTGAGATGGCGCTATCGTCCAAATTGCCAGCAAAACTAGGTATATATTCTCCCAGTCGTTGAGCCTCAATTCTTTCTGCAGCCACCGCGAGCTCCTTTACCGTTGTCCAGCCACGCTCTTTTGCTCGTACTGTAGCCATGAAGTACGCTCTTTTCGCAGCCGCCTGCGCGCCTCTCGTTCAGGTTGCCCAGGCTCGGCCAAGCCCTCAACAAAATGATGGCCAGTGTGCATCCCAAAAGTAAGTTCCCTTCCATGCAGTTGAACTTCAGCAATTGACGCCGCATAGGGCCGTTACCGTGACCGAAACTAGCTTTCGCCGCACCCGGACCGAGACCGTTGTGCAGACCAGCACCGTCTTTTCTACCTGTAAATCTTCCAGCAAGCAAATCGTTGTATTGGTTTATGCTGACTGCAGTAGCCACGACCACCGTCCTGCCTCCAGTCCAGCCCACCACCCTCACGCTTCCTGCGGCAGCGCAGCCGACCACTGTCACTATCCCTAACGTCTACGTTAACACTGTGACTGTGCCCACGACGATCACCGTCCACCCACAGTCCACGACCGTCACTGTCCGCCCGCACCCAGTGACCGTAACAGTTCAGCCCCAGCCAAAGACTGTTACGCTTACGCAGGGAGCCGCGGCGCAGCCCGTGACAATCTCAGATGTTGTTCAGGCGCTGCCTGTCACGATCCCGGGTGGCGTCACTACCATCACTGTTTCGCATCAGGCGACTTCCACTCTCGTCTCAGGCGAAGTCCGCACCATCACTATCCCTGTGATTAGCACCATCACTCTGCCTCCGCAGATTGTCACGGTCACTGTGACTCCTACCGTTACGGTGACGCCGACGCTTGCTGCTCCTACGTCGCACTCGTCGCTGGCTTCTTCTTCTGCTGCTAGCTCTTCCGCGAGTGTGCAGAGCGCAGGTGGTTCGGCTGTCTCCTCTGTCTCTGGAACCTCGGTTACCGTGAGCGCGTCCGCTGCTACGGGTACTTCAACTGCTGCTACCACTTCCTCTGCCTCCACTGCTGTTTCTTCCATTGGATCATCAGGCACTGCTGAGAGTGCTGCTGCCACCTCCACGGGCACTTCCACTGCTCAAACGTCTGCTGTCACTTCCACTGTCGAAACATCGGCGAGCATTGGCACTTCTACTAGCACTGGAACGTCCGCTAGCACCGAAACCCCCGCCACTGGAACTTCCACCGCTGAAACGTCTACCAACACTGAGTCTTCCCCCACGGCTACGACCTCCGATGCTTCTACGACCACTTCAGAGGCTTCCACTGCTTCCACAGAGACTTCAACTTCTGTTGAAACGTCCAGCATCGACACGGCTACTAGCACTGATGCCACTGCCACGGAGACGTCTACCTCTACGGAGGCTACCTCTACGGAGGCTACCGCTACTGCTACGGAAAGCTCGACAACTACAGATGCGACCTCCGCTTCTACCGAAACTTCTGCCACTGAAACTTCCACGATCACCGAAGCTTCTGCTACCGCCACTGATGCAACCACCACGTCGACGGAGACTGCAGAGACTACCGAGGCTGCTGCTACCGCCTCCGAAGCTTCGGTTGCTGAGACAACTTCTGCGGCTACCATCACTGCCACGGATGCAACCACTTCCGCAGAGACCACGGACATGCCTACCACGACCGCAGAGCCCGCAGCTACTGAGACATCTGAGGTGACAGACGCGCCTACCTCGACCTCTGAAGCAACCATCACCGATGCCACGAGCTTGGACCCGACCACTGCCACCGAAACCACTGCTGCAGCGACCACGTCCACTCAAACCGCGGCACCAATCGAGACCGGCTACCTCGTGAACAGCGGCTTCGAAACCGGCAGCCTAAGTCCCTGGGTAGACATAAGTGCGTTGACGGAGGTTGGCATAGACCCGGCATCCCAGGTCAACATAATCACAACCCAGAGCGCGCACGGCGGGAGCTACTCGGTGCAGTACCCCGCCTCACAGACCCTGTACCTTACGCAAAGCGGGCTAGACCTGAAGTCCCCACAGGGGTACGCCTTCAGCGCGTGGTTCAAGCGTGACGCGAGCCTTGCAGGCGCGGTCTGCACGGTGGCGTTTGCAGGTTCGGATGGAGGCTCCCAGTACCCGCAGAAGAGCTTCACTGTGCCTGATACTGAGGACTGGGTCCAGCTCCAGGGCGGCCTGTTTATTGCGATGACGACTAGCTCCGACGCGTATTTCGAGGTTAGGGCCTGGTGCTCGCAGGGCGGTATGGATGCGAATGCGGTCTTCTATCTCGATGATCTTGCTCTTGTACCAGTTCAGGGTGGGTAGATTTGGAAGGGGCGTGTGGTAGATGGGAACTTAGAGTATTTAATGTGATGTATTGCCTCGTGAATAATGTTTATGGGATTGTCTATTATACACTCCGTTACTCCGTACCTTTCCTTCCAAGCGTTCGGTCTCAGTCATTCAGGACACCATTGGTCAAGAATATAGTACGGAGACGCACGTCACCAAGTGCTCTCAGCTCATCACTTACCTCGGGAGCTACCAGAAGCACTCCAGCGAAGGGTCCACGCAGATCGCGTGTAATAAGTGGAGATGGAATGATGCAAGAGCCCTAGTTATTTACAGATGCGGGGTAAGTGCGGGGTAAAATCTGGTTCGCTGGGCAACGAGGCCAGGGCAGGCACGCGGGCCAAGCGAGAGGTCAGGAAGGTCCAATTTGCGCCTTCAATCTTGCATCTTCATCTCCATCCGCTCGCTGCCATCACCCTTCACGCCACCAATGTGATCTGATCATTTTACATCACCACTGTGATGCGCTAGCTATCTGTCTCACGAACTCAGCTCCGTTGCGCGCGCGCACGAGTCGAATGCCTTTTCGAATTGCGACAGCAACAGCTTGGTCCGCGCCATCGCGTCAGCTGTCTGCACCCCCATCTCCGATGTCGTCGAACCATGATCAATCTCATAACACCCTCGCGCGGTTGCCGTCGGATAGCCTGTGCTCGCCGACAGGTCTGACGCGTCGCCGCCTCTACGCGTGACGCGAGATTTGGTGTCGCCAAACAAACGAGAGCACGGAAGGATCATCGAATGAATATGTTAGAAGGACGCATACCAAACATGGAGGCGATGAAGTGAACAACCTGAAGTTAAGAAGATGCATTGCGCAATCCGGCTCGGTCCCTCAGGTCCGTCGCGGCGAGCATTGACTCAGACCAAACCAGGGACAGGAATTACATACACCAGAGTTTTCAGCAGGATAAGATGGTTCCTGTGGCAGTAGGTCGGAGTCACAACGTCAGATTGCGCGTTGAGGAGTATCTGCGCGGCTCTCGTCGACATGGTTTTATTTCGTAAAGCCGCATGTGCTAATATGAATCAGTGACGACCAATCGCGTCCTGATGAACATGCAACTTTTGTTTTGAAGATTTGATGAGAACGGTCTAGCTATATAACAAGTATCGCTCAATTGTTCTCATTCCCGTCCTTCCATGACCGCGCGCCGCTCCATCGCTTTCCGGATATAACCACTACCATGTTGCGCATTTCCATCGCCAAGCTAACGCCTCATCCTGCATGAAAAGATGGCGAAAGCTTGGCCAGCCTCTCGCGATCGGGAGCCGCTGGATGAGGGCGGGATGGATGGTGGCGTGCAGCCCGAAGGGCCACATCCGTAGTTGACGGCATCGAACATCTTGAGTGCGATAGAGGATTCGATGAAATCGCAGACAGTACAAATCACCAACCCCGAAATTTGGTATAGATCCGCGAGAACGGTGGACCTAGTCGGTGCAGATCCAGATCCTTTAGCAGATCTCAAACTTTCTGCACCCTCGCAGAAAGATTCCGAGGTCCACCGAGTTGCGATTCGCGTACATCATTTCCACAAAGGTGCAACTGCTACGGCGCCAGATCCATCGCCGCGGTCCAGCCCGAGGCTGGATGCTACTATCTTCCAAGCTACAGCGATGCGCACAGACGTTCAGCCGCAAACTAGCGCTGCCACGATCTTAGCCTACGCCACCGGATAGTCTACTCCTGAATGCTTGATCTTCGAGGGGTTTGTGGGGAAGATATATGATCCTGGTTTTCCATTGAAGTCTTATCTTTTTCTTCAGCCATTGCTTTCGGGTTGCTCGTCGTTCTTTTCCACACTCATTATCAACATGAAGTCCGCTCTCCTCGGGGCAGTAGGCCTCTACGCCATCACTGCGTCGGCGCTTCCCGGCCAAGCGCAATGCCCATCCGTAGAGTAAGTCGTGCACGTACGAGGGACCAGGGTCTGGGTGCGAGAAGCATTTGTACTGACGAATCACTGCATTATTACAGGCCAATCACGGTTACAGCGGCGCAGACACAAACACAGACGATCGTTCAGATGAGCACAGTTGTCGACGTCAGTAAGTGCACCGCAGCGCCTCTGCTGGCACACAAGACCAGACTTGGAGAACCAGGAAAAGGGAAGGAATTTGTGTGCTAACACATATGGCAGGAACGACAACCGTCCGCATCACCCCCACCATCCAGACCCAGACTTTGACACTCCCGGCACAGCCTGCCACCCTGACGCTGTCGGGCCAGCAGCAGCCGACTACCGTCACTTTGCCGGGTGAAGTGCGCACCGTCACGGTGCCTGTGCAGGTATTGGCGCCGGAGACTGTTACCATCCCATCCCAGCCGAAGACGATTACACTTCCTGCGGAGATTAGGACTGTGACTGTAACTGCTAAGACCCAGGCGCAGCAGTTAGCTGGGGGTGTTGTCCAGCCTCAGGCTAGCGCCCAAAGTGCTCAGCCACCGCAGCCGGCTGTCCAGAGTGCGCAGGTCCAAACAGTCGTGCAGCCTGCCCAGACCCAGACCGTCACTCAGAGTGGCCAAACTGTGACAGTCACCCTGCCTGCCCAAATGCAAACTGTCACCTTAACTGCCCAGGCGCAGCAATCGTCCGGCCAGGGTGCGCAGATCCAGACAATCGTGCAGGCCCCGCAGACGCAGACCGTCACACAGAGTGGGCAGACCGTGACGGTCACGCTGCCCGCACAGACTCAAACGGTCACTCTGACTGCCCAGGCTAGCAGCCAAGGCTCCCAGACGCAGCAGTCGTCTGCCCAGAGCGCGCAGGTGCAGACGATTGTGCAGCCCGCTCGAACGCAAACTATCACGCAGAACGGCCTGACCCGCACGGTCACCCTGCCGGGCCAGACGACGTTCGTCACGTTGCCTGCGTCGGCGACCACGACTGTCACGTTGCCGCTCACTACCGTGACGCTCGGTGCTCAGCCTTCTGCGTCGACTGATGCGGTTTCGGACGCGGAGGCTTCTGCTTCGACGGCTGTTGGAAGCGGAACTTCCTCTGTTACGGGAACGTCGGCTGCTAGCGCTGGTGCGTCTGCTACTGGCTCTGCTTCTACAGCATCTTCTGCGGCGTCTACGGATTCTGCGTCTACCGTCACTGGCACTTTGACTTCTTCGGACGCCACCACTACCGCCGATGCTTCTACAACGGCCACGGATGCTTCGGCTTCTGCGGCTTCTACAACGTCTGCTGCCACTACCGATGCCTCCACTGTCACTGATTCCTCGACCACGGAAACTCCTGACTCCACTGGAACTGCCACAACGACTGAGTCTTCTGCTTCAACTGCTACTGATGCAACGATTGCGGGTACTACCGAAGCTGCCACCACTACCGATGGTACTTTGACTGATGTCCCTACTACCACCCAAGCTTTGACTACGGATGCAGCCACTGCTACTGATTTTTCTACGGCTGATGCTTCCACCACGGAGACTGCATCCCCTGACGCATCTGCTACTGCCACCGAAACCTCCATTGACCCTTCTGCGACGGATTCAGCTTCTGCCACTGCGTCCACGGAAGCGACCACAACGAATGATGCCGACGCCACTACCACCACTGACACTGCCGATGCAACCTCGTCCGCCGCGGACGACAACAACATGTTCGTTAACCCCGGGTTCGAAGACGGCTCGGCGTCTTGGCTCATCACGACCACCGGCCAAGCCAGCGCCACTCTCGCCAGCCCACCCAACGTGCGCTCAGGCAACGGTGCAATCCTCAGCGACAACTACAGCAGCGGCAACGTCGTCGTTAGCCAAGCTGTGCCAGATCTCCTCTCGACGAAGACATATGCGCTCTCCTTCTACTACAACATGGACAGCAACCTGGAGTGCTCGTTCTCGGCTGGCACGGACACTGAAATATCGGTTGACACGGAGTTGACTGCTACCAGAGGCGCGTATGTGTACTGGTTTGGAACCATACGGCCGAGGGTGGCGGATACAAGCGTTATCATGACTTATACTTGCCAAGTGGCGGATGGGAAGACAGACGGGCGTATCATTTTGGATGATTATAAGCTCGTTCCGTATGTTTTGGAATCCTCGGGGACACAGCAGAGGTAGAGGGCGATTTAAGGAGAGCTTTTAAGGATTCCCTCGTCCGTGGATAATGTATGATACCTACTAATGTACATGGAATGATATAGCATCCACTGATGTTGCGTCAAACGCAACATGCGAGAAACTGGTCTAAAGCCGATTGGCTACCGGGTATAATGGACATCCATCATCCGCTTCGAAGTTGCTAATGTCTTACATGCATGATACATGAGCAGAGATCAGCGAAGGATTCGCTGCTAACGAAAGACACTACCCCGCAACACAACAAAGACGCAGACATCTCCAAGCTGTGCACCCACCCAAACGCTATTCCAACCTCCTCAACGAGCAACACCAAACCGTCCCCCCAAAACGATGCCCTCCTCGCACACAATCCTCGTAACCGGCGCCACCGGCCGCCAAGGCAGCGCCACCATCCGGGCCCTCCTCGCCCTCTCCACACAGCTTACCACACCCCTCACGATCCACGCACTGGTGCGCAACCCCTCCTCGGCCCGCGCGCAGGCCCTCGCCGCCCTCAGCCCTTCCATCAAGCTCTTCGCCGGCACCTTCGAGGACGGCGACTCCCTCACCGCCGCCGCACGCTCTTGCACCGCGCTCTTCCTGCTGACGGTGCCAAACCCGCACAGTCCAGACACGGAGCTGGCGCACGCGCGCGCCGTGCTCGCCGCCGCGAAAAACGCGCGCACGGTGCAGCGCGTAGTGTACAGTTCTGCGTCGCTGATTGGCGCTGAGGAGGCGTATGATGAGCTCGAGCGCTGGCCCGGCATGGCGTGGTACATGCGGGCGAAGCGCGCGGTCGAGGAAGCGGTGCTGGGCGCGGGGTTTAGTGCCGGAGCGACGGTGCTGCGGCCTGCGATGCTGTGGACGAATTTCGTGGGCGGGGTGGCGGGCGCGATGTATCCGGGGTTGAAAGAGGAGGGGGTGCTGCGGACGGCGCTGGAGCCCGGGCATCGTGTCGGGTGTCTGGATCCGGCGGATGTGGGCGCGTTTGCGGCGAGGGCGCTCGTGGAGTACGGGGATGTGGGAGGGGAGGTTTGGCGGGATAGGGTTGTTCCGCTTGCGAGTCGGAGGATGACGATGGGGGAGATGGCGGAGGGGTTGACTAGGGCGGTGGGGGGGAGGAGGAGGGTTAGCGTTGTCCAGATTAGTGAGGAGGAGTTGGGGGCGGGAGAGAGGTCCACGGTCGTGGAGAGTGAACTGTTTAGGAATCGGTTTCGGGTTGTGGTGGATTTGGAGGAGGTGAGAGCGTATGGAGTGAGGTTGGGGACGTGGGAGGAGTTTGTGGAGAGGGAGAGGGAGGGCATTGAGGTGGCGTTGGGGTTAGCGTAGGGGGTGGACGATGGCACTGGAATAGGTGGCGATCCGGCTGAAATGTTTTAGGGGTTTATGTGCCCTGGAGGGTGTAGGATTGAGCTAAATCTGCTTAAATCTTTGACCATAAGTATTTCGCATGCAATTCCTGAGTGTTACGCAGTGGAAATTCATTTTTGAACGGCCCTAGTTGCTACTTAACCATCCAGTCATACTCCATTCTGTGAAACGAACACAACCAAGACAGCAGCGTAAGTAGCACCACCTACGAAGACTTCGCTCATTGATGCTGTAGTCGCGATGGCTACAGTGGAAACGAAGAGAGTGGCAGCCAAGAATATGACTACAAACTTCCAAACAGTTGCGCGAACAATGTTCAGTATAATGACTGGAACCAGCAAAATCAAAATCGTTAATAAAGCCGTTAAACTGCGAGCAACACGACGGATTACACGCTTCGGGACGTAAAATTCCTCTTACTCTCCCATATTCTGTATAATTACTGTTCATTACTGCTGCTGCAGGGGAATCAAATGGGCTTACCTTATCATACAGTCCGTACATGGCTTCAACAATCGATTTAGCTACAGTAGTAATTTTTTCCATCCCACGGTCTCGTACTACTCCAATATACATCAACTCTCTTGTTGATTGTCTCGTGTATTCTGACTCTTTCCAGGAAATCAAACCGGAGTCTCCGACGAAGTGTCTGAGACTTTGATTTTGCTTTTCGTTAACATCTGGCATACTTAGAGCCCAGTGGGCTTTTTCGACAAGATTGTCTTTTGATAGTGTTAGAGGAAGAACTTTGCAAGGTAACAGTCCGGAGTTGATTATTAAATGCATGATAAAGTTCACCCACCGTATTCTGAGAGCGCACGCTCCAGCTCTCGCAGCTTCTTCCACCGCTCTTCTCTGCGGTCCTCCCGAAGACAACCTAAATTAATTTCATTTGGTTCCTCTTCATCGATTTTATCAAGTTCACTTTCTAATCGAGCTACCTGATCTTGCTTTGCAAGAATCAGACGCATTCTCGTCCGCTTGAATCTTCTGAACAACTGTAGACTTGATAGGTCCGCCATCTTTTGTGTAATGTGAGGATACCTCTTCTCCAAATTTTGCATGTCCGTTACACCTGGTGGCCTCGCGGACTTTGTGGGTTCTTCATTTGCGATTCTATTCTGCGGCATAGAAGGTCTCCGGTGGCGATCTATCGAATTGAGCTTTATAAAATCCGGAAATGCTTCCACTATGTTTATGGATAAGTAAGTTTACATTAAAGAATGTTTTAATGGTACGAACCGTCCATGTTGCGTGTTGACGTAGCCTGAAACCTTTTTCTACCGAGTTTCAGGAATGTTGGTTTTGGTTCGGCTCAGCCGCACGTATGGTGTTGGCATTTACCTCAATTCGCTTACTAAAACAAACTAAACCTTTTAGGCTCACCGGATGTTGTAGGTGGCTTACCATGCATGATGCACGACCAGGCTTTGGCAAACCACCGCATATATGCATCACTTCTATAGGTATTGAGATCAGCTACGTGTTCAACCAATATTTATCCGGACCCACTTTTTGTATCTATATTTGGGGCACGCCATGTAGTAAAATTTAATTAGCTGCAGTATATGAGGCTGTCGCCATTGCTCTTGTAGTCCTCAAGCCCCGTAGACATTTGGAAGACTTTGTCTTCCACAGTCTTGTTAACAGCCCTTTAGCCATTACCTTACACGCCGTTATAATTTATTTTCTATTCTTCTATTCAACGTCCTGTTACTCTGTAATAGATGGACCCCCCATCCTTTGAACCTCGTTTGATACGCTATTATAATCCTGTCCGTCAGTTCGGCTCTGTCTTTAAAAGAGACCCTCTAGGAATTTACCCAAGGTTCCACATCAAAGAAAAAGTCGTTTATCTAAATGACTCCGATATGGGTGATGCTTCATGGTTTCAGGTTGCAAGCCGCTCGAAGGAAGGTCGCTCATTTTCATACAACCTATGTGAAGAGGACGGAGAAATCGTAGCAAAAAACGTTGAGGCTCGACTCTGTAGCTTTGAAGTAAGCGGCAGTATCCAATGCCTTTATATAGTTAATTACCTAACGCATGACAGGTCCCGAGATAATTCGATCACGAGCAAGTCATGATAAAAAATAGAGATGGGAGTCAGCAAGGTCCATACTTCGTTTGTTGTATTAAGTATAATGGCGGAGCCGAAGTCCGCAACTTCTTCTACAATTTAGGGGAGTCACCAAACGATCCTTCCAGGTATAATATCCCTTAAGGTAGGCTTACTAGGTGTCCTGTAAGTTAAAGGATTTTGTAACACATAAATGCTTCTAATTGGTGTATATAGGAGTCAAAGAAAGGCAGTAGGAAGCCCGAGGTGAAGCACAAGGGTATCACTATAAGAGCATTAGAGCTTGCACGAGCTACAAAAGCAAAGATTCTTAGGCGTAGCGTTAAGGTGCGTCTCTAGTTACTTGTCCCTACCTTCTCTTCCTTTTCAAGATACGGGAACAAGATCGGCTTCCTACTATCCAACACTGTTTCGCAATAGCCGTAACAAAACACCTCGATCCATAGCCTATTAGCGCAACAAGTGAACTTCCCGATGCTAATTTTCTAAAAGGGAGTCCCATAATGCCCCTTTAGTTGCGCTTTAGACTTCTCCACGAAGATCTTCACAGCGCTCGAGTGTTAAGGAAATTACAGCAGTTTTGTACCATTGTTTGTGCAAGAAGCGGCGATGTCCTATGCGGTCGTCGCCGCATGACTGGCTGCCAATGAGGCATAATGACGTGGCTGCTGGCAATGCATTTGCAGCAGTGTAGAGAGAGGCAACGATCTGCAGCGCAATCAAGACCTGCAGCTGCATGCCACATCACTTTCTTCAAAGCCTTGATTACATCTGACACCTCCGCCACAAACACTCATTATCCGACAGCTTGGATATTGCGCCTTCCGCTTTCGCTTTATTTGGCTTCTTGGCAAAGCTTTGTCGTTGTTGCCTTGCAGCTACGGATTATTCGGTCCACAAGACGCAGTGTTTCCGTTTCCTGCGGTCACTCTGAGGTGACAAAGCGCTCTTACTTGTGGCGCTTTGAGGGATCATAGAGTGAAAAATCTTGCAGGAGAATGTTTTAGTATGCGTCCGCAGAGCTGTTCTTTAGGTTAATTACTAATGTGGTTCAATGCTGAACCGGCAATGGTATAATATTCTTTCCTGTTGACCAAAGTAAATGTCTGTACATGAAAGACCACAAATTTCTTGGATAATAGCTGTAGTAAGCTTATACTGTATTTCAACTGATCAGTAAAACCGAGGTCATAAGAACACTCGTCTCCATCAGTGTTGTAGAAATCCAAGTAAAACCGACTGATATCTCACATACTTCATAGGCCGCAACACATAGAATGGCGAGATGTATGCTGACCAACCACCAACGTCGTATCTGCAGAGGATAAGTAAGCGACCGGAACCCCGGAAACCATCCTGACCCCAGCCCAACTGTGCCGCCCGCGCCGCACCACCAAAGCACATAAGCAGCGCACCTAACCCGCCCCACCAACCTACAAACCTTCAGCAACATGCACCACGGCCCGCGACCTCCCGGATGGTAAGCCAGTGCAGACCTTTGTCGCGCGGTTTCTAACAGTTTCCAAACAGGTGGCCGAAAGGCGAATGGGGCGCCCCCGGCTGCCGTCCACAGAAAGGCATCATCAGTTACGTGCTTGCGCAAAACCGGCAACGCGCATTGGCCGGTGCGTTGAATGCCGCTATATTCAATACCTGGCGTCGGGTTTGCGGGCAAGTGCTTTATGTGGCCCCGCCCCTGCTGGCGGGGTATTATGGCATGACGTGGGCGATTGAGAGGTGAGTTGCTGGCCTTGGAGTAGAGTAAGGGATACCGCTGATGCGGTGCAGAAATCGATATCTGAATTCGAAGGAAGGACGGGTGGAGGAGGGCGAGTAGGTAGCTGCGTGTGGCATTGGTTGGACTTTTGTGAATGATATACGTATCTGCTGCTTTGAGTAGATGCCGTGTCTTACTCCTACGCGCTATTGAAGCTCCCTGGCCGTTTGAAGCGGACTGTGAGGGAAGACAATGCATGCCTTGAGAAAAAACGAGAGGGCGTAGAAACCGAGCATTTGAACGCCACGCAGTACATCCCCTTGCAGGCCTGGAAGCGGAGATGAGATGAGAGCTATCCTGAAAGAACGGGAAAGAGGAAAGGGAGCCACTGGAGCGTCGAAGCGGAGAGGATCCGGTCGCAGACGGACGAGCGATGTTGCCGCACTCGCCCAAAATGGAATAGTTGCTCCGGCATCGCTTCGGCAGATGCTGACTGACAAAGCAGCAGGCGGAGCTCCAGCTCCACATGACTCGCGCCGCTATCTCACTTAAACAACAACACGCTCTACTGCGACAGCACCTGCGTTACACCTCGTCAAGGACAATGTCCACGACAACAAATCGCCCACGCTACGGCGCCATGAAGCGCCCGCATGACCTCTCAAGCGCATGTGAAAGCGACGACAGCTGCCCCCGCGCCAACCCGCCCAAGCGGCACAAGCCCGACAGCGACAACAACGATGATCTGCCATCCCACACCTCCGCGCCAGTCAACGACTCGCGCGGCGACGTCACTACCGAGGAAGACGGCGGCGGCAAGAATCTGGAGCGCGCGCCCTCGCCAGAGACCGTCAGCGCCATCTCGTACCGCAACGATACCCTAGCCGCCTTCAACATTGTCGTTGGCTCCGAGCTGCCGCCACGCCTCAAGGAATGGACGGATGGCATACTGGAGTGGGCACGCAAGAACGTCGCGGACTGGGAACGATTCAGAGCGACGGCTGACGAATGGAGGCGCACGAGCACGGATATTGATAGCAGGTCACTGGGCAAAGAGGAGTGGACATCGTCGCTTCAGAACGCCATTACCGGCGTGATGAGCGCACAGTCGGATGACCTAGTTCACTCTATCAATAGCAGTGCAATGGCCTGGGTACCAGTGCTCCTGCCTAGGGAACGTAAAGGTTTCTCGGCACCCAAGTCCGGATTAAAGACGCCTCGCCCGGACTCCTACGTCGGTTTCACCACCGCGGCCTTCACGACCGGGCCGCCCTTCCTCAGCAACTATTTCCTTAGCAACTTGAATATCTGCGGGGCCGGACACGCTAGCACACCCAGCCCCGATCCTTTGGATTGCCGTTACCCGTTCCTGATCATCGAAGCCACAAGCGGCGCCACGGGCGGCCTTTTGCAGGCGCAGAACCAAGCCGCACTGTCGGGCGCCTGTGCGCTGAACATCTTGCAGGGACTCAAGAAGATGGGTGCTAAGGCTAGGCGATCTTCGCACGATACTACTACTGTCTCCAAACGTAATCGCGAAAAGCGAGAGCACTACCTCGCCGACCGTACTCTCAAGGAGCAGCGGGATGCGTGGGTGGCGGCGGCTTCGAAATGGATTCATCCACAGCCTCCTCAGCTTGCCGTCTTCTCGCTGACGACAGATAGCAGCGTCCACGAGCTGTGGATCCATCACTTCAACGCCGCGAAGGAATACCGCATGTCCCGACTGGGCGTTTTCGACTCGACTGACCCGAAGAGCCAGGACGAGCTGTTGGTGCGGCTGGCGGCAATTGCGGCATGGGCTGATGGGGAGTTCCGAGATTGGTTGGCGGACAACCTTGGCGAGTATGCGGAGCTATCTGTTAAAGGCAGATTATAGCTGGCGAGAGTTTGCGCGCCGGTTTGCAAGCCTGGACCGTCATGGAGAGGGGATTGTTGTATGCCGTTGCCGCTAGAGCCAAAAGAATATGGTAGTTGTCTTCTTGGAGAGTGGAAGCTGCTGCTGGCGCAAGTGTTGGGACCAGTCTTGCGACAAAGAGCTGTTTCCTCTAACTCACCTTCAATTGTACACCCTCGCCCAAGCCCACCCTAGCAAACCTAGGTCGGAGGACGTCTTCCCAGGTTCACTTACACCTTTTTCGGCTTAGCTTAGACCTCAGTCCTCCACAAACACACTGACTGCCAGTGGAAATGGCGAACCAAGTTTAAGCATACATTTCACGAGAACCTGACATAACTTTCTAACATGCCTTCCTGTCCTGCGTCATATGTGCACCTGAATTCTGGGTGACCAACGTGTTCAGCCTCTGATTTACAGCCACACTGCGGAAGCAACCGCCACGCGGAGGTTGTTCGAGCCAGCCTGCCGGAGCTCGCCTGCCGTGTGTAAGAAAGGGACAAAAACATATTCGCTACCTGGCAAAAGCCGAAGAGCTTGGCTGAGAAATCCCCAGCAGAGTCAATGACCATTGCTCGGACTGAACAGCAGCTCGTCGAGCTCGGAGCAACAGGCCATGACGTCATAGCCACAGCTGCAGGTCCATTAGCAGTAGCAGCAAGCAGCGGTTGTCAACACCACGAACAGCGCTGGAGACAATGTCATCCACGCCTATCCATGGCGTATGCAAATCATGTCATGATCCTGTCCAGGCGACAAGGCCCCTCTTGATTCTCATCGCGGGATGCCCACGGCTGCCACGCCGTCCACACCTTCAGTAACGCTCTCCTGACAGCCTTTTGTCCCATCACATAGTGATGCCTCCGTAGCCTGAAGCGTACATTGCGCTGGTGACCTTGAGGTCGAGAGCGCGCTTCGATCGCGAAGATCTTGGCGGTGCTGTTACGTGAACCCTGCTGCGCCACCACAGCCACTCGCTACTGTGCGGGGAAGCGCAAGCTTCACCACCACACTCCACCAACGTTGGGCCTCTAGCCTCTCGACTTTGCAGATTATTTCGCACACAGTCCTAGAAATGCTCAGGCCTATAGAAGCTTCAGGTACCGCACCGTGGGAAGAGTACAAACTGCTTTGAGGCCGTCGGTGCTCATCTTGGCCTCCGACCGAGGCTGCAGGCCTAGCATGATGTTTCTTGTATCAGATTTGCGAGAATTACAATCGCTATTTAACTTGGCCCAAAGCCTCATACTAATGTCTACCTAATCCGCGGAGTTGAGTTTGGTACTGGTGGCGAGTAAAAGGCGATAGGTGAAACACCAGCCTTATTCCTTACCAGATTAACATTGTTTACTCCGTACTTACTCTTAGCTTTGTTGCATCAAGGACATACCGTCACCATTCCGAAAAAATCGTATTTGGTCCTACCACATCTCCGGAGCTGTTGCAGGCCCCTATTCGACAGTTCTACGACAGTACTCCATTCTGATTTGCGCGCTTATGGTTGCTAAGTTTAGAATTGGTCACGCGGGCTCAGCCCGAGGCTAAATCTCAGCTGAGCTCGTCCTCTGTTCTCAGCCCGATGATGCTTCTTGCTTGTCCCACCCTCACCTCTCGCAATGGAAACACGACTGTGATTTCGTCATGAGCGAAGAAAGTTCACAGGATCCGACTGTTAGCGCGGGTAAACGGTTGGCAAGCTACTTTTCGCCAATACCTCAAAAGTTCGAAGATGTCCAGATTCAAGACATAACAATTCTTCTCCGGGCCCAACAAGAAAGATGGAGCCACTTTCCACGCACGTACATCGTTCTCCGCATTATAAATCGGCTTGATTTACTTAACAACCTTCTCGATGTCGGCTTCACCGACCACTGGTTTCCCGTTACTCCTCAAGCACTTCCACCGAATCTACAGCCTTCGGTCCGTAGCGCGATAGCCAAAGCCCAGTCAGCGGTTCTGACGCAATCCGTCGAACTAGAGAAAGGCCCCAACGGAAGCCATGGCCACTACCGTAAGGGCGATGTTCTGCCTTTCCGAATACTTGGAAAACTTGGTGGTGGCGCGTACGGGCAGGTTGATCGCATTCAGAGCTCCATTAGTATGAAGCAGTATGCTCTAAAGAGGATCCGCCGCCGCGCTATCTACGGGAACAAGACTCGTGAATCTCATAAGATGTTTATCAGCGAGATGAACATAATCAAAGAGCTCAAGCACCATCATATGGTCGAGTTTGTCGGCAGCTATACGGATGCCACTTTCTTGGGGCTAATTATGGCTCCGGTGGCCGACATGAATCTTTCCGAATTTCTTGACAAAACCTCGTCGACTGATGTTTCGAAAGCTGCTAAAACATCCAACATCACTACTCTCAGAACCTTTTTTGGATGCCTCGCTTCAGCGCTACAGTATCTTCACGATAATTCGGTACGCCACAGGGACATTAAGCCACAAAACATCCTTGTTGAGTGCGGCAACGTATTGTTCACTGATTTCGGATTATCCAAGGATTACTCTGGTGAATCGGGAAGTACAACATCGGGCATCACTGCAAATACGCCTCGTTATGCGGCCCCTGAAGTATCCAACTATGACCCAAGGAACACCTCGGCAGATGTTTGGTCGTTAGGTTGCGTATTCCTTGAAATGACCGCTGTCCTAAAGGGCTTCACATTAGCATTCTTGAAGGAATTTTTTTCCGAACACGGCACAGAACATACGCACTTTTGCTTCAATCAACCCGCTACTGCTCAACTTATAGAGATACTGACATATCGGAACCAACACGACAATAAGCCGGTCCGCATCATCAAAGACATGTTGAAAGCCGATCGTCACTCTCGACCTACAGCAGCTCAAGTGTTTTCCGCATTCATCACACTTGCACCATTCGATACCACTGAGCTCGTCACCTCGTTCTGTGGTATCTGCTGTTTGGGAGATGAAGAATCGGATTCGCACGATAGCCTTTGCAACGACCTAGATACGTCAATGAGCGGTGAACAGCACGCTGATGCACAACTGTCAATGTCAGAAACCGTAATAAAGGCTTCTACAGCCGAAACTGTTATGAAGGCCTCGACAGTTGACGATGTTTCCAATATTCCTGCAGAGGAATCTGATCCGGAAACCTCAACAGCTGAGCATATCCCGAAATTAGAGGACTTCTCATCATCATCAGATGAAAGCCTCATGGACACACACAGAACTGGACAGGTTCCGACGATGGAAGTATATAAGGATGTTTCCCCAATCTCAACAGATGACGAGTTATCACAGACTTCGGCAGCGGGACAAATTCCGATGATGGCAGTATATGAGGATGTTTCCCCAATCTCAACAGATGACGAATTATCGCAAACCTCAAGACCCAAGAAAAATTCACAGACTTCAAGTGATAAGAGTAACTCCAAACAACTAGGAGATACTAACATTCAGCGGACATCGGAAACTGGAACTCATTTACAAACTCTAAAATCTGGAAGTTCCCAACAATTCTTAGGAAGTGTACCTGATCCTTGGACGGCAAAAGCTGGGCCCTTGGAGTCAGCCCAATCAAGTAAAACGCCAGATCATAACCAGAAATCTTCTACTGATTCTGACACTGGAATCGAACCTGGGCATGGCAAAACCAAAACCATCGTAACGTTACGACCGATAAGCCCTGAGGAAATGGCATTTCAGTATCCTAGTTTATTACCGTCATCACCGTCTAACAGTTTTTCGGTATCAGACCAGGGTGGTAAACGGTCCAGTCGGCACCGGACGGTGCTCCGGGCGAAAAGCGTACCGTCTATCAAGGATAAGATATATTCGGCTAGGCGGGTCGCCAAATAGAGGTACTACGCGCGAGTCTCCGCGCGTTCGACAATTAGACCGTTTTAGTAGTGGTTCACACGAAATAACGCGATAGCAAAAGACCGAAAATGACGAAGACTCCGATAACAAATCTTTCGTAGCCGGTAGACCAGAGGTTATAAATGTCGAGCTAAAACGTTCGTTACCCCAATTGGAAAGCTCTTCTCCGCACCATGTTGATGATTAAGACAATGTAATAAATCATTGTTTTTGTGTCGGACCAATTAGACATTGAAGGCCGCAGAAATGTATTGTCGGGTTTCCTAAGAAACAATGCGTCGGCCGAAAGCAAAGACAAGGTATAAAACTTAGGTCGAACTAGATTTTCTCATTTCCCAATCTTTTCCCAACGAGTATTAAGCGGAGGTGGTTAATTGTCAGCTCTTAACACGCCTTGGTGGGCATGGAAAGGAGACTATGGGATATCAAAGGGAAAGAAAAGCAGTAAGACATCAGTACCCGTTCCGATTGGCTTGAGATTGACATTATTCTAAAGAAAATGACTATCCCTAGATCTGTATTTCGAGTGCAATTCCAGGAAAGCACTAAGTACGTAAATGTTGCGATTACCTTGCTAAACGATAAAGACTAATTATACGTTTATAGATAGATTTTCATCGTAGTAGCAAAATGCTGCGTATTCTTGAAAGATAAAGGTAAAACGTACTTTAGTACTATAGGCTACAGTACTACTTTACCTTCAGAGTCGGAATGAAACTACCTAGTTACACCAAAGTTCGCTTCCGTCTTTTAAAACAGTATTCTTGCCTATACGGCTCACGGGCAAAATCATCGGGAAATTAAGCTGAGTCAAGATGTCATTAGCTTCCTTGTAGATAACCAAGATCATTTCGTGATTGGTAACAGGCCTCCCGGTCGCCCGCCCGCCCGTTGCCTGCAGGCGGGCGGATAAAAGTGGTCTGTGCGTATTTTTTTTTAGGTATTCTAAGATTTCTAAGATCCGAAGAGTCTAGGCTCAATTCCTAGTAAATATAAAAAGTATTTGCACTTATTTGCGTTTTATTTTTTTCCTTTAAGTTTTGGTATTCCTCGCTAAGATCGGGCTTAGCAGCCGCCTTATCTAATACGGAAGGTGGATCGCCTATTAACCAATCAACATTAAATCTTAAGTCGACCTACCCGCCCGCCTACCGCCTACCCGCCCGCCTACCGCCCGCCCGCCCGCCTAGGCGCCCGTCTTCAGCCCGCCCGCCCAAAGGGCCCGGGCGGGAGCGGGCGGGTGACTGGGAGGCCTGATTGGTAATCAAGTTAATGCAGCTGATTCAGCCGAGGACCCAACGAAGACAGAGACAATTAAATCCAAAGCAAGATCTGATTCGATATAGGAGGAAGCATTAGAACGTAGAACGTATAAATGTTGCACAGGAGGCTAAGAGCGTGGAAACGAAGCCTTCGATTACTGTATTGACCCGGAGGCTCCTGGGCTCAAGATTCCGAGAATAGAAGCGGATATTTTTTCTCGAAGTACTGTTTTCTCTTCACATAATTGAATCCATGTACGTCCGGGGAAAGGAGTTTCGGTTTTGGTACTTAGAATTCAACCTCAAGTTATAACCAGTGGGATCGGCACCGGAAAAGGTCTCTGCTGCTGGTGCATTGAGATTTGCTGATGTATACTGTGCGTGTGGATGTTCTACGATATACCTGCCGCCAATTCCCATCTTTTCAAGACAATTCGCGTCCTTGCCATGCTTTGAGCGGCTTTCACCTTCTCCCTAATCCTATTTAGACCGTCTTCCGATACCGCTTCGGCTCCGTGGTCCAACAACATCTGTACGATCTTGTGATAGCCATGCAAGTATGCCCATTCAATTCCTCTCTCTTCGTACTTATTCTTTTCGTTGGGGTTTGCCTTTGCCTCAAGAAGCACTCGTACAACTTCTGTGTGCCCAAACGTGCAGGCCACATGTAAAGGAGTCGATTGCCTGTGGCCTCCCGGTTGCTCCAAAGTATCAGCCAATCCCATCGTCAGTAAAAACTTTATGGCCTTTGCAAGTCCGGTGCTAGCAGCGAAATAGAGAGGCGAGAATATCTGTCCACCTAGATCTGTCCAAGGAGAAGAAGCTTGGATGAATGCGCCAAAGTTACCTCCTCGAGGCTGAATTGCGCTACCAAACAAGGCTTTGAGCTTTCTTTTCATCTTGTCTGTAGCTATAGTCGGGATTTCCCACGAAACTGATTCAAGCAGCTTCGGAAGCGCTGTTGATATGTATCCGAGCAGCGGCCACTCCTCAGATCTTTCCCTCAATGCAACACGGCTCGGACAATAACCAGATCTGAATACTGGCATGTTGAGGTAATCAACCATCAAACAGCATAGAAGACAGGCATCGACTTCCACATTCAGAGAATAAGAACTTGCTCTTTTGAGGCATGATTCGGAAAATAAATATTCTCTTACAGAGTCGTGAGCCAGTGTTGAGCTTTTATACTCATCATTGTACTTGATGAGAATCCGGCAGTTTCGTAAAATGTCTTTGGTCTCTTCCCGGAAAAGCTTTTGTGCAGGATTTACTGACTCGGTGGATCCATTAAAGATCATGGCTTCTCCCAATTCTTCTCCGGTCATGGGACGGGAAGAAAATGCCAACCATAGTAAGGCGTTTCGGACAAGTGAGCAGTCTGATGGTGAGATTCCTTCCAGTGTTTTTGTATAGACGATTTCAAGGCCTGATGACATCGATTCTAGGGCCTTTTCGATTGCAGCCTGGGACCTAGTATTGTTTACAAGTGCATCCATTTGACACTCGACCCACCGAAACCTAATAAATTGTAAGCCTCAGTGAAACAAAGAGCACGTAGATGTACTTACGACCCATCAGCTTTGGCTGCCAGCTTCTCTTGGATGATTTTCTGTACACGACTTGGAAGTCTCCGAAGCCGAGATTGCTCTCTGGTTTTCCAGTACACGTAATTGCCGATATCAACATTTACGTCGCTCGTTGACATGTTAACAAGTACGAACCAAGCGCGGTCTAGTATTCTGAGCGGACTCAAGGACTCTGTACTAGTAATCATGATCTTTACGTTCTTGTTCTGTGAAGTGAGAGTGGCAATCGTCTTTATGAGTCGATATGGATCGTTTGCCTCATTCGGCGCATCCAAAAACAGCACCACGTTGGAGACAAACTGACAAATTCTTTGGAAAGATTTTTCCAGCTGTCCAACGGAAGGTCGTTTCCGTTCCGGGTCTGTTTCCGCCTCCAGATCGGCTACAATAGCCCAGGCTTCAGGAAAATCTTGGCAAAGTTGCTTGATATATGATTTCATCATAATCTCAACATCTTGAGATTCGTCTTCCTCGGATGAACAGTAGAAATATGCAACAGCGGGAACAGACTTGAGCTGAACGCTGCTACTGAGGTAGTTTATCGCGAGAGTTAGCAAGGTTGTTTTCCCCATTCCAGACATTCCTCGCAACCACAAGATCCTTGGGCAATGTCTTGAAATTTCTTTCACCCAGGGTCGAAACTTCGTCTCCAGGAACCAACTTCCCGAGTTGGGTGACGCATTTTGGAGGTTTACTCGATACCTCGAAGAAGGGTTGAAAGTCGTAAGCCACGTTGCGAGCCGCTGCCTTTCTTTCTCTTGATCGATTTCAAATTGTCGCGCTTTCTGTTCAGCGACCATATCTTTTACTTCTGTCATGTCGTGTCCAATCCTCTTAGCATAGTCTTGGACCTTTAAAAGGATCATGCTGTTGATTTTGGCGTTAGTTATTTCAACTCTTTCCTCAGCTCTTTACGGATAAAGCAAAGAATACGAACCTTTGATCGGACTCAAGAGCAAATTGAAGAATTGGAAGAGCATCATCAAATGCTTTCAGATATGCCGTAGTGTCGTCATCAACGATCTTCCCAATTTTCCCCCACTTGGATAGCCTCTCAAATCGGGCTTCTAACCCGTCCAAAGCTTTCCTGCATGCATCAAGTGGCCCATCCGTGTAGTCAAGGACAGAAAGCCGTTCCTTGTTTCCTTGATCGAACTGCGCTTGCAGTTGGACTCCCTCAAGCAGACCGCTGTATGAATTGAGCTTCCCGATCAAAGCTCCAAGCTCTTTTGCCGCTGAGCGATGAGAATGAACGTATTTGCGTGCGACAATACTCAGCTTGTGGATACTCTCGATCAGACCGACACAAGTTGCGACCAATCCGATAATTTCTGCCATTGCTGATGCTGTCATACATTCATCGCTTAATCATGGATCGAGTATTGATGTTATCCAAGAGGTATGAAGAAAAGAGAAGGTCAGTTTGAATGTCAGCTCAGCTGAGGCGGGGAAGCTGACATGGGGAACAAATCCTGCTTATGCTGTGTAACGTGGCTCCCCGCAGCTCCGGGTAGGTTATCAGTAAATCCAAAACCTAATCCCCATAGACTAACCCGTTCTTATCGCTTGAGCCGAACTTCATTCTAAAAAGCAATATAGTTTAATTTACGCTATAATGCTTTATTATTTGGATGAAATGTTTCGCGGGAAAGTTTTCAGTCGAGGGGTGGGCAAAGTATCTAGAAAGCGATAGGCAAATTATCCGGGGCCATAAAATTAGAGAAAGTTTAATTTGACTAGGTCTGGTTTGGGGTACCGTCACAAGCACTTCAGGTTCACTTGACACGCTTCTTCAGGAAAGACCCATTCCCCTTGCATTGTCAAGCGTACGTTTTGATTCTGCTAAATGTCAACATGCAAAGCCAGATTTATTCATCATTAGCTCGCTATGATGCCACTGCTTAAGCCTCCTGAGGGAACTTTTCAAAGAACCTCCACGTCTCCTCCGGCGAAAAACTCTTCTCAACACCAACATCCGTATACTTCGCGGAGTGCGGACCATCAAAAGCAACCCAAGTGACAGGGTAATCGCAGTTCTTGTACTCAGTCCTGATGTGAATCCCGCTGCCAATATCGGGCTCCTCAGGCTCCGCAGCATCGCAGCCATTGTTCTTAACAAACTTATCGCGCAGTTCCCTGCCAAGCTCAGGCGGAAGCACCGTGTCATTCACGCCATGCTGGCCATAGTACGGAATCGGCGTTGTGCCGTTCTCGCACCCACTCAACTCGGCACCGCTCAGCACCGCGACGGCCTTGAAGTCGTCGGCGCGATCGCAAGCGATGGCGCCTGACATGGCGCCGCCGTAGCTGAAGCCCGTGCTGTAGCGGTGCTCTTGGTCGATGCACAGGTCTGCCTCGACGGTCTTGATGATCTTGTCTACCAGCGCGAGGTCCTCGCCCCCTTCGTTCGGCCAGCCCGTCATCCCGTTCGTGTTGAGGCCGTCTGGAGCGATGTAGATGGCGCTGTTATTGGTATCTTGCTCTGGCAGGCCGTACCAGGGTAGGTACTCGCCGATGCCGCCGCGCACTTGGAAGGCAGTTCCGCCCAGGGCATGGAAGGTGAAGATGAGCTTGTAGGCGTGGGAGTTGTCGTAGTTTTCGGGCACATTGAGGTAGTAGTAGCGCGTTTTCTCGTTAATGGTAAGGTTGTAGGCGTTCGGCGACGTCATTGTCGCTTCCTTTCCGCATCCTGGAGACTTCGTCGCCGCCAACGCGGTGGGCAAAGAGGAAAAAGTAAGGGCCGCGAGCGCGGCGGTCGTCGTGCTCGACCAGCGTGTCATGTTGCTTGGATGGAAGAATTGAAGAAACTGCGAAAGTGAGAAGTGCCACTGTTGATCGGACTGCGCTTCATCGGGCTTAAATACATAAGAAGCAACCCTGTATAAAAAGCGAGAGAACCGCTGCCTTCTTCACCATCACCGAGCCAAGAGCCGACGAAACAGGCATTTCCCCGCGCCAGCGAACATAAAACAGGCCCGTCGGGCGACCTGCAATTTCCGCCCGGCAGATCACGGATCTTAAATGCCATTCGGGCATCGCGTTAGCAGATCTCTTGACTCTCCTCATCTGCCGACCCGCAACCCCGCAATCTTCATGCGAGAGCTCGCTAAAACTGTCTTAAAATGCGCTTTTAACAGGGGCTTGCGAAGCTGCCAAGAACATTCGGTGAAGTGAAAACAGTCTCGGTCCCACTTTATATCGAACGAGATTCTTGGGCAGGATTAGCCGTTAGCTCCGGGTAGCGGCCCGGCGGAAAAAGTAAGACGGTTGTTAAGGGTTTGAGGAAGAAGAAAATACTTATATGTATACCCTGCGCTTATTTAGTCAAATATGCCGGGTATCCACTGAAACCAATCTCCATCCCAGTTCTGGATTGGTTTCCGCGACGCAGTGGAAATCAAAATTCCTTCTACTGCGGGGATTGATCACTTGTTACTGCGGAGACTGACTGATGTCTTGTAAAGCAGACAACATTTTTAAAGAAAAACTAATGCTATTTGAGGCGACTTGAGACTTTGGCCAAATCGGTTAGTGATCTTTCTTGCTTATTGTATGCCACGAAAACCCGAGCCGCAGAGAAAAAAGCCAAAAACCACGTGCGCAGTTTTGCGTCTGCTCATAAACACAGACTATGCAATGAGGCATTACGGCAAGTGAAACGGCTCAAAAGTTCTGAACTTCCGAACTTGCCAACGAGTTGTTTAAGTGTGGAGCAAAAGTTGCAGAAAGACGAACTGGAGTTTCAATAGAGAGTTTAAGTCGAGTCGTTATTGGCATGCTTTCGCCGGTGGTACTAAAATATACTACAGTCGCATTCATCGTCTCCGATTCCCCAGCCAGCCCCCCTACTGCTGCTCGAAGTCGTCCATCTCAAAAGCCTCCGGCCACACCGGTAGACCCCTCCAGTCGGCGAAGCCGTCGTAGCCCCGCTCCAAGGCCTCGACGATGCCGTCCGCGGCAGCCACCCACGCCGTGCCGATCGGGCCGCCCACGAACCGCACACCTCGCCCGAAGGCACGCCCAACCTTCTTCACCACACGCCAAACCGGCTTCCACGACAGCGCCTCCGCCCAGTCGCGGACAGCGACCGCCAAGACGTTACTATCTACAAGAAACTTGTCGAAAGCGGCGCGGGGGCTTGGCACCGGCAGGTACAGTAGGGTGCGAGGACCCGCCAGAAGGAACGAGAGGAGGGCGACGGCGATGCGGATGATGTTCAGCATCAGAATGAAAACCAAGCCAGCGGTATGGCGAACGTGGTCGGCAAAGCCGACAAGCCCCGTCTCGTCGAGCGCGTTACGCAGCGCTGGCTCTATACAGAGCCCAAAGAGCACGAGCGCGACGAGTGGCCCAACAAACAATGAAACAAAAAATGGACCATTCCAGATGGTCTCGGACGGGGTCGCGGCGGCAGAGTCGTTACCGCATGAAGCCATCTACACACAGATGTGTTAGCAGTATCTGCATACCCACGACTCGCTCCAACAACCCTATACCACCGTGGCAGCCATAAACGAACATACGATGGCTGTGGTGGTAGGTGGTGGTGGTGGGGGAGGAGACGCGGGGGGCCCTGGTGGTGCCGCTGCCGCTACGCGCGAGAGAGGTGTAGCGTGTCTGCTAACCATGCATTAGCAACTTCTGCATGACTTTGAGTTGCTTCATCTCCATGCGGTGAGGATGATAGCACGACTCGGCATACCAGTCGGCTTGGTTCGAGGAAAGGTGGTTGTTCTGCTATCCATGCGTTAGCAAATGCACCATAACCACGGCTTGATTCGACCCCGTGCAGAGAGAGGACTGTTCCAGCCAGACGTACCAAACGAAATGGAGCAGACAGTGCTGCTGTTGCTGTCGCTCTCGCTGCTGCTGCTGCTGGCGATGGTGCTGGCGCTGGTGCTGATGCTGGCGGCGACGGAACGGTACTGGCACTGATGGCAAAGAGAAAAAGAAGAGAAGAGGAGAAGGCGAGGATTGGGAATCGAGTATAATCCATTCTGGTAAGATGCGCCTTCCTTCATTGCAAAAGATAGCCCTAATATGCTTAGAAAAGACAGCCCTAATACGCTTAGAAAGCCGATAGAGTGTGCCCCTTCCACTCTTCCCAGAGATCAGGATAGCATGTTGCAAACCTCATATCTCCACTAGGGGAACCTGGATCGAATCTCCTAATATGCAGTTTCTTTCCAAAGCCTGATTCATAAACACGTAAGAAATACTTTTTCAACCAGTTCCGCGCATCTGAAAAGGCCACCTCAGGAGAGAAACGATTCGGTAAAGTTGGACAAACACCCTTCTCCCATGCAGCCTGGTAAGCGCGGCCCCGTTCGTTCAACTGGAAGCGCATGCCCTCCATCAAAGACAAAAAGCGTCTGGATGTAATGCTCGGATTATCCGTCTCCTTCGTATCAATCCCCTTCATGTCCATCTCCTTCGTGTATGACTCGTACCCAGAGATAGATTCAAAGTACATGGCCTGGTACTTGGCGATGCGAGCATCGAATCGTGCGCGCATAGCCGAGTCAGGCACCGCTGCTTCAAGCACAAAGTATCTGTCTGTCCAAAGCTTTCGTGCCAACGCTTCGAACCCGTGATGGTGCAATACGCCGTGCCTTGAACCCATGTAGTTGCCCATGCAGGAGGCAAAGACGCGGAACTCGCGTAGTTTTCCGACGAGAATGTTGGAGGAGAGGCCGAGTGCTTGACAAGGACTGTATATGAAGCGCCAAAAGAAGGGCGCAAGGACTTCCCTTTCTTCTGTCGTAGCAGGGCCATACTCGACCGTACGTTGGAGCCGGGCTACGTATTTGTTCAGCTTTACGAAGTGTGTGTGGTCCGTGGTGGATAGTTCGACGGGTACTCCGATCTGGTAGTCGCAGGCAAGTAGGTATACGAGAAGTCTGCGGATCCGTTCTACTTCTTCTTGTGGTGGAGTTGTGCTTTTATATAGCGGGATTAAAGCGGCATCCATTTCTTCTTTCACCTTCGTCATCGGTGGCAATTCCATTGTTTTAGGGCAGTTTCTAGATATCCCCGCTGAATTCTCCGCAAGGTCCTCTTGGCAAGTGGGATTGTCGGGCATGATGAGACTAGTAGCGAAACTTTAGAAGGAAGAAAAATCCCAAATAAAGGGGCTAGACGTTGAATATATAGGTTGTAAGAGATTTAACTATGGCGCGTATCAAGGTCTGCAGGGTAAGACGGATGTTGGTACTGGTTCTATAGCGTCACAGTGGAAACCCGGATCCATAGTTTGACGAACCAATCCCAAAGTCTAGAGAAACGAAACGCGCTCTACAAAGCAGAACTATCTTGTTATTACTGTCTGTACGCTGAGTTGTACGCCGTAGAAGCGAGAGTATGTTAAGTTTCTCTGAAATTAATATTGAAGATACTGAAATCAAGCCTACCGTCTCCTTTTAGACCGTTGTAAGTTCACGAGTTAGAATACATCTTTACTGCTCCCTCCACGTCCCCACCCCCGATCATCCAAATTCGCATCCGCAGCCAACAACACCTTCAACACAGGTTCTTTATCGTCAACCGACACCAACCACTGCCCATTCTTCATGAACATCGAGCACGGCAAACACACCAACCCACCCGCAGCAGTAGCTCTGGACCAATCTCTCGCATCCACGACAGCCCCACCACTCCCAAGCAAAACCCGCACCAACCCCAGCGACAGACTCTCTGTCGCCCAATGCAGCGGCGTCTAGTCCCGCAGTCCGAGGCTGGAGCTATCTTCTTGCACTTTGCCGTTAACCCGACTTCCCCGTCGCCACGCCTTCGCCAAACGGCTCCTCTAGTTGCGGCGCGCTCAGCGGGTAGCTCACTTCGCCTAGCTGGTTCTCGATGATTGCCGTGCGGAGCTGTGCAAGGAGGAGGGAGAGGTGTAGCTTAACATTCCATTCGTGTCGACATGTCGGGCGTCATGGTTATGATGAGGAGTGAAGAATGTCGCACCGCGGTGGTGATGGAAGGGTCCATGTCATCATGAGTTCCAAGACGCGCGCGAGAGCGAACGAAGTCCTCGTCTAGGTACTGGTCGAATATAGCGAGGGTCCCAATGATTCATCCTTGTTTGCGTCTTCGAGTTTGTCAGTCGAGAGAAATGAAGGAAGGCAGCAATGCTCTGCTCAGACGTCAGTTCAGCGCGATTGCGCCGCTTCGGACGTAGGGCTGCGCGGTTGGGGTTTATGGACTGACGGAGCAGGGAGCTGCTGCAGGTGAGGCTGACTTGCGACCGACAAACCCGCACTCAAGTCCATTGCACACGCTCTCTTCTCTCTTCCACAGCGTTTCCCCTCGAAGTCAACGAAGATCTTGATAGCGATGGGCCTGAATCCGCTTCGTCGCAGCCGTCAGTGAAGACTACGTTCCTGCTTCGCTCGTGCGCGACCCGGCTCACTTCCGCCTCCGCCGGCGCAGCATCGTCTTCTCCTACCACGTCCATCTTCGGCTCACAAAGCATCTTCTTCTGCTACTCTCTGTAGAGATGGATGCCACTGCCCTACCAGAGTCCCAAGAGAAATTAGGGTGGTTCCACTCGGTGAACGTGGCCTTTTTGGCTCGGTTGGACCAAGGTTGGACAAAACACGTCATTCAACACTCTCTTCCTAAGATGCGACTACAATTGAGTTTTCTGGTCTTTCGTCTATCGCTGGTATTAGAGGCTTCCAGTACATCTCTTAGAGCTTAAGGACACACACCATCACTTCAGGCCACGGTGGAAGGTTTCGGAGCTTGAGACATACTAGTTTGGTTGCCTTGCTTATGTCCTTGAGACCAGCTGTCCAAAACTCCTGCAACGGAACCTTCGACCACACTGGTCGCTTTCTGCGACATTGCCATTCTCCATCGCAACCTCAAAACGTTTCTGCCTGTTTACGCACGTTCCACAAGTGGGGGCGGGAAGCGACAACAGTGCCTCATCCCACAGCACCGAGGCTGTGCTCCATCGACATAAACACAGAGGTCTCCGGCTTTTATCGGTCCAGGAACAAACATCGGTCAACATGGAAAAGAACGAAGTTTCCCTTGTCGAAACCGTCTCAAAGGACGAGAACCAGCAAAACAAAACCGAAACACTCCCACTCCCCAAGAGCGAGGCCTTTCAAGACGAAACGCTCCTCTCCATCCTCTGCGGCGATGAATGGGGATGGAGCGGATGGATCTACCGCGACATTGTAAAGTTTGAGCCAGATGGCACAGGCATGGTACACTCATGCATCGACTATGTTTTACCTGACGGCTGACGGGCACAGTTCCAAATCCTTGGCGAATTTCAGTGTTACCTCTCTCTCGAATTCGCTTGGAAGGCAGCGGGCAGCACCGACATCATGCAAAAAATCGACCGGCACAGCGACCCGCGGACGGAACCACAAATCATCACCCGCTTCGAGCTGGAGATAACGCTCTCACGCCGCTATCCCCCTTGTTGGGAGTGGTACTTTAACAAACCGTGGTCACGCGGCAACGCCAAATCCTTAACAGACGAAGCTTTCGAGCCGCGCGTTATATCTTTCTGGATTGAACAAGGCCACTTCCCCGCGCCCATTGAAATCGGCCCACCGACCGCACTCAGCTGGCTCTGGCCGGCAAAGCAGACTTTCCGATATGGGGAGTTCGCGCTGCGCCTGCACTTTGAGCCCTCGCTCTACCCGGCCCGGCATCACTGGCGAGATCCCGAGAACGGAGACGGCAACATTCGCAAGTCGTGGGGGTGGCACGAGCTCGTGAGCCGGGAGCTGCCGTTACCCAAGGATCCCCAGAAGCAGTGCTATAGGCTTGAGTTTCCGGATCCCCAGAAACAATGCTACGGGCTTGTGTTTCCGGATTCCAGGCCGTCGTGGTTGCGTGAGCGGTGGGCGGATCTGGTTGATATTGTGAATGGGGAGTATCACATTAAGCAGCGACAATCGGGCTTTCACAGCATTGAGCAGGAGAAGTTTTATCGGCGCTTGGAACGCCAAGTGGAGTGGTTTGAACACCAGGAGGGTGAACGGTCGAAGAGCGAGCTTGAGCAGATACGGAAAGCGCGGGAATGGATTGAGGAGGGGCGGCAGCGTGAGCGAGAGATGATGGAAAAGAATGAGAAAGAAATGACGGATGAGAAGAAGTAAGACGTTTTCTGGACGCGAGATAGCTATAGCCAACTCAACACAAAACCACCATCGAATCATTCACGCACGAATCAACCTAACCTCTAACATAGACATATTCCTCTTCACCAACCCAACTTTCTCAACCTCAACACAAACGACTCCCCCCACGCTCCCGGAACAACCACACTAAGCACCCCCACCCACCCCACGGCCCGGTCTCCGCCGACACCCTCTTACCTAACACGACCCCCCGGCCCGTAAGCCCCGGCGCACCCGGCCCGTCTGGCCGACCTCGCCAGTCTGTCGGATACTGCACCCACGCCCAGGCAGTAAGCGAGAACACGAGCCTGGCGCCCGGGGACCCGAGGTCGGGGTAAGCGCCGAAAGGCATGGCTACCTATGGGTGGTGGTGATGGTGCTGAAAAGATCTGTGTCACTTTGACTGGGCGAGAAGTGGTGGCCGTTGGCTGCGACTCTGCGGGGACGGTGTGCGGTGTCCTTCGAGGGCATGAATAGGTGCCTATTGAGCCGAAGGTGAGACCGTAGCTGCCCTAGTGTTGATGGGAGGTGATGGCATAGGCAGGTAGCACTGAGCAGGATCAATGCCGCCATGGCCGGCCATGCGCATGCGGGGTCCAGTGCGACAGCAGCAGCCCACGACGAATCCTCCAGCGCGCTGCCGCCTGCATCCGGGCCTCAGGCAGTATTGGTGGAGGCAGTGGCAGCGACAGTGGCCTGTTTCTCAGGCGAGGCATCAGCATTTGCCAGCAACGACAAGCGAAGCCGCGAAGAAGAAAGACAAAGAAGAAGCAATATGCACCGAGCACGCAAGCAAAAGCCAAGACAAACATCTGTTGAAGGCACGACGTAGAGAGATAATTGACCAATTAAGCAGCGAGCACTGCTGGCAAAGAGGTAAAGCAGCGAAGCTGACTAAGCGGGCTAAACCACAAGGGGTAAGAGCTAAGCTACACCAGGCAGGAGAGCTCTGCCCGCTGGACAACATCCCCACAATCGATGACAGCCAAGTGAGACCGCTTAACACAACGCGCTGCCAAGTCCGCCACATCTTCCGATGCTGACGGCGCGCGGTATCCCCCTTGCTGGGCGCGCTGACGGCTCGTACGACCCCGTCTCAGTCTTCTGCGCTATGTGTCGAGCTTTGACACCGCAGCCGGCGAATGGCGTCAAGGTCGCTCGCGCGTGCTGTAAGCCGTGGAGCCTGGGGCAAGCTTCTAGATGCCCGGACGGGGCAAGGCGTGGGGGCTGGGGGAGCGCGGTCCGGTCAATCGGATCGCTGCCTGGTGCGTGGTTTACTGTGCACGTAGATGGCTGCGGCACTGCTATTGGTGCGGTCGTTCATTGTCTGGGTTACATGATGCGTGCTTGAGGTTGGTGTGGGATCGTGTAAGAGACGGCGCAGCGCGGTCTAGATGTCTAGGGACACGGCTTCTTGGCTTCGATGTGGGTTGAGACGGCTAGAGGGAGGCCTGATGCGGCTTGCAATACGGATTGCAAGGACACTACAGACTATGGGAGGAAGAGTATTTAAACATGAAGGTAGGTGCTGTTGAGGAGCAGACAACGCTTGCGGGACTCACTGAAGTAACCTACTCGAAAAAACCTTTCCAGAGCTCTTACAATTGTTTGAATAGCGTTAAACATGGCCTCTCTCCCCCGCACCAACGGCCTCGTCCTCTGGAGAGACCTCACGCCGCTCCCGGCCCCTCTGCACGCACCCACCCCCTCCTCCCCAACCATCCTCATCGTCGGCGGCGGCGTCACGGGCCTCACCACCGCGTGGGCCCTCCTCGACAAAGGCTACCGCGTCACCATCGTCGCCAAAGAATGGGCCTCGTACGGGCAAGAGCAGCGCCTAGCCTCGCAGATCGCGGGCGCGCTCTGGGAATACCCGCCCGCCGTGTGCGGGCAGCACACAGACGCCATCTCTTTGCAGCACTCGAAGAAGTGGAGCATGGTGGCGTACCACATCTGGGACGGGCTGGCGGCGTCGACCGAGCTGTCCGAGCTAGCAGGCGTGCGCGTCAAGCCCGCGGACTTCTTCTTCCCGGCGCCCGTCGAGGAGGACGAGAGGCAGCTGGCGAAGATGGCAGAGATCATGGCCAGCGGCATCCGCGGCTTCCGTCGCGACGCAGGCATTATTCGAGAGCGCGGCGTCGCGCCGGACTACGGCGCCGTGGACGCGTACGAGCATCTTGCCCCCGTCATCGACACGGACGCGTGCATGGCCTTCCTGAAAGACCTCGTCGCGGCCAAAGGCGCCCAGCTCATCACGCGCACCCTCCACGGCGACCTACTGGCACAAGAACAAGCGCTGCGCAACGAATACGCCGCCTCCGCCATCATCAACGCGACCGGCCTCGCGGGCACCGAGCTCGCTGCCGACCCGACCTGCTACCCCATCCGCGGCGGCCTGATCCGCGTCATCAACGACGGCACCACCTTTCCCAAACTCGACGCCGCGCTCACCATCTCCGCCGACGTGAATAAGAACGAGATCGTCTTCCTCGTCCCGCGCAACGACGACATTCTGCTTATAGGCGGGATAACGGAGCCGCATGAGGGCGCGCTCGACCTCTCCCTCGCCGCGCCAATCGTGCAGCGCATGCGCGCCCGCTGCGAGGCGTTCCTGCCGGACCTGAAGCACGCGCGGCTCGACCCCGCATACCCGTTTGCGCAGGGCCTGCGGCCGTTCAGGCAGCAGAACGTGCGCGTGGAGCGGGAGTTGCGGGGGCGCGCGGACGGGGTCGGCGCGCCCAGTAGGATCGTCCACAGTTATGGCCAGGGCGGCGCGGGCTGGTCGCTGTCGTTTGGCTGTGCGGGCGACGTGTGCGATTTGGTCGAGGAGGCGCTGATGGATTTGCCGCCGCGGCCGATGGGCATAGAAATTGTGGAGAAGAGGCTGCCCGTCGTGGGGTCGGGGTTGGGGTTGGATGAGGTCGGGTTGGAGCCGAGGGCGAGGTTGTAGGCTGGAGGTGTGGTGTGCGGGTGGCTGGTTTGGCTTTTTTTTTTTTTTGGGAGATGTTTACTGAGGTCCTGGATAGTTTGCTTGCTCGAATGAAAATCCTGCTTGTCTGTTAAGCTCATGTTCATGGAATTTTACAGTGCCCACAGAGTACTTTGTACGTAGCTATTAAAAGCTAAGCCCAATGATCTTGAAATATTTTATGCGATTATAGGAGGTGAACAATTATTAGGGTATAGGTATATTAGGAAGGGATATGTGGCCACACAGAATATACAAGTGTAAAGGGTAAATTATGTACTTCTATCAGCATTCACGATAAACGCAACCACCCTAGGCCCTCTCCGCCTCCTCCACCACAACCTTCCCCACCTTCCTTTCCTCCACATCCCCACCCGCACCACCATCAACCCTGACAACCGCACTCTCAAACCCCCTCGTGCTTACCCCCCTCTCAAACAGCGCATCCAACTCCTCCAACGCACGCCCCTTCATCTCGGGGACAAAGCACCACACCGCCCCCGTAACGAAGACCGTCGTACTGCCATACAAAAACCCGACTCTGGCCCCCAGCCCCGCGTACTCCTCGTCCACGAGATACGGCACCGAAAAGCTGATCGCAAACGCGCACGCAATCGAGATCGAGTTCGCGAGCATGGCGCTCTTCTCGGCGACGCGGCGCGCCGGCGCCTCCGCCATCGTGGTGTAGCTGAGCGGCGCCCAGGTGAGCCCGAAAAACACGCCGAACAGCATGAGGCCGGCGACGAGGGCGTCTTTCTCCGCGCGGGTGGGGGCGGTTACCGTGCCCAGCCCGCCGACGAGGTAGAGCGCGCTTGCTTGCGCGAGGCCGCCGAGGAGCAGCAGCGGGCGGCGGCCCGTGTGGTCGACGAGGAGGGACGCCGACAGCGCCGTGGAGAGCTGCAGCGTCGTGTAGCAGATCCCGAGCGCGAAGGAGTTCGCGTAGCCTTGGTGCTGGTAGAACAGCACGCCGTATTGCGACGTGAAGATCTGGCCTGAGAGCTGCTGGCACAGCATCCCGAGGATGGCGATACCGGTGCGCCGTTTGTTGGGCCCACTGAAGACTTCGCTCCAGGCGCCTTTGCCGTCGTTGGTGCGCGCGTGGAGCATTAGGTTTAGCTCCGCGGCGAGGGTTGAGGGGGCGGTGTTTTTGCGCAGTTTGCGTAGCGCGGTCGAGGCCGCGTCGGTGTCGCCGCGGCTGATGAGCCTGGGAGAGGTCAGTTGTTAGATCTGTTCAGGGAAGTGCTGCAGGCGTGCTCAGCTCTCACCATCGCGGGGATTCGACCAGAAAGGGATAGGCAGCGATAAGGATGGCGGGCATGACGAATTGGATGCCTGGATACATTAGTCAAAGAAAGTTCTGTGTAGGATGGTAGTCAAAGAGTATTTTGCAAGATGGTAGTCGAACCGAGAGGAATCATCCAGCAGGCATCAGTGGCCAGCTGCTTTGTTCCGTTGTTGATCAAATTAGCAATGACTTGCGAGAACATGATCTGGATTTGGATTTGGCCGCCGATGAGCCCTCGCAGCTCCTGGGGCGCTGTTTCGGCGAGGTAGGACGGGATCATCAGCATGCAGATACCTGGTGAAATTAGCAGAAAAAGTGGTAGGGCGGACGAGCACTTTCACCTGTCATGAAGTAGCAGGTTATCCGTCCTACAGTGAATTGCGCCGCCGTCGTTGCTGAAATCTGCAGTATCGTGCCACTTCCAAGTAATCAGTTTTTTGTAATGTAGGTGATATAAAGAACATACATAATGGAGCAAACAGCAACAAACAGCAAGCTCTTCTTCCGTCCGAACCTCTCGGCTAAAGGAGCCGCGACCCAGGTCCCCTGCGCCAAATCGTCAACTTTACGCAGTAAACAAGGGCAAGGGGAATCTACCAGGAGTTTTCCGAGATACGGCGTCGAGTTCATGACCGAAGACAGGTAGGACGGTATGCTACAAGTGCCGTGCGAATCGCATTTCCCGAAGCGTTTCTTGAAAGCTTTGGCGAGTCAACTCCTGTCCATTCCCTCAAGGATTGGAGTCGCTCACGCTCCATGGCCTGCAAGCCACTGAAAACGCCAACCTAGACTTGTCAGGCTTCAAACATGGATGCGCTGCGAGCATGTGTGAGGCGTACATCGTAGCCGAAATTAAACATGGCCGCGCTTGTATATCTGCGACTCAGGACGAGGCAATCAGCATCCAAAAAACCACATTAACAACGCAAAACCACGCAATAGGCACGTACATGGTAACGAAAGCGACAGCAGGCGTGAACAGCGCCATCCGGCGTCTAAACGCCACCAAGGCAGGCCCATCGCGTCCAGTCGTAGACACAGCCATCTCGACAAGCGCCCAAACGACCAAATAAACAGCGAACAAGCAATCAGCAGCAACAAAAACAGTGCAGTCAACAGACACAAGTCATGCACGGATCCGTCGTACCTTTGTAGGTACAAATAAGCTCACCACCTGAACCAGTGCGACCGACACACGCAGCCCGGTTCCTCGTGCTTAGGCGACAGATGCACCGAAGCACGCCGCTCGAACGGGCATGGTGTGTCCGGTTACGCGTGGTGCCGAGCCTGTGCGGGGTGCGTGTCTGTGCTTGCGCGGGGATCTGGACCGTGATCTGCAGTGGGGTTGGCGGCGGGTAATTGCGGTGCTGTGAGGGGTGCGGCTGCGGCTGCGGCTTCGGCAGTGCTGCTGGGTTGCAGTTGGACGTGTACATGTTGTTGTGTTGGTTGCGATTGGTGAATGGTGATATATTTGGCGCCGGGTGTGGCGCCCGTCGTGTGATGCCGGGTCGGTGCTGTGCGTCAGCGGATATTTACGTTGCAACCAGGGGATGTTGAAATGATATACGCAAACAACAAAGGAACTGCCGAGTCTATTAAGACTGTGGTTTTCAAATGGAAAAGCAGGCGTTCTTCGTCTAGATAATGTTGCTTTAACACAAGTTGGTTCCGGATTATATTGCAATATCTTACACTTGCGGGTCTTAAACCTACACGCAATACCTATTCGTTGTATTTACCACTGGTGTTTTCAAGATAAGGAAATTTTAGGAAGAAATATTGCGATAAGACCAGCAAAAGAAGACTTCAAATCGGAAATAGTTAGTGTATTAAAGAGTGAAAGGAACGTTGCATAGTGAATGCGAATATGTACCTCAACCCTTCTCCTCCCACATCTAGGCATCATCGAAAACAAACTGATTCGAGAGGCCCTGCGCAGTAGACAACTCAAAAATCTTAGTAAGAGGAACATCCAAGCCGATGCGCTGGAGGCGCACGGCAGCGATAGAGTCGGCGCCAGCCTCAAAGGAAGAAAGCGAGCAAGGAAATCTATTTTTCTCTAAGCCAAGACAGAACGCCATTGTAATGTCTGCGCCACTGTCGTTCATGCGACTTGATGCCGAGTCGTTCCATGTCGGCTCATAAAAATCATTAGTGAGTGGACAATGCCTCCTTTTCGAGATAGTGCAGGCCTTCCAACATGGCTGTCATAGGGTGCCGGTCAACTGCAAGACCTTCCGGCAGTCTCCTCATCGTCTGAATCCAAAACTGCCGGTCTTCTTTTCCGGACGTCTTTCGAGACCAGATTGGAGCACGAAGATACTCGAATCTCGGTTTGTCGATGACTTGGCCATCGTAAGCACGAGTCACCTCCCTCAGTAAAGCCTAGACAGGAAGCGAGCAGACGACTTTAGAAATTGGCGGGTTTCCTATGGGTTGATAAACTGCATGTCTCCGAGATGACGAAGGGCCAGCCCGTCGTGGCTGACAAACAGCCAAAAAGTTTCCGCAAACGCTCCGGGCACTGTTTATACATTCGGGCGCAAGGAGCGTCTAGCGGGGCACCATTCCCCACACGCTTAGCCATTTCGCCATGGCTATCCGCTTCCCCATTGTTGATCATCGCAAGCCCGCTGTGGCATGGGCTATTGTCGTCACGGCCTGCGTCGCCAATTTCATCGACCTCTTCCAGAGCTCCATGGTGCTGTTCGCACTCAACGACATTCGTCCGGACATGGGCTTCAGCGCTGTCAACCTCAATTGGGTCGTTTTATCCTACACACTGACGTTCGCTACCTTCCTGCTCCCTGCGGACCAGATGGCCGACCGACTGGGCCTGCGCATCACCTTCATTGCTGGCACTCTTACCTTGGCCTGGACCAATGTGCTTTCTGCGTGGGCCCCAAACCAAAAAGGCTTGTTGGCCGGGCGTGCACTTGCGGATGTTGGCGCTGCCGGTGCCGTGAGTTCAGCTTTTCTGTCCATTTTTTGCCGGTTCGCTAAATGTGATTGTTACAGTCTGCCACAGGCATTGCCATCATCAGCCACCTGTTTCCCCCAGGAAAAGCCCAAAATGCCGGACTCGCTGCCTATGTCTCTTGTGCGCCTCTAGGCACCATTCTGGGCGTCATCATTGGCGCTCTCCTCACCGGTACGTCGCTTCACATACCACAGACAGGCACAGCATGTTGACGCAAACTCTCAGCATTCTCGGTGGGATGGCGCGCCAACTTCTGGCTCACCTTCATCCTCGCCATTCTCGTCTCCGTCATCGGGCTCCTTCTCCTACCCGCCTACGAAGTCGACGCAGAGCGCAAAGCGCGAAAAATAGACTACATCGGGCTGTTCGCCTTCATCACAGGCACGGCGCTCTTCATCTACGGGCTCAACGACGCCGAGCGGCTGGGATTGAAAGACCCGGCCATCCTCGTCAACATGATCCTCGGCGCGCTCATGCTCATCTCCTTCCCGTACATTGAGAGAAAAATCTCCGACCCGGTGCTTCCGCCCGCCATCCTCTTGAATCGCCAGGTCATTGTCCCGCTGAGCACGTTCGCCATCACCGGCGGTTGCTGGGTGACGTGGTTTTTCGTCGCAACGCAGGCATCGCTGAACCTGCTACACTACAAAGTGGTTCTTGCGGCATGCTACTTCCTCGTAAGTCGACGCGCGCTCACCACAGCCAAAACCGGACTGATGTCGCACGTCGCAGCCAGCGACGGGAGCAGCCGTGATCGGCGGCGTAGTCGGCAACGCGCTCGTCGACAGAGGCTACCCGAAAATCCCCATCGTCGGGGGCTACACCATCAGCGTCGGCGCGCTGGTACCCTGGGGATTCGTCGCGCCCAAATACGGCATCTGGTTCGTCATCGTCTTTTCCATGCTCTACCTGTTCGCGTCGCCGCCCATCACTGTCGGTGCCCAAAGCATCATCCTGCACAACATCCCCGTCGGCGACCACGGCACCGCCTCCGCGCTCATGTACGTCGCGTACCAGTTTGGCAGCTCGCTGTTCCCTGGCCATCGTCAATGTCGTCATGGGCAGCTTTGACATGAACACTGAGAGCGGGATGAAGGACGCGTATCATAATGCTATGTGGACGCTGCTGGCGTTGACTGCTGCCGGGTATGTTACCTTTGTTGTGTTTTATCTGGGCAATAGGGCGGTTAGTGGGTCCCCTTCTGCGCCGGTGGAGAGGCTGGAGAAGGAGCATAAGAGCCCGGATGGTGGCTCTAATGGCTCTAATGTCTGAACAGCGATATCAGGGATGACGGGATAAATGTGGTGGCACGACCGGTTTGATACCCTCTCATTTTGGTCTCTCTCCTTTTTAATCTTTATACCCTATGTTTTCATTAATTTAGTCGTCCTTTGGTTCTGAAAAGTCCAGTGAAGAATCACGGCAGAAAGAGGTAGATTCCAGTCGAGATAGCCTAAACTTCGTCTGCGATATATACCAAGTAGCAGCTACAACAGCATGTTGTTTTCTTCCAGCGATATCCCGCCCCATAGTTTGTGCGTACAGTTTAGCAAAGCAAATACCCATTTCGCCATATGCAAAGAGCCAGCTTGATACGAACAAAGAATGCATGCATGCAATCGGGCTATTTCTTTCTTTCTTTCTTTGCTGACAAACGAACTACAAAAAACCAGCTAAGGCACGGGCATGCACGTCAGTATCGCTTACATTCCTTTGCTAGTTGCCGAGGCACCAACAAAAAATACCCCATCCCCCGTCATCGCCATGCTCTAAAGGTGGCTGCTTTCCGCCAGAGCTAGGGCCCTTGCGCCCTCCTCGTTACACAGCTGCAGTGAGACGCCAGCAGCCGCGCGAACGCCTGCAGCAGGGTCAGTCAGCCAGCACTAGACATGTATTCACAGGAATATTGAGTGACTTACCAGCTCCCATAGCCAGCGCGACCTGCTTCACCAGCTCCGACGAGTCGCCGGCCACGAAGCAGCCCTTGACGCTGGACTCGGCAAACGTAGGATCGACAACGACCTCGCCGCTGCCCTCGCCCGTCTTCAGCCCTAGCTGGTCGATCAGATTCTGGGCCCTGTTGCGCGTCGGAGGTCTGTGCAGCAGCATGCCCAACTTGGCACTGGGTCCCGTCTCAAATTCCACCGTGATGCCGTTTTCCGGGCCCTCGCCGTTGTTGACGAGGCGCTTGACCGGCCGCGTGTCGAGCTTGACGTTGCTGGCCAGCGCCGTCTTGAGCGCCTGTTGGACCGCAGCATCCGAGGACACGGCGCCGTTGCTGTAGATGGTCACGTCGTCCCGGTTGAATGGGAGCGCCATCATGGCGAGATGATTGTAGCTGGGGTGGGGATAGCCCAGGACCCCGATGGGGTAGCCCTTCTGCTCGAAGCCATCGCAGAAGAGACATTGGTAGCTGCACGGACATTAGTACGACTTGTTGTAACGAAGAGATGGAGTAGCAATCACACACATATGCTCCGGCCAATTGTCCAGAAAGCCTTCAATGTGGTCAGGCAGGACGTCCTCGGTGCCGGTGGCGAGGATCAACTTCCGGCCAGCAAAGGTGTTGTTGTTGGAGCCGACGGCCTTGAAGCCCAGATAGCCGGGTTCGACCTCGGTGTTTTGGACCGAGACGATGGTGGCTTCCTGGAACTCAATGGAGGTGTAGGGCGCCATCTGCTCACGGGCAATGGCACGGAATTGACTAGGAGGCGTGCCATCGCGAGACAGGACCGTGTGCATGGCAGTCACGCCACGGTTGCGGTAGTGGCCAGAGTCGAAGATGAGGGTGCTGCGGCGGATGCGGCCGAGAGCGAGGGCGGCAGACAAGCCTGCGGGCCCGCCGCCGATGATCAACGAGTCGTATAACATGGTGCTCAAATGAGTTGATGCACACATGTCTGGCCGGTTGGAAAGGCTATTTATGTCTGCGGCCGGATGGCAAGGCAATTTATGTCTGCGTGAACAAAGCAGAAAATGTTTCCGGAAAGTCACCGCGATTGCCTGTTGTGGCAATTGCTGAAGCGAAACGCGCCTATCCGCCCGGTGGGTTTAGTTGGATAGCTGCTTATGCTCCGGCCGATGCGCGTGGTCCGGCTCAAATTTCGGTTGCTCGCCGCTCCTGGTCGGCGTTTGCCACCTCGAGGGCTGCGGTCAGCCTGGAGAGCTCTGTGCGGGCCTCGTCCAGCGCCGTCTGGCAGGTGACGAGCGTGGTGGATGGAGACAGCTGTTTAACGGCCTAGTATCTAAGAAGAATTGCCACAAGTCTAGCGAATTTGGCTTTTAAAGGTGGTTTTCCGGAGGCAGCGAAGTGAAAATGTAATGCACGGTTCTGAAGTAAAAAAAAGCAGCGGAGTAGTTGTATTTATATTGCTTTTCTAGAACGTTTATTTACGCAGCTTAAAGACTTACCGTGATGCGTTTGACGTAGCTGAACTACCTTTACTTTACTAACTCCACCGAACACTTGGAAATTCACTATTATAATTCTCTTTACCACCGCACTAGTCATTGTTCACAAACAGAGTAATTGATGCAGGGGAACAGAACTCTTTCAAGTACATGATTTACACAAGAAGTAGTGCGCAAATAGTTGACTATGCACGAGGAAGACAGGTTGCTCCGTTACAGTGATGAACAAAGAACATTGCAACATCTGAGCTGAAGCAGGGAAATATAAATCGGCTAAATAGCTATTACTCTAAATAGTTAGCTGGGTTATTTGCTTGAATGCAGTGTTTGTAACAACAAATTATCTATATCTGATGAATGTTTTCGTTGTCCGTTTGCCTGCAGCAAGGTTTTTAGAAACTTCTAGAAGGCCAGCGAATAAAAGCCCAGCATTATTGCGCCCAATGTTAACGTTTGAAATTGAAAAGTGCAAAGAATACCCTAAAACATTTCTGACTGACGACCCAGAAGAAAAATAAAACGAAATAAAAAACAAATATTGAAGCATGGTAAGATTACCGACAGAGTATTTATGAATGAAATACACTGATGAATTAAACCGAAACAAAATAAGCTCTGGTATCAGAAGTCCATGTATCTATGTACAAGCCAAGACACATTCGTTCAAATGCGAAGGTGTTTAGGGACCGATCGGGGATGTGCCTCTGCATATGAACTTAAGCGTGTCAACGATAACCCGCAAACGTGGTTCGAGCAAGCTGAGCGGAGGACTTGAAGACAAAGTGGCGTTGAGCGGCTGAGAAGGGAGAGCTGAGGTCGGAGAATCCCGGTGATCAGCCCACATAGGGCGGCTCTTTGCGGCTGAATCTTTGCTGCCCAAAGTGAAGAATTACACTCACCACTGCATAATCTCTTCCTCAACTAAAAGGCAAGAGCCGAGCAGCTCTTGCTGCAAACTCCGCAATTTCAGCTCAAGTCTTTAACAAAGCTGCTGCAATAAAGCTCGGGCTCGCCGCTGTCCAGTTTGGGGGTTAAGACAGGGAAACTAATCTAGAAACAAATTAGTTGAAACGGTGTGGCGTCCGACTAGTTGCACCAATCGCTCCTGTCCACTTGTTCTACAAAAGCTGGCTAGGACCATCATCCAGCTGATGTTGTGCGACGGTAAGCAATGGGGGCCAAATTATATTCTCCAAAACCTAAATACAGTCTCATGTCCCGTTTATTTAGAAACAATCTCTGTCTTCTTCCTACCTTTACTCATGGCAGGCGCTTCTTTCACACACGAGCATCGCAGCAAGCCATGGCTTACGGGAATACTCAAACGAATCCCATACTTGGGCTTACTCTCCCTCCTGACAGCAACTCTCTGCGCAGTTGCTACCCTTGCAATCCTTGTTTCATCCAACAGCAAAGACATAAAGGCATGGCCCTCCAAAGCGCATCCGCTTCAGCCGACAGTGATTGTTGCTATCCTTTCAGCTGTCGCAAATTCAACATTGCGGTACGCCCTCGCGGAAAGTTTGACACTGTTTTGGTGGAACAAGGCTTTGAGCGGCGATAGCAGCCTCAAGGACTTGCATCTCTCATGGGCATATGCTTCCAGTTTCCAGCGCTCGCTGTTCTCTGGTAGAAGGTTCAACACGATCGCTTTGGCCTGCATTATCACGACACTGGTTACTTTCGACGGCCCTCTTCTTCAACGCTCCTCCTCAGTCGCCACACGCTCGATTGTGCAGGATATGACGTTCGATGCGCCCGTCACTTTTGACCCTTTGCCAAGGGGATACTCAGGACAGAAATCCCTCCGTGGTAGTAACGTGACCTCGTTGTCACTGCCTTTCGCGCGGGTCGCAAAGGAGTTCCAAGCGCGGGACGACATGCACCTGGACATCAAAGGTTGCAAAGGTGTATGCAAGACCGACATACACGCCACTGGCCTTGACGTGCAGTGCTCCCAAGGCACTGCTCCATACAACATAACACTGGACCGCGAGGCATGGGGCACAGAAGTCGACATCGGCGGTATAAGTTTTTCACGGGAAGATAGCGACGCAGGCGCATTCAACGCCACGGTCCGCTACAAGAATGAGGCTGTCTGCACTGGCCTGCTGCAAACAATTCATTGCACGTTCCGCCTTGCCACCGTCTCTTACCCCATTACTATCGCCAACGGCACTGTCAGCCTCCGCCCTGCCGGCCTTAACGACACTGTCGCGGTCCTGCCTCCTTTTGCTGAGTTTCACGGGATATCGGATCAGCTAACGACGCTCGGCGGTGTCGTGCTTCTGGCCGACCAACTCTATAAAAGCGAGATCGCGATGCTGATCACAGTGCCGATTTTCTCGCTCAAGAGCAATGGATCCATGAGCTTTACGCATCTAAACAGCACGGACGGCTGTAATGTCACGTACCTCAACCCGATGCCGGACATACAATCCGGGCTGCGGGAGCTGATGTTCCGCACAGCGCTCTCACTGTCGAACTCTTCGTTCACACAAGCAGTACCCGGGACAGACGAATTCAATCTCAACGTGTACAACACAAACTACTACTATCTCGTTGCGGGGTTGTGCCTTATCGTGGCCAACGCGCTGGCAATTTTGCCCCTTTTCCTCGGATGGTGGCATCTTGGGCGCGCGTTCTCAATGAGTCCACTGGAGATCGCCAAGGCATTTGGAAGTCCGTTGCTGGCGAAGGCGGGGAGTAACAAGGAGGCCGATGATATGGTGCGAGGCTTGGATGACACGAAAGTGCAGTATGGTGCTGTTGCGGCTCCGCGTGCAGTGGGCGCGCCGATGGGTACAGGTGAAGTGTATAGGGAAGATATACCACTGATTAAAGTACCTGTTGTCGGTGAGCATGGTCTAGATGACGGAAGCAGCCTTAATGATAGGCGGATACCGTCTGGGGCAGAGACTCCTCGTAAGCTGCAGCAATTACGGACGCCTGAAATGGAGGACTTGCTTGAGGTGGATACTGAGGGGCTGGTTTTACGCTTTGCGAAAGAGGGAGAAGGCATTCTGCGGCCGACAAATGGTGCTATGTATAGGTGATCTAGAGGTTAGATGTTGGTTGTATAATTTAATGTGACTGGTCAAAATATCTTTGTCCTTAGATCGTCTTTCAGAGATCTACTAAAATGATTTCTGCCTAACTACCAGGTATAGTACTTAGGGCTCACCGGGCTCTGTATGATAGCCAGAAAAACTTAATATGATTACTGAAACCCATTGCTCTTGCCTAGCTGTTTGTATATTTCACGTAGCAACTAGCGGTAATACAATATACCTAACGTTATATGTGCGGTAAGAGGGAATAATTAGTATCAGTATTGTATTGGGCCCCTTAACCTGCTTTATATAGTCGTGCGGGGCTTGTCTTCGTAGAGTATTAAGGTAGGGGATGCGTTGCCGCAGTAGGAAAACTGGCCGGGGACTCAGAGATGAAAGCGACTGTATTTAGTACCATCTGCGAAAGCCTGTTCATGACGACTCGACTTCATCCAGCCACCTCCATAACAACTTTTGTTTTGACTGGACAGTCTACCACAGGCCTACACCATACCGCCCGACGACCCTACCTACATCGGCATCTCTATCACCCCGTACCACACTCGCCACAAGCTCACCTCCTAGACTAGGATCCCCAGCATCGACTTGCTTCGCCTGTTCAGCGCCAATGAAGCCAGTAGCAAGGAGGCCCGGATCAGCCGACCAGACCTTAAAGCCCTTTGGCGCAAGCCTCTTGTAGGTTTCAATCATGTACATATTGAGAGCTGCTTTGGAAGTGCGGTACTCCCTCCAGTCACGGTCGACTTTACTGATATAGTAAGGCGAAGAAGGATCGCTGGCGTGAGTGAGCGACCCCATGGACGAGCTGACGAAAACAATGCGCGGGTCTTTTGACGCAGACAAGAGATCGAAGAAAGCCTCGGTCGTGGCTACGGGCCCGACCACGTTGGTAGCGAGGTTGACTTGCATGCGTTCGGTGGATGTGGGAGCGGTGCTCGAGACGGCGGCGTTGTTGACGAGGCAGTCAAGACGGCTGTGAACCTTTTTGACGTGTTCTACGGCCGCGTTTATCGAGTCGTGTGATGTGACGTCGATCTGGATGGCTTCGACAGTCCCTGCAATTGGAAGGCCCTCGAGTTGGGTGACAGCATCCCTCCCGCGCTCGGCTGAGCGGCTTCCGAGGAGGACATGGTAATCGGACGAGGAAAGAGCAAGGTTCTTAGCCGTCTCGAAACCCACTCCTTGATTCGCTCCTGTAGGTATGAATTAACGTGGTTTTCTAAGGAGCAAGATGAAACCATCTACCTGTAATGAGAACAATGCGCTTTGAAGACGACATTTTTTGCACTAGGTCTGTAGTTGAGGTAAAAGAAAGCTGACGGAGAAATAAGCAGATAATCAAGAAACCTTGAATCAAAGAGCTACTACAGACCTTTAAATACCTTTGGCCACGGGGTTTCGGTATTTATCGGGCTCGCGCTTAAACAAAGCCGATGCTGACGGCTGCGGGTATAAGGTGGCTTAACACCGAACTACGGTTTTGAACCTGTATATCTAGGGAATCGTTTGCCTTCTACTTGGCAGTTCAATTCATTCAACTGGAGGATACTATAGTTGGCTCTGCAAGTGTGGGAAGCTTTTAGCGTGCATGAAGTTTTACGAGTAGTTTCAGGAGTGTTGAGCTACAGAACAAACGAGGAACTTATAAAAGCTCCGGCTATCGATAAGACACGGAGTTTAATTGTGACGTCAGCTCACGTCTTTCATCTTAAAGGGCACTGGCGGATCTCTCGGGTACTTCTGACACGTGAGACCAGTTCGTAAGTTCTTAGGGCGATGAACAAGGCAGAGAATATCTGTTACAATCCCTTCATTCCGTACGATCAGGCGAGTATGTACAGCTCCCTGGATCTCCTGAGATCTTCATCACCGAAAGAGAGACCAAACACGTGGTTATAAGGGAGACTGATTATTGTGGTCGCTTTGCTTCGACAAAAAGCTGCCGCGTGTGAGTAGCTGCGAGAATGCCGGCAGTAGGTCCCAGCAAATGCCATGACTGTTCATTGTTCCACAATAATCAGTTGGATAAAATGGCATAACAGAACAACAATAGCGAGAGTATCCAGCTAGCAGAAACAACACTTAAAACTGACAAAATTTTGCTCCAGATAGCGAACGGCTCAAACTACTAGCCTAGTAGTGAATGGAATTGGGAAGAAGTTGGGAATTGCTGAATGTGCCTTCACTTAGTCGCTACCACCGGAACAAGGCAGTCTTGGACTGTGGTCCTATTCTCAATGCTGCTCCCTCCACTCCCAGTCCTTGCTGGTCTTGCAGCGATCATCTTTGTCCCAATCATTTGTGTAGCAGCCCTGGATGCAGTACTCCTTGAAGGGGATTAACTTGAAGGGGATTGACCCGGAGTCTTTGCAGTAGAAGACCGAGTTTACAATGTGTGGGAAGTCAACCGGCTCATGTGCATCTATTAGTGACTCGATGATATCATTATAGTAGTCACCTATTGCGTGTTTGTTAGCCGTAGGAAAGTATTTAAAACCTCGGAAGAAGCTTACCGTTTTCCATGAGGTCACGTCCACAGTAGTAATGTCCGTAGACACACTCCTTGGCAGAAACAAAACTGCTTAGGGCTGCAATAAGAATTGCAAAGGTAATGGCGGACTTCATCTTGATTGAAATAGGCGGGGTCCGAATTGCTCAGTGTAGAAAGAAGCTCTATGAAGTTGTATGGATAGACTGTAGATATCAGTGCTTGAGAGTTTTCTCTATCGATATATATAGCTGGCGTAGGTTTAGCAATGACTAAGTCGTGGAACCCAAAAGCCTTCCGAATCGCCTGATCTCTTACATATCTCCTCTTCGATGCCAAGTCATCAGCTATGCATATACGAGACTTCACTATCCGGCTACATCTAGATCTGCATCATGCATACCACCCACTGCTCCGGTTAGCCTCGTGCGACGACCAATTTGAATGCGGGTTCACAGCGGACGAATAGGCGTGTAGGTGCAAAGAGAGAGAAGAGCAAAATAACAAGTAGAGTCTGGTAGATGACTCCCTATAGCCAGTAGTTCGTCTTCATCCTACTCGTCTTCTTAAGCCTTGTATCCTTCGTCAGCAACGGAATTGCTGGCGGTCGTGGATGGAGTAGATTACACAAAAAAAAAAAAAAAAAAAAAAAAAAAAAAAAAAAGAACTAGCGCGGGTGCATGCATCCCCAACAAAATTTGCGGGAAAGCACATACATAGATCGGCACGTGCGACCAGAAGCAGATAGAACGGAGCCGGGCTCTTGTGCTACAGTACTACAATGATCACAACCACATTTGACACTTACTATATGCCCTTTTATGTCCATAACACTGCGTATATGCGCAACGAAAACAGGTATGACTACTTCGACCAAGGCCCTCGCTATAAATCCATATACCTGTGCCACAATCTTGAAAAACAAACCAGGTCTCTATGCCAGCTCCCCGCACGGTGACCACTCAGTGCAACGATACCAGCATGAAGCCGTTCTAGCGCAGAGTAAGTATCCGTTTGTGTACTTTCTAAACGAGGATACACCCTGTCGACAACTACTCCTATTCCGCTCCCAAAAATAGTAAAGATTATAGAGAGCGAGGCGATCCTATTACGGGTTATAAATTCGCGGCCCCTCTCCCCTGCTAGCGCCGCTAGAGCCTATGCAGCATGCTTGATTAAGCAAAAATTTCACGTCGTATCCTCGCTTCTTTAACGTCAGTCACTGTAAAGCGAGATTTACCGTCTTACGAGATAGTAATATTTATACGGAGTAGAAGAAGAGACCTAGTTATTGTATAGAGTCTATGCGTGCTCTAAGATCTTCTTACCTACACCTAGAACTCGGAATGGGAGCTAGGTAGGGAGTACTCTGTAGGGACTACTTATATCATCCCTCACCTCGCTAAATAGTAGATCTTGATTCCTAGTAACGGACGTTATACAATTAGGAAAGGTATCTTAGCAGCCTGCAAGACAGTGGCCGGCGACACGCGAAGGGATGGTGACATTTCAAGGATGCGCGGGTGGATAACCCTTAAGATGCAGGAGGCTATGGATGAACGTGGCTCTGACACAACGAATAAACAACCATTGGGGCAAGGCTGTAACTATCCCGTTCAGAATTCCAGAGACAGAAGAATCAAATCAGCTGAGATGACCGCATCAACTGCCACTCATCCATTACTTTTACTTCCTGCAAATAAGCTGCCCATGCAAGATGGTGTAGGACGCATCCTCATTCTCAGCATAATCATTCCAGCCTTTGCAACATATTTCCAGGTCCTCAACAGTGGCACCACCAAGCTCAGTGGCCTTTGTCCGGAACTCGCTTTGCTGCAAGCGGTCAATCCAATACTTCGCCCAAAACTCCCTGTCATCCTTATCGGCTTTGCACCAAGTTCCAGTGCTGACTTCCATTTTCGATCTCTCAAAGCCAGTCTGTCGTGCTAGCGCAGCCAGTCCTCTCCCAGCGTCAGGAGAGCCACCTCCCGCTTGAGCAGTCCGCAGGTAAACGTCATGGAACAGCTGCAAACCCTCACTCTCCGGGTACCAGACTGAAGCCTTCAAGATAGCCTCACGCAAGCTCAGGAGACCATCGGGCTTAAGCACTCTCCGCATTTCGCGAAGCCCGCGCACCGGGTCTCCCACATGCTGCAGCACCTGGTGCGCATGCACAACATCGAATTCGTTGTCGCCGAACGGGAGGCCGTACACGTCGCCCTCAGCAAACTCGACGTTCTTCAGACCGCGCTCTTTCGCGACCTCGCGGGCGGCAGAGACGACGTGGGCGGATACGTCGACGCCAACTACCTGCCCCTGCGGCACAAGCGCTGCCAAGTCGCAGCTTATGGTCCCGGGGCCACATCCGACGTCCAGGATGCGCAGTTTGTCCGTCAGGTGGGGGAGCAGGTGCGGACAGTCGGCCGACGCGGTGCGTGTGGAGTGAGAGCGCACGGTTGCGGCGCCGTGGATGTAGCTTGAAGATTGAGACATGATGATGAGCGGATTCAAGTCTTGTGGAAATGTAACTAAGAGGAGGAGGGTTTGTTGTTAGATTATAGAAAGAAGTGTAGTGAAGATAGGGATACTTATACTTCATAGCCTGTCGGAGTTCCGTCTCCACATTTCGTTTTAGTGCGGAATTCCGTTTTGCCAGTCCGCGGAACTCCGAGATATACGTCATCACGAAATATACTATTTACATTACCCCATTTTTTACTTGGCTTATAAGATTTAACGTCCATCACCGAGAACCGAGATCCACCGTCTAGCGAGACAGGGGGTAATACAAGCAGTCCCTATAGAGTACTCCTTGTCTTACTCATATCCCGAGTCCGGGTATAGATATGAAGGTCTTAAAGCACACACACTCTATACATCGCAGCTGGGTCTCTTCTTCTCCTCTATACAAGTATCACCATCTCGCTTCCCGGTAAATCTCGTTTGACGGCGACGGACGTTATAATCGATAAATCTTCGCTGTAAACATCATGAAAGAGGAAGGAGTTTGTTGTAAAGAAAATCTCTTCACCCTTGTGAACCAATTCCAGGCTCAAATGTCTTCAACTGTTCTCATTTCCAAGGTCCCCCAGCAGCTTCCAGTAACATCGCTTTGATATTTTCATCTCCCGGTAACACCTTCCTGTTCGATTGTTCCAAAAGCGCGATGGGTTCATATCCATCTGCGTCTTTCACCAAAAAGTTTGCCTTTTTTTTCCGACAGCATTTCCACAGCCGTCGCTGCCCCAGCCAAGACAGCATGATGTAGTGCTATACGTTTCTTTGCACCGCTAACGGCATCCAAATCAATCTCTTCGCTCTCGACTAGCAGTTCTAAAACCTATTGCTCTAAATCTTACAGTTCTCCACGCCACATAAGTGCGGTGGAAAGAAGTGATGTCGAGCCATTCGAGTTAACGACGGTGACGTCTACACCTTTGTAGAGGAGCATTGCTACCGCCATGGCACTGCGGCGATATACCGCCAAGTGAAGCGGGGTGTCCAGGGTTTCGGAGACCTGAATGTTAAGATATTTATTTCAACCCAACTATTCTCTAGAAAACCGGCGGTGTATGTTTCTGATATTCGTGTCACTACCACTTTTCCAGCATATCAAAACAGATAATCCTGCACCAGTTAATAAGAGAGAACCATTTCAGCTATGTATATATGAAGGTTATTGAGGATCGAGTAAATAATACTGTCTAACTTTTTAAATCAGTAGATATCCGCTACGTTTATATAAATAAAAGAGAGATAACTTACCAAGAAGGTAATACGAGAAATCGGTGGTTGCTGCTAGGTAGTAGTAGGTAGTAGTACGGTGTTACTTTGCAGCGAACCAAAAGCCATGACAAGATATACTCAAAGCAATTGGACTTAGCCAAAATTCAAGCAGTGAGCATCGATTTTCATGACAACGCTACTTAATAAAATGCATACAAAGCCTTTGTTCTCGAAACAGCAAGCCTCAACTCTACTCAGCGGCACCCAGCTACAAAGCAGTTTCGGCAGCGGTGTAAGTGCATACATACATTATAAGCCAACAAAACACACAAATTACTATACAACAACTCTATACACGAACAACGCCTCACTTACAATACATCTCTCACGTCGCTCCTCAACTACATAACCAGGAACCACATAGCAGCACAACACGTACTCACAACCCCCCCGCACCCAAGCATGAGCACCAACAACACCCCCGTCCCAAGCACCACAATGTCAACCCCCCCAGAGCTGACCATCACCATCACGCCGCCCACAACCGCGGACCCCACCTCCCTCCCCCCCACAGCCGCCGACCTCGCCAGCCTCGCCGTCATCAACCCGTACGCTATCACGCGGACGCGCCGGCGCAAAATGCGCCTCGCCAATACGGAGCTGCTGCGCGCGCTGCTCCTGTTCAACCACAGCATGCTGACCGCCGCCGGCGCCGACCGCTACGAAGCGCTGTTCCGGCGGCTCAACGCGCTGCGCGCGCAGGTCGCTCAGCTGGAGGCGCACCTGGTGCGGCGGGGCGTTGCGCCGGCGGGGCCGGACGCGCTGGCGCTGTGGGAAGAGTACCGGGCGCTTGCGCGCGCGGTGGTGCAGGAGCAGGTGGGTGAGGAGGAGGGCCCTGGCGTCGAGATTGCGGTGGCCGAGTACGATGCCCGTTGTCAGTACTTTTTGAGCTTGGGCAGGGACCAGCTCGTTGATTTTGCGGTGGTGCTGCAGGATGCGGAGGGGGAGGATCAGGTGTGCGAGTTTGTGGATGTGCTGTGTGAGGAGACGGAGGAGAGGGTCGCTGAGCTAAGCCGTGAGGAGTAGGAACTTGCGAGCTTGCGTGTGCTTGCTTGGGCGTCTTTTTGCTCTTTTCTTGCCATGCTTGATGTGCGATAGGCTCTGGTAGTCTTGATAGGCTCTTGTTGGCTTGGTAGGCTCTGGTAGTCCTGCCAGGCGTCGGTGGTCTTCCGATAGGCGCTGGTAGCCTTGCGATGATTGATGTTTTGTAGACTTAGCAGTAGAATTGACAACTTCTCTACAATTATGTACGGTATAATGATGGTGACTTCATGGCTAAATGTGAAACAATAACTCTTAGGGGTTACAAACCATTGTGACGATAGAGAATATCCGGCATGCCGAGGAAATCTTTAACATTGTTGTTGTTCGAGGTTCTTTATATCTAGGGATTGTGAACAAAGATTCAAACAAAGAAATATTAAACCGCTCCCAATATTGCTTTATCTCTGTAGCTTATAACTAACTATGATAATTGCAAATCTGCGTTTACGCTTGAGGAATCAAAAAGAGTAGCTTAACTACGTTACCCTATTAAGGTGGTTCTGCCAGCGCCGAATATGCGATTCCATAGATTCAGTAATTACATTTTGTTGTGCTGTGCAAATGTCAATATCTACAGTGAGCATTTTCACAAGTGCGTGAATAATATATGAGATAACTGCTGCCAGCTAGCAAACAACTTAACAAGAGCATCCGTACCACAGATGTCGTCTACTCGTAGCTCGAAGGGACCAAAGAGTTAGCCCAGTCCTCCACGTTGACGTAGCCGTTGCCATCCTTGTCATCCATGCTGTCATCCTTGCCGGAATCGGTGCCGAGCTTCGTCTCCGCATCATCCGGGATGCCGTCATTATCGGAGTCCTTGGGGGTAGTTCCGGGGTCAACGTAGCCGGGACCACCGACATCCGCCTCATCCGAGATGAGCGCACCCTCCTTTCCGAACGACTGCAGCTGCTTGACGAGAAGCGTGTCGACGGGGTCGCGGACGAGGGATGCGCCAGCATGGCCAGAAACGTATTTGAGAGCAGCAGCAGCATCCAGGATCGTCTTCGGAGCGGGGTAGTCGTACTTCTCGGTGACGAGGTCCATGCCGCCGTAGTTGGTAGACGATTCGCCGAGCTCGGAGCCGTTGAGCTCGCCGTCTTTGTCGGAGTCGTAGAAGTTTCCTTTGACGTAGGCGTGGAACTTGTCGTTGCCGCGCGTGAAAGCGGTGACCTTGGTCTCGGGACCGGAAACAAAGTAGTTGCCAATGACGTGGACAAAGGACTCGCTGCTGGAGCCGCCGGCAATGTATCCTCCTCCGCCACCCCAGTTGTAGACGACGTTGTTGGTGAAGTCGTTCACGCCCTTGACCTTGGGGTTGCGCGTCTTGTTGTCGATGTAGAGGTTGCGGAAAAGCGAGACGCCGCCGTCGGTTTGGATGAGACCGCCGCAAGAGTGCGACACCAGACCTTGGCCAATGATGCTGTTTTGGATCGTGATGTTCTTGACGTCGCCGCTGATGGAGAAGGTCTCGTCACGGCCCCAGGACACGGAAAGATGGTCGAAGATCATGTTCTCGCCGTCGGCGATGGTGACGGCATCCTTGCCCTTGTCGCCGTTCTTGCCCATGCGAATGCGGACGTAGCGCACAATGGAGTTGTGGGCGTTGGAAAAGGACCATCCGTTGCCGTACGTCGTAACTGAAGTTGTGAATTAGCATATTGTATCGTTGCGCCATTCTTGGATTGGGATACTTACTTCCGCCACCAGGCGCCGTCTGGCCCAGGATGGTAACCCTCTCGCTGACGACGAGACGGTCGGTAATGTTGATGGTGCCGCCCACTGCAAAGACGACAATGCGGTCCGACTTGGAAACGGCATCTCTCAGAGAGCCTTCACCTTCTTCCTTCAGGTTCGAAACGACATAGACGCTACCCTCCCTACCACCGGTGGCATAGCGACCAAAGCCCTCGGCACCGGGGAAAGCAAGTTGCTGAGAAAGGACAGGCCAGACCAGGGCCGTCAAAAGAAGAAAAAGAGAGGAAAGTCGAAGCGTCATGGTGAAAGAAACGAATAGCAGGAAAGATTGACGCTGCTACGCACCTTCGAGTTTTCTGCAGGAGGGCGCATTATAAAGCGCGTCTGCATGATGGCCAGGTTTGATCGACGCGGCGAGTTGGAGGCGGGTTAATTTAAACGGGGATGGAGGCTTGCCGAAACGGGCGGTCGGAGGGCCGAAGCGAGCAGCTGTAACCCGTGGAAAAGCGCGGAGATCTCCCGAATTGCCGGCATGTTTCAAATTGCCGCCAATCAGAAACACGCTGCGGATTTACGGCTTCCTGTTCCTGCCAAGCTGCCCGATCATGCAGCGGGGCGAGATGAACGGGCCGCGTTTCGTTTTCATGGGCCGCCTTCTCCCCTCCGTCTTGGCGAGTGTATATAGATTCTTGGTCGCTTTTTGATTAGCTTACATTGATTGCATTAGGTGTTCGCTCGTCGGATTCGCAAATGCACCACAAACTTCCCCTCTGGAAGCTATTAGCCATGCTCTTAGGCATTATACACTGAAAAAGCCTCGAAAAATACCCTTAACTTGGCAACTCTTGCACAGATGTAGCATTTGGCAGCTCAGCCCAAGCGAGCTGTTGCTGGTGCCGTTGTGGATGGAGCGCGCGAACGAGCGCAGCAGCGGGCGGTACGTCGCTGCGTTTGCGGCGAAGATGCCGACGGCGGCTTCGAGCGCGGACCAGAAGGCGACGGGGGGCGCGAGGGGGACGGCCGTGGTCCCGGCTGCGGAGGAGGGCACGGTTAGCTGGGGGGAGAGGGGGTGGTGGCACACGCTTGATTGTGGCGAGGGAGATAAATCGCACGATTATGGCGACGCTGGCGCTGGAGCGGACGTTAGTTCTGATGTCTGTGTAGGTGGGTAGAAAGCGTGAGACGGACACTGAGCCCAGACACAACAGCAACAGCGCGCTGGCTTTGGTGCGCCAGCCGAGCGTCGACGGCAGGATCAGCAGCAACGGCAGGCAGTTCAGGATCTAGTCGCCTGCGGCGGAGACGGCGTTGTGGGCGCATGTGGCGCCGATGACGATTGGAGCAGAGAGACAGCGCCCGGTTGTGTGGTCGTTGAACTGCGTCCAGAAGAAGGAGATAGGCGAGCATTGGTTGAGCATGAGGAAGAAGTAGAAGACGGAGTAGAGCGTCGTGATGATCATGACGACGTGGAGTACCCGGATGTGCCAGAGGGTGGGTGTTAGGCGCAGGTAGGAGCAGCAAATGCAGAGCCGGAAGAACCTGTTGCCAATCACTAAGTGGACTATGGTGCGTCCATCAAGATCGGACCGTACATAGATGTGACGGTATAGCTCAGCTCTCCCCAAATAGTAGCCTGGGCAAACAATCAACCCACACAACCCCATAAAGCGGCCAACAAACCTGAAACAACGCAACCATCGTCTCCGTCCCCAGCGCACCAGGATCAGCACCGAACCCATTCCTCGCCAACGCGTACATCGACCCCGCCATGACAGTGAAGCAGACCTAGGTACTCAACACCCGTCAGCACCACCACCACCACCGCCGCTAATTAACTAACTAGGTAGGTACACACGCGCTATGCTCTAAAGCGACTGGCTACTAGCCACTAGTCCCAGGGGAAGTTGCAAGCAACACGCAGCACGTGGGAGGAGAACCTTAGCTCAGCCTGTCTCACTGGCTCTGGCTCTGCCTCCACTTCCAAGAGAACGAGAGACTGAGAGAGCCCGCGTGTTTCGTGTTCCGTGTGGCTGGCTAGCTATTTAGGTAGGTATTGTATACAGGTGCCGGCCATCTTGAAACTAGCTAGCACAGAGCAGAGCAGAGCAGAGCAGAGCAGAGCAGAGCAGAGCAGCAAGCAAGCAAGCAGGCTAAGGCAGTCGTATGCTCCCGACTTCTGCGTGTCAATAATGGCAATCAATCAATCAATCAAGCAATCAAAGCACGTACCCGCTCATCAAGCCATGGCATGACGTTCGTACACAATTAGAGTAGGTAGGTAGAGTAGCCTACTCTACTCGTACTCTACCCCGGACCGACCTCCCACGTCCCGCCTATCCATCCATCCATCTATCCATCCATCCACGCACCAGACCCGACCTCAGCAAAGACCAATAACAACCAGTGATCACTCATCACTCATAACTCATCACGCACCGCCACAAGCCCTTGTACCGTACCTAGGTAGCCAACCCAACCTACAACCTCCTTTTCTTCCCCCCCTCACTCTCGCCCATATCCTCGTCCGTCACAGCCACCGCCCGCCAATTCGCCACGCTCGCCTCGACATCCTTCGCCATCTCAACAGCGTCGCGGACGACGCCGTCGCCGCCGCTATTGAACATGACGGCATTGGCAAACATGCGCATGAGTTCGCGCTCGAGCTGCGCGCCGTTGACAATGCTCTTGGGCGGGACCAAGTCCTCCGAGATTGGCAGCGTCGTGTACGTGCTTGTCGAGCTCTGCGTCGGCGTCGCTGGCTGCTGCTGGCTCGGCGACGCCGCAGAGGGCGTGTCTGCTGACGAGGCCGTCGCGGCTGCCACGGCCCGGTTGCCGTAGTTGATGGCTGCGCGGATCGACTTGAGGTCTTGTGGCCGCCGGATGATGTCGTAGTAGCCCTCGGCGTCTTTGGTCTTGACCGGCGTCGCGAAGAGGCTGGCGTGCTTGTGCGACGTGATGTCGTTCATGACGGGGTTGCTCATGCGGTTGAAGTGCTTGGCCGCGACCACCGTCGTAGGCGGGCTGGGCGTCCCTATGTTCATGTCGATCTCTGGCACGTCGGGCTCCATTGTCTCCGACTCGTCACGCGCGTCGCGCTTCCGTTTGGTGCCCGCCGTTTGCGACTGCTCCAGCACCGACTGGAGCCCTCCGCCGTGGCGACGCGTGCGCCGACCAGATGAGGGAGTGGCCTCGGTGGGCGACTGTGCGTCCGACTCCATAGTCTCTGCTGGAGTGCTTGGCTCAGCCTTGACACCCAAAACAGTGTCTTCTGGATGAGACGCGACGGACTGGCTTCGGGTCCTTCCGCGAACTGAACCTGTCACGGCAGACGAAGCGGCACTTCCAGCCCTCGCCCGCCTTCCCGTCGTCGTTTTGCGATTTGTAGTGCGACCGGTACGAGCCTCGGTATCTGGCGCCGGCATCTCCTTGGATTTTGCGGCGCGCTTAGTCGTCTTTTTCGCCGTCTGCGGGGCACTAGGCACCACTGGAGATGCACCCGGGCTGATGGGGCTGACTGGAGCCGGATTCCATTCCGGAGCAGTATAAGTCGCCTGCGACAAGGGTCTCTTCCACGATCCAATCGGTGTGCCAATTTTTAATGGTGGCGGTCTGGGAGTCCGGAAAGCAGTCTTCGGCGTCGAGACAAGGCTCTGCAATGGCAGTGGAGGTTGTGGACCCGGTGTCTGCGCGTATGGAGATGGACGTACAGGAGTCGCGACTGCCGTCCTCGGCGAGGGTGCCGGACGAACAGGGTGTTGTGTCGCCTGTTGCTGTTGTTGCTGCATAGCCCTCTGTTGTTCCTGGTGTGCCCGAACAGGGTCCTGTGGGCTAACTTGGAAGGGGGCCAGCATGATTCCGCCCGGCTGGCGGGGTGGCACATACATCTGCGGCGCTGCCTGTTGTGGAGGAAATGGCGGCTGACCTGGATAAGGATAGTAACCAGCCGGCAATTGCATCTGCTGGTGGTGATGGGCCGCAGGCGATTGAGCTCCAGGCGCAAATGGCCTCGGTGCGTATTGTGGTGGTGAATGATGCGGGGAGCCAGACGGCGGTCGGAACTGGCCATTGGGCTCTGGCATAGAAGGTACCTGGACGGGAGGCGGTGGGATATGCATTCCAGGCGGCGGTGGCAGGACGACTGAATTGGCCGGTGGTCGAGAGGTAATAGGGACATTTTGCGGAGTTGGACTGGGCGAATGGCCAGGTCCGCTTGGTGCGAGGGCGGGAGCGTACGGGGAGGCCAAACGAAAGCTACCGTGAGGCTGTGGCGGAGGAAGTCCTACATTCTGCGGTAGCGGCTGCGATGGAGTTCTTTGAAGCGGGATGGGCGCCGGAGTTGCGTGTGCTGGCTGCAAAGGTGAAGGTGCTGATGCCTTGCGGGGCGATGTGGTTCCATTCGCGGCATTGGGAGACACGGAGGACGGCGGATTGATCAAGGCTTCGATCTTGGCGGAAGACCTTCTCTGCTCTTGCGTCGACGGCGTAGCCGGAGAAGGGCCTTGACCAGCCGGACGCGTCTTCTCTACCAGCGGGGGAGACTTGACAGCGCCTTGTGCCTCTTTCTGCGGAGCTTCGGCGCCGGCGGATTGGGCGCGCTCATCAGATGGCTGTCGCGGAGCTTCATCTCGCGGCGCCTTGGCCTCCGCCTCTTGACGGATCTCTTCACGGAACTTCTCATCCCAGTCGCCCCGCTGAATCTCCTCCAACTGTCTTCTGAACTTGTCGTACTTGTGCTCTTCCTGTCGGATTTCGTCGACGGCATGGCGGCGGTATCGCGCGTATAGCTTGTTGACGAGCTGCGGGACGAGGTGCGAGTGTTGGGCGGCGTCCTGGACCGAGGGCAGCTGCGGGCTGGGGGCCTTGCGCTTTCGCGATGATGGGCTGTCACCGTTCTGGGTTGGGTGGTCTGCGTCATTCGGGCCGTGCAGCTCGTCTTTGATTTCGTCCTTGAGCAGGCGCAGGTAGAGGTCCTTGAGCGCGTCGGCGGTGAGTCGGGCAGGATTGTAGTCGGGCGCGGCGGTGACGAAGGGATTGGCCTGCAGCAGGTCTGCGATCCTGCTGAAAGTGGCCGGGTTTACGCCATGACAGGCGAGCGACTGGAACAGCAGCAGAGACTCGAGCGGCGAGTAGGCGGAGATGAAACCGCTCATGCCCGGAGGACGAGGGCGATGGTGACGGGCGAGGTTCTGTAGAGGAGCCAGGGCGAGGAGCGGGGCCTGCGGGGCATGATACGGGGAGCGGGGAGCGAGATGGAGACGCGACGGTGGTGGTGGTGTTGGTGGGTGATGATGGGGGAGAAGCTCTGGCGTTTGCGACGCGCCGCTCGCTCTCTCGCTGGTGCTGCTGTGCTGCCCGCGCCCGCCGGAGTGTTCGCCTGAGGCAAGAATCTTTACGTCACGTGAGCGTATCCGTTGACCGGATCGGGCGGGCCATCACGTGCAGCTGAAACGCCTGCTAGCGCCTCTTTCGTCAGGGTCCAAAGAAGGCAGCTGTCGGGTTGGGCTGTTTCGCTCCCTCCGATCCCTCCTTTCATGTCCATCGCCAGGTGGCGGCGTCACACACTCTCTCTCGGAACCCCCTCCATGTTGCGCCCGATTCCCGCCCGTCCTACTGATGCCCATGCCCGACGCTAGGTTACCCCTCCCAGACCTCACACCCCCCCCACACCCCCTGCACCGCGCGCCGTCGATCGCATGAGGGTCACCGCGCGCTGGAAATGACTGGGACCGCGACGTATCAAAACACCTCCTTTTCCCTCCGGCCATGCTCGCTGCCTTCCCACCCCTCTCACGCGTCGCAAAGTGCTCCCGCTGCTCGCTTCCTCCCGCCGTCGCCAAAAACAAATAGTTGTTACTACAGCCTTCTTTCTCTCTGCACCACCACCACCTCACCGCTGCTTCTCCCTCTCTCCATCCCCGGTCCAAGCGCCCGACTCTCCCGCATTCCGCCCGCCGATTGATTGTCTCCTCCTGCCAGCGATCTCGGTGCTCTGCTTGCTCCAACCACCGTAGCCATGTCGAACTTCACTACCAACCCGAGCAACCCCTCCAGCCCTGACCGCGACTGGAAGCCCAAGAACCGGCCTCAATCGTGCGCCTACCCCGCCAATGCTCCATTCGCTGCCTAGCCGGCCGGTGTGCTGACCTCGCTCGCCGCAAACAGCCAGATCGCCCGCAACTTCTCCGACGCCCTCGACGACATCTTCAACCTGACGGGCAAGTTCGACGAGGTCGAGAAGGAGGTCGAGCAAAAGTACGCCACCCCCACACGACCGCCTCCCTTCCCGCGCCACTCCGGCTAACCAAACCTCTCCTTTTTCTTCTCGTACAGGCACACCAAGCTCACCACCAAGGAGGCCGAGCTCGAGGCGCTCGAGGCGCGCTTGAAGGCTGCCGAGGAGCGCCTGAAGAAGGCGGGCGCGCCCATCCCCAAGCCCGAGCCGCCATCCAGGCCAGCTCCGGGAGCGCCCGCCGCCGCCGGGCCTGCCGACGGCAACATCCACGGCGGGCGCGGCCACCAGGAGCCCGTCCCGATGCGCCCGACCCGCGAGCCGCCCACGGTGCCCAACGCCGCCCCGGGCAGAGAGTACGCGATGCCGAACCGGCCGGCGAGCAAGGGCATCTCGGCATAAACGAGAGCTCCGCCGCTACGACACCTACAGGAGCTGGGATATCGGGCGTTTTTTCAACGGCAGTCAAGAGATACGCAAATACACACACACACACACACAATGACGCTGCTGCTGCTGCATTGGGCGGGAGTTTTCGGTGGTATACCAGACATGAAAACCGGAGGAATCGGACTTTACAACTTCGACAAAGCTTCTCATTTTTCTTGTCATTTATACTTTTTTATTATTTTGTGGGGATGGGACGGGATGGGACGGGGATGTGGATGAATGGATGGATGGATGGATGGAGGTGGGGTCCTTGGAGGCGGCGGCGGCGGCGGCAGCGGCAGCGGCAGTGGCGCGGCGGGCGGGCGGGCTTGTCCGTCTTTCCCGCCACTTCCGCCGCTACCACCACCACCACCATCGTCGTCGCCGCAGTCGCTGCTGCTGCCTCGGGCGCAACGGGGCCGCCTAGGTACTCATGTACTACCTACCTTACATACTACGCACTGTACTCGTGGGTAGGCAAGTACATGGAACCCGGCCGCGGAAACAGCCCGCCCTCCTCCTCGTCCTTCGCACGCGCACTACAAGCAGCCAAACAAAAACACCAAGGCGCGTCGCGCGTTTTTTTGCAAGGCCGACGCGCCGGTCCCGGTGCGCAATGGGATGGATAGGATGGAACAGACGGATGGACGGACGGACGGTCGGGGCCACGCACGCATCTTTTACGCATTATTGTATTGCATTTTTCGTAGGTTTCTTTCTATCTTCTTTCAGAATGTCAGCTACGTGGGAATGCTTTTTTGTTTTGTTTGTTTTGCTGTGCTTGTGGTTCTTGATGATGATTCTCGCCCTGGCGAGCGAGGTGCGTGCATCCCAGCACCAGTGTTTCGCGCTCGTTCGCCGTCGTGCGTTTGTTTGGCGCATCCGTGCCGTACATCGCCGTCTTTGTGCCATTAGGTTATTTTTCCGCCGCTGGTTGCGTGCTTGCGGTTTGATGTCCGCAGAGTCGTGGGGTCGCGACTGGGGCCGCCTGCCCGCCATGCCAGACTTACTCACTTCCTTATCTGAAACGAGCCGTGTGTGTTGTATAGCTATTGTAGGTGTGCAGTTCTCACCGCCCGTTGCGAGCGCTGTCTATCTGCGACGGTGGCAGGGACAGGGCTGAGGGGGTGTACGGATCCGTACGTCTTGTGTGACTGTAGCTAGGACCGTGGACGTCGTGGGTGGTGCGAGGCTGTTTATATGATTCTGTACCTGGCTGGCTACATACCACATACGTGCGACTGCCTGGAAGAGTGTGGAGTGCATAGATATGGTATGGGGTAGGTATGGGGTGGAGTTGCGTGATCGGCTGCGCGCAGCTGCTCCCCGCTACCTGCGGATAATTCAACGCAACCTATTGGTTCTGAAAATTTCATAATACCGCTGATCTGGGACCGCTGCCTCCCTCGTGGGTCCTCACTCCTCGAGACGCGGCCTTATACGGGACTCCGCCTTCTCAGACTGTTGCGTTCGGCAAGATGATGGATGGTAGGTAGCGAAGGCCGGGCCTATGAGGTCTTTGTACTGATCGCGCATGGAAGCCGTGGTCTCGACTGCCTGTGCGCGGTGTCAGTGGATGACCTGGTATAAAGCACACCATCTTGCGGGGAAGGGAAATAGGATGGATTATCAACAAGGCGGGCAGCAGATCAGCCCCCGGCAACTCCCCCTCCAACTACAATACGCGTCTCGCAAATCGCCCTCGCGCAACCACCACCTTCGCCTCGCGCCAATGCTCGCGCACCCCGCCGCCTAAGCTTTCTGTATCCCCACGACCGTTTCCAAAAAGTCCACGATATCGTCAATCTCGTCCGGGACTTTGTACCAGTGCCCTTCATCGTACGCTTCCCATCGGACACTGCATCCCAGGCTCCCGAGCACATCTCTTGCCTGCTCGCCCAGCTCCACCGCCACTTTCTCATCGCTCCGTCCATGCCCCAAGAAGACCGGCGTGCGTGGGAAAGCCGGCGTATCCTGCGCTGACAGCGGCGGCAACGACGCAATATCGCGCGCCGTGTTTGCCGCGCGCAGCTGTAACCCCTCAAGGGTTGACGGTTGGCGGCCCACGGCATCCTCACTCGCGCCAAAATCCCCCTCTTCGTCGTCATCAGCGCCAAAGATATCGTCCTCGTCCTCTTCCCCATCCCCCGCTGCCTCCTCCTCCTCCCCCCTCGGATCCAACGCCCCAGCAAACGGCAGCCACCCGCTCATGCCCACGAACCCGGCCAGCGCCCCCTTATTCTGGCAGTGGTAGTTCAGCAGCACATGCAGCGCAGCCGCACAGCCTTGGCTCAGCCCGCCCACGACCACATTCTGCACCCCCACAAGCGCAGCCTCTTTCTCTATCAGCACGTGCACGAACGCGCTCGTCTCGCGCAGTCCGTCGTACTGCAGCTCTGGCCGCTGCGACGGGTCCGTGAGCGAAGTGTTGTCGAACCACTGGTTAATAGGGATGCGTTTCATAGTGGTGGAGCGGCGCTTCTTGGCTGTGGGGAAGATGAACTTCGCGCTGGGGAAGTGCTGCGCTAGTGTTTTGCTGTCGCTATTGCTGCCTGGAGTGGGAGTGCCGGTGGCGGAGGTTCGTGCTTTGAGGAGCTCGAGCCCGAAGCGCGACGCGTTGCTGCCCCGGCCGTGCAGCAGGATGATGCTGTGCGTGTGGGTGCCGGATGTGGGGTTTATGACGAGCGGGTCAGGCCAGACGGTTTGTTTGCGCTTCGTTTTGCTCATTGTTGGCGCGGGCGGCTCGTCGATTGGTGGCTGGGATGCCATTATGGTTTGCGGGTTTGGTGGTTTGGAGAACGCTGAAGAGAAGGCCGTTGTGTGCTTTTGTGTCCTGCCATGATGCGGCGGTGTGCTTTTCCTCCTTGCTTTATACTGGATGCTGTGTACGAGTTGTTGGTGGGGCTGCTAGGCAGCAGTGTCTTTGGTTGGGAAGATCGCCGGCTGCCTCTGCTTGCCTTCGCATGCTGCCTACCGCTGGCTTTTGTGAACGATGAGGTGTTTCGATGTTAAGCGCGCTGATCGGCCAATAGGGAATGCATGAGGGCACAAGGAGACGTGTGGCGCTTCTATCCAAGGTTCTATTTTCTACGGTAAGCACTAAGGTTACGCCGCAGCATGAGGCGTTGTTTCGGTTACATAACATATTTGAAAGAAACCGCCTTTCATAATGGATGTGTACTTATAATTCGACATTCAGGAAAAACACCAACGCATTCGGAAAACGTGTTCAGAACACTCAGTAGAATATCCAAGATGCTTCTGGAGTGGACGGCTTGGGCAGTCGAGCATAAAGAGATGACTCCCTCTAGCCTGAATACGAAAGTCAGCCTCACTCATCTGTGGCTACCTGCAAGCTTCACGTCAGTTCAGCAATATTAGTTCGTGATTAGAACGGTCAAGGTTACACGAAACAAGCCGTAAGCTGATTTGCATGTTCATTTCCCTCGTGGTTAATAACAAGCGCTCTTCCTAACTTTTCTCTACCGTCATCTTTCTTTTTCTGTGTTGCGCCACATGTTTTTCGTTTCATTATCACAGCCAAGTGGTTTCGCAGCTTTGGTGCTTGCGATATGCCAGTTTTTCCTTTGCGTTGAGGCTGCTCAACTGCCTTCCCGACCATGGCGCAGAGCTACTGATGAGACCGGAGTCAAGCGGCGGCAAGAGGGCAGTCCAACCGCACCCAACTTCATCCGAAGAGCGCACCACGACTCCATCGTCCTTGGAGACTATATCTACATCGACGGCGGAGAGGTTTCGCAGTACATTAATGGCAAGGCCGACTCCCTATCTGTTCGCCAAAACAACAACACTCTTTCCATCTACCTTGGCTCGTCCTGGGACGCCTCAAGCGTGGAGATACAGACCATCGACAAGCAAGACGCACCCGTCTACAAGGATCCCAGTCTTTGGTCCAACGGCAAAGATGGAATATACATGTTTTCTGGCGAACCGAGCTATTACTTAGACGAGACATCTGCAGATATAGCGCTCTGGAAATTCACAGCAACATCATCTGGAAGCGGAACCTGGGACAAGCAGAATCCGTCCGACGCGCGGGGGTTCAACCAATTAACACGGCCTGCCATGGCGCTTGCAGCCAGCTACCACAATACTGGCTATGTACTCGGAGGTTGTGCGTCTGGGGTACCAGTGCCTGGAATGGTGTCTTACAACTGGACGAGCGGGCAATGGAGCAACGCTTCGACCTCGGCGTATACGGCTTTGGGAACAGCGGTTGCGGGTAAGTTGCATCATGTGCCGATGTATGGGAAGGACGGCTTGCTGTTCTTGCTCGGGGGATCGAGCACTGCGACCATGACGGGGTGCCGTGAGAATGGACGCGATCGCTCGCAAATCCCTTTCAACAACATCACTATCTACGACCCTGAGGATGGGAAGTGGTATTCGCAGACTACAACTGGGGACTCTCCTCCCATGAGAGAAACATTTTGTCTCGTAGGGGCTCAGGGGAACAACGACACATATGAAATGTGCGTACAGTGATATAGCTCGTACAACTGATCTGGCGACACTGACTAGTTTCTCGTAGATTTGTTATGAGCGGGTACGACTCGTTCCATGAAAAGACACTGGATGACATGTACATTCTTTCGCTCCCAGGCTTTCATTGGTTCCGCGTCTCTGACACATCCGGCTCGAATCGTTATGCTCACACCTGCAACCTTGTTGGTAATCGACAAATGCTCTCCATTGGAGGCATAGACTGGGACAAAGGATTTCCTGAGGCTTGGTGAGATTAACTAAGTGCATTGTCTCATTTTTGTATGCTAACTCCTGGTGATAGGCAGGATGTTGACCCGTGGGAGCAAGGTCTCGGCGTATTCGACTTGACAGAGCTGAAATGGAAAACCAACTACGACGCCGGTGCCGACGCCTACAAATCACCGCAAGTGGTACAGGACTGGTATAATCAAGGGTCAGTTAAATCTTATACATCAAATCTTTGTAATGTGAAGCATTCGCTGACAAGTTATCAGTAACGCAAAAGATGTCGCGTGGAGGGACGATCAAGTCCGCGCACTCTTCTCTGCCGAAACCGCTGCTCAGGCGGGACCCAGCAACAGCAGTAGCAGCAGAGACGATGAAGACGGCTCTACCTCGAACAACACGGGTGCCATTGTCGGCGGCACAGTCGGCGGCGTTGCAGCCCTGCTTCTTCTGGCCTGTCTAGCATGGTTTCTTCTCCGGCGGCGAAAGCGAGCAAACTCTGCAAATATCCATGGAGCCACATCTCAGCCGATCACCTACACACACCAGCAGGAGTATCCTAACAATTTCAGTGACGTCGGATATAGGCCTGTCGCCGAGGCAGATTGGGAACGAGCTGTGTCAGAGATGCCGGCGAATAAGGTCGTTCGGGAGCTGCCTAATGCTACTTCGGTGCAGGAACTGCCGAACTAGAGTTCTTGACGCGCTTGCGTCTGTCTTCTTGTTGTATGGTATTTAATGGACGAACGAGCTGGGACTAGAAACCTTTGGACTTGTTTGGTCTGCTGCGGCTGGCCTGGCGGTGTTTGATTCCTCCCAGGACCGTCGAGATGAAGCACGTGATAGAATGCTACAAGACACTTAGCTTTAACGGTGGGTTGCAGATCCGCGTGAGCTTCGTTGGTGTTTCGCTGCCTAGCGGAAGCCTGTCCCGCTGCCGGCTGTGTTGTGTGGTGTCGTGCATCGGAGAAATTCTTGCCATGAAGGTCCGTGACCGACTTCTTGATCAGCGAACATTTCTTTCACGTACACTTTAACCTTTATCATGTCTTATTGTCCGGCTAGCTCGTGCGTACAGTTATTGACTGGCGGTACGTTACCCGGCGCGATTCCAAATGCCCAAGACCATGAGCAGATGACCTGACCTTCACAAAGGACGCGGGGACGGCGTGTCTGCTGTCTCTGCGGCGAGGTAGAAAAAACGCCCTTCGCGTGTCCAGTGATCTTGCTCGAAACCTCACCACCAGCACGGCACGTCTTGTCGTAAACTCTGCCGGGCGCGACGGCGGCGCACGCGAGTCTCAGGAACGGCACGCCAGCGACAAAACAGCAAGGTGCGGACGCCCAATCCTGGTGCCGTGTTGCGTGTGCATGATGCACGTCGGAAAGGCCACCGCTATAAATAGCACTGCGCTGCATGTGCCGCAGAGGCGGGGTAACCGAGGGTCAAGATCAGATCTCGTGGGCAGAACCGGTGCCGTTTATGGTGAGTGTGGGCGTTTTCGCTGTGCTGTTGATGTGATGGATGGCGATAGCGAGGTTTTTTGATCCTAGGTTGGTGGTCTGAGGATCTAGATCGCCGCGAGTGGGGACTGGGGAGCGGGGTATGAGCGGACGAGGCTCGTCACATCCCTGCAGGCTTTGCGTAAGTTTGTGCTCCTGTGAAGGCAGTGATGTAGACGTACATGTCTAACAGAAAGAACAAATTCTCGTGCAGAGATAGCTTGTGTTTAGGACTTTAGAATCGAAAAGTTGGTGTGGTATATCTGCAGGATATTGGCGACAAGGTATTCACTATCAGATTTCTTTCACTCTTTTCACATCTAGAACAATATTTGTATCTTTAGCACTCGGATAAGAAGCTTTAAATCATATCACAACATTTTAGTCGAGAGAGCACGCTGCGCCGCTAATTTTGTTTAACAGTGTTCTTTCACAGTAGCATGCATGGATTAGGACTTAAGCGAGCCATATCCCTGTTAGGTGCTCCATTTCACTGGCCCAGAATGCGCTGTTCATTTATCATACGAAGAAAATAATAAACTTACGCATGACCTGCCCGTTCCTGCAGCTTTCACCTAGTTTAATATAGGCGGTAAGAGAGGACCATGCCCCGGATAAGGAAGGTGTGGGGCTCTGAAAAGACGCCAAACGCATCTGGAAGGTCGAAGTGCATCTCGGCCACGATCTCGCACTCCACTGATAAGGAAGGTCACGCAACGCACGCCCTCCCATTCACTTTCTAATTCGTACAAATACCTGCGATGGAGCTCCCTCTTTTCTAATTTCTATCGTGGTCGGCGGTATTTGCTTGTCGGGCTTTGGTCACCATGAAGGCCTTCGCGGTGGTTGTCGCCTTCGTTGCGAGCTTCACTTCTGGGACCATTCTTCCGGCTAGTCGCTCTTTGAACCGCCCTCCCCCACTCGCTGATAATGATGTGGTGACCTTCGGCAACGGAACATTCGAACAGTTGATCGATCATGACAATCCCGATCTTGGTACTTTCTCTCAGAGGTTTTGGTGGAGTGATGAGTTTTGGGCTGGGCCTGGATCACCTGTAAGAGATTTTGCTATGATGTTTCTGCGTATACACTAATTCTCGTACAGGTCGTGTTCTTTACTCCGGGCGAATCTGCGGCGGATGGCTATGGCAGTTACCTCACCAACAAGACCATCACTGGTCTCTTCGCGGAAGCCATTGGAGGGGCCGTTGTTATGCTTGAGCGTCAGTTAATTTATCCATTGCTTGAGCACGTGCAGCAGCGCTAATAACCAGCAGACCGCTATTGGGGAGAATCGTCTCCGTTCGAGGAGTTGACTACGAAAAACTTGCAGTACCTTACACTGGCACAGTCTATTGCTGATACCACGTACTTTGCCAAGAATGTTGAATTCCCCTTTGATAAGAATGGCAGTAGCCAGGCCACCAGAGCGGTATGTACATGGTCCTTGAACACATTGCCAGCCGACTAATCTTATTCTTTAGCCGTGGGTTTTCTCCGGAGGCTCCTACAGCGGTGCTCTGTCCGCGTGGACACAAGCCCTTGATCCCGGTACTTTCTGGGCTTATCACGCCTCTAGTGCAGTTGTCGAGTCAATCTACGATTTTGTAAGTTTTTCTTCTCTGGAGGTAAGAGCCAGTCTCTAATTTTTATAGTGGCAATACTTCGTACCAGTTCAAGAAGGCATGCCCAAGAACTGCAGCACCGACATTTCACTGGTCATTGAATACGTTGACGATGTTTTGACTCACGGCAGCAATGCTGAAAAGCAAGCACTGAAAAACAAATTCGGCTTAGGTGGAGTGAAGCATGATGCCGATTTTGCAGGGTAAGATACACAATACATGCGCAGAAATACTTATTGACAAGTCGTTAGTGCCCTTGAAAATGGGCCATGGCTCTGGCAGAGCAACAGTTTCTATTCAAACTACTCCGAATTCTACCAGTTCTGCGACTACATTGAGGTAGGACAGCCCACAGCCCGCTTTTTTCAGTAATTACTGACTACAGTAGAATGTGGCTGGTAACAACGGCACCAATATAACACATGTACCTGACGCTACCGGCGTTGGTCTTCACAAAGCCCTGAATGGATACGCCAAGTGGATGAAGACGATAGAAATCCCCGGCTGTAAGCTCAATCTAAATCATCAAGTTAATTGCAAGACAGACTAACATATTGTAGTCTGTGCCTCGTACGGCTACTGGACCGATGATTACGACCTCTCCTGCTTCGACACTTACAACGAGAGCAGCCCCATGTTCACCGACATCTCGGTGAACAACGCCATCAACCGGCAATGGAACTGGTTCCTGTGCAACGAGCCCTTTGCCTACTGGCAAGACGGCGCTCCCAACGACAGGCCCACGATCGTGTCGCGCCTCGTCGACGCCGAATACTGGCAGCGGCAATGCGACCTCTTCTTCCCTCCAGAGGGCGAGTACACGTACGGCAGCGCGCGCGGCAAGACGGTCGAAGACGTGAACGCCTACACAGGCGGCTGGTTCGCTAACACCACCCGCCTGATCTGGACGAATGGCCAGTACGACCCTTGGAAGGACGCTACGGTGTCTTCGGATTTCCGTCCTGGAGGTCCGCTTGAGTCGACGGAGGATGCGCCCGTGCAGGTCATTCCTGAGGGTATTCATTGCTCGGATTTGCATGCTAGGAATGGCGCTGTGAATGAGGGCGTGCAGGAGGTTATAGATAATGAGATTGCGCAGATAAAGACGTGGGTGTATGAGTACTATTCGAGCTACTCGAGTCAACGGTAGGGTAGAGAGTGGATTTGGACTTAGTTTCTATAAACATGATAGTTTGCCTACGGATGACATAGAAGCTTTTTAGTTCTTGCCTACTTGGAGTCTTGGACAAATACCTTTCCTGGGCTTTAGACTCGCTCACTGTTTTATTTTGTGAAGGTTTGTTCCCTATTGGGAAGTTGAATGAGGAAGTGCTGTCTGATTGAATAAATGGTAGCTTTCTGCCAGGACATGTATAGTTTAAACTTGGAGCAGAGGCAACTATAAAGAATTGACAGCCGTCCTAAGCACTGACTCTATGTTAGGCGGCAGCGGAACGCAAAAAAATTTGAATAAGCATTTAATAATTCCCTCAAACAACACTGGTAATGGTCCGAATCCTAAACACCGTGTGGTAGGTACTTTATATAATTTTTAATGCCTTTATAGCTGCAGTTGGCAATTTGAATTTGTATGAGTAGTGATTTCATACCTAAAACCTTTGATACGCTACAGAAGAACCTCTTGCTGTTGGACCAACCTCGTTTACCAAAACCATCTCTGATCTGGAAAGATTACCCAGCAAGCATCTCGAGTCTCCTGACGTAGTGAACAGAACTTTCATATTGCTCTTCCGAAGAACCATTAGAAGATCTTTCATGAGCTTCGCAGTGCTTCTGTCGTCCAGCCATTGAAAACCATCGATCATGAAGAAGACCTTGTCTGGCAACAACGGAAGCAAGTTGTGGAGTATTTCGAGAGTGGTTGTCCATGATTTCTCGGTCCCGTCCAGTTGTTGGAATTTCTCCTCCGAGAAGTCCGCATCAGATTGAAATACGGAAGGCAATAGCTCAACCGTCTGTCTTACCAAAGAGTAAGCTAAGGATATCAGAGCTTGACTCTCTCTTGTGTTGCCTGAACGAGTCTTCTCGCCCCGTCTGAGCTCGCAGAAGTAGGATATGATCTTTACACCAGACCTGTCTGCAAATTCGGCGAATTTGGCCGCTAGCATGGTCATCGGGTTTTCAAAGTCATCCGCTTCCATGGCTGGGCCTGATAGAGAAAGTATGCTTTGCTTGGGATCTTTCGTCCACTCGGTCAGGCGTGCTAAAGCTTCTTGCTGAACCATCATGGAGTCGAATGGGTCGCTTGGCAACCTAATTCTGTCCCGATGGAAGTAATCTTCGAGATTCGTTGAGTTGAGAGTAACATTTTCTTTTGACCAATTTGTTGAAATTTGTGTCGATGGAAGCATAGCTTGGCCAGTAGGCATAGTATTTGTCAATGCAAAATGTGGTGAAGGATGCATTTGGAAAGCTATTATAAAGTTATTAGATGTCATATATCTAATACACTGAAAGAGATATTGTTCACAAAGAACACTTACTGCTTGATTGCGGCTCTGCCTTCATTCGGTCCAATGCCAAGCCTTGGAGCATTTGGTAGAGTTTATCCAGAGGCTGTTCAAGCCTTCGTGCAGTATCTATGAGAAACTGCTCCTGCAGTTGAAACTGTGTCCTCATTTCATTTTGGAAATGTTCGTTGTTCTCTCGGTCGATGTTGATCTTCTTATTTGTGTCCTCGACCGTTTGTCTTGTAACTCTCTGTTCTGCGGCTGAACCTTGGATGAACTTCCTCCGGACATTGTCGGTCAAGTTTTGTATTGCGGCGAGATCGTCTTCGAAATGCTCGTAGAAGTTTTCATTAAAGGAGTCCAGAAGCTTCTTGCGTCTGCTTGACATTATCCAAGTCATGGCTTTCTGAAGGAACTTGAAAATTCCGACGTAGAGCGCAGCCACGGCATGCTGCATGGGTTCGGATGGGAATACTTCCAGTTCGTTTTGGCAATTTGCAACGTTTTCGCCGATAGTTGCAAGCGCTTGTGAAACCCCCTCAGCAATTTTCTCGTGGTTCACACTTGCCTGTAATCGTATTAGTGACAAATATAAGAGAATATAAATAGAAAAAATCACCTTGACAACGGCGTTAAGCGTGCCGGTAAATAGGCTCACGTACTCATTTCCTTCCGGGAGTATTCCCATAACCGCCTTGTGTGAGTTAATACTGCGGCAAAACTGGCGGAAAAAAGACATTGCTTTTCCTCTTCTACCTGTGGATCTTCTTTCTTGCCATTTTGACATAGACTGTTCTACCAGGTCCACAAGATCTTGCGCAGTGGGCTCTGATCGCTGAAGATCTACCCTATCGACTTCGGGATTGGATATTCGGAATTCTAACCACCGCTTTCTGAGAGCCTCTGCCTCTTGTGTGAGAGCGACGGTGACTGGGTTCCTGTCCAAAAATCTCTTAGATGTGTCAAATTAATTTTAGCTGTTGCCTTATAACCTACTTTTCGCTACCGCTCGGTTTCCATGGCTCAAAGAACTTTCGCCATGGGGCTGTGAGATCTTCGAGATCTCCTTTGCTCTCACTTAAGATAGAACCCAGGTTGTGCGCGACATTTCCCTGGGGCAATCTCTCTTCAACTTCAAAGCTATACATTCGGACCAGGTTCCGGGATTCCCGAAGGTCGTCCATGGAGCCTCTTTGAGTCATATCTGAAAACAGTAGCCTTGACCTTAGAAAAAGGAATAGATTTTGTCGGAGAGCGACTATTCAAGCACATGGTGCTGCAAGATTAAAATCCCTCACGCTCAGCCGCAATCCCACAACCACCGACGAACGCCTCATTTATCCGTGTCAGCAGACAGTTCTGTTGCCTAAATCTATTAATAGTATTCATGCAGCCGTCCGGGGTTTCTATTCGCGTATCAAAGCTGCGGGGATGAAAACTTCGGTTGTTTCCTGCATGAGAATCGGGATTAGAAAACCATGAATGGAGGCCCAAGGATAGCACATGCGCATCCAATATCCGCTTTTACTAATGGCAAATCAACAGTAACGCTGAGCCTTAGGCTATCGTGATAAGGATCCTGTGTCAGATGTGGCTTGCTGCAGCTAATCACTCTGAAACAGACTATCTACTTTTTGAATTATGACAGCGGGAGCTTGTCTAAGTTGCCACATTATAAGACCTCTGAGGAGCCCACCACTTCTCACAGAATCTACTTTCAGCAAATATCGTCCAAAATTTTCTTCCTTTAAAATACACTGATATCAAAAAAGCCGCAACCCTCGATGGATGGCATAGTCGGTAGAAACTGTGGGGCCGAGGAATCCCACAACAAACCAGAAAACTATGTGGAAGACTCTCAAACCACCAAGGGAAAAGAGAGTACGAAGCAGATCAAATACAGAGTTGAGTATAGAAACAGGGTCACGAATGAGGTGGTCTACCAACATGAGACCAATGGATTGAATGACAATGGGTCGGCCTCAAATGCTCACGGTCTCGAACAGCCTCTTTTCGAATTGGTTTCGACTTTTACAACCGGTCAGACGAGCTCTTCCCAGTCAGAAGAACACAGCAAACCAATCCTCCCCTCAACAACGCCCTCCGTTAGTATGCACATCTACTCCAGAGCCATCATTAATGCCATCCAATCCGTCGTGGAATACTACCCTGAACAAGATCTCACTGGGGACGTCGTCATAATCAGGGCGCCGTATGCAATTCTTGTCCATCACTACGAAGAGCTTTCCTCTTTCCGAGATGAAATAAAATCCAAGCCCAAGGAAGACTTGTGCGCGCGCGAAATAGACGCCTATGAGCATGTTGGGGTGCTCTTGGACTTTCTGGATGGACATATCATGGCTGATGTAAGAGCAGAACAAGACCGAAACAGGAGGGGATTATGGACTTGGAGGATGGCTTGGGTATCTAGACGCCCAGGGGCCACTCAGCTGACTCGGGTTCGGGAATCCGAAGAAAGTTTTTGCATGGTCATCAAATCAATTTCTGGAGGCAGTTTCGAAAATCCATCAGTTCCTTGGGTTATGGAGTATTGGAGACTAACTTACGACGGTGAATACCTCGGAAGAGTGGAAAGGAATTTGATTCAACATAAGTTCGACGGAGAAGAAGAACAGGATACGAGCCAAATAATCGATCTTGACAACAGGCCTCTCACACCAAAAGTTGCACAACATATTGCGAACGGCAAAATCTACTGGGACCTTCTGAAAAAGCAATGCAAACATTACAGAGGAAAGACAGCGGATATTCCTCACAACGAGGTAAGAGAGTCACTTGGTTTATTGAAATATAGTATTAACCGGAGGAATGCAGGTTGATGGTCTCGTCATGACAGACCTGAAAAGCTATTATACAGATATCGGAAATCCGACGGCTTTAGTACCAAGTGGAACCGATATCAGAAATTGGGCTTCAGATTGCACATGTCCTGTGTGCAGAAGACGGGAGTCTGATTCTGAGAAAACTGTCACGTCGCTGTTCGAGGACTATGATCTGATTGTTCCGGAAACCTTTGAAGGCAATCTAACAGATCACCAATTCATGTTACTCCCTTCCTATATGAGGGCGTTTGTCTTTAAGACAAGGTCATGGGGTAAGCTCAGGGCTATCTTTGGTGCTCAGTTGTTTGGACTAATATTGGCGACAGAACAGCTTCGAGTCAACAATTTCTCTGCTCCTGAATTTGACGAAGGCATGATAAACCATCTAGTCATGGACGAAAAGCGGGTGAAGCAACTCAAAGCTCTTGCTAAAAGCTATGCAAGGACGAACCAATTTGGACAGGTCACAGATCGGGAGATGTGGTCCGCTGACTTTGTTCGAGGAAAAGGGAAAGGGCTCACCTTTTTGCTTCATGGTCAACCCGGTGTTGGCAAGACCTGCACTGCTGGTAAACAATTGCAAACTCTTTCTATCTGTGCCACTCACACTGACAAAACTGTTCACAGAATGTATAGCAGCCTTCACCCGTCGCCCACTAATGGTTCTCACCTGTAGCGATATCGGAACGGAGCCCACACTGGTTGAAGCAAACCTCACGAGGCATTTCAAAACTGCAAGAAGTTGGGGTGCGGTCTTGCTCATAGATGAAGCCGATGTTTTCATGGAGCGCCGTTCATCTGATGATCTGATGCGCAACAGCCTAGTTGCCGGTAAGAATTAACCTACCTCGTCAGTTATCATAGTGGTTTCAGTTAATTATTTGATTTGAGATGCTAATTCTACTACAGGCTTCTTGCGAGCCCTCGAATTTTACGATGGAATTCTCTTCCTCACAACTAACAGAGTCGGCTCTTTTGATGATGCGTTCATATCGCGCATCCATGTCAAGCTCTATTACCCTGAGTTCAATGACAGAGAGCGGCAGCTAGTTTGGGATACGTTTGTCCAGAAGTTGATCAAGGAACGTAAAGGGTATATGCGGATCACCATTGACGCAAAACAATACCTCAAAGGCAACGAAATGCGGGCAGTCAAGTGGAACGGCAGAGAAATCCGTAATGGTGAGATAACCTCCAAGGCAAGCAAACAGAAAAGATATATTTTGCTGACAAAGAAACAACTCAGCGTTTCAAACAGCAGTTGCGTTGGCCGAATACGAGTCAATCAAAGACGAGGAAGGTAACATCGAGCTGACAGACGAGCACTTACGGGCTGTAGTGGAGATGTCGCGAGACTTCAAGGACTACATTGATGAGCTCCATAAGGGTGATGAGGCAAAGAGAGCAGAGCGCAAATACGAGCGGCTGGATAGCTACCCGACCCATTGAGTTCTGTCAAAAGGGCATCCTGAAAGCTATCGAAGGCAGCAATGGTTTCTTTTGTAATCATTACTCATGTTTATCGGTACGGTAAATTTGGAATTGATACGGCCTGACCTTCGTCATCTCTTGCTTTACCTTGTGAAAAAGTGAACCCGCTGCCAATTGATCTTCGCCAGCAGCGCTCATTGCCTAACCATTCAACCAACATCTGTCTTCTCTACTTCGTTGCCCACAACAAAAATTCACCCACACATTGACACACGACATGGATATCGATCCGAGGGATGTTGGCCACCTCCACCACCCGAAACCTGATAAGCCCTCTCTCCCATTGCAGTTTTGATCCCTCTGTGTCCGCCACTGTGCATCCTGTCCCACTCGTCGTATGCAGGACTGATATCAAATTCCCGCAATGTCATAACCAGAACCGTCTTAAGCTCCGTCAGTGCCAGAGTTTGGCCGATGCAATTGCGAGGCCCAATCTCAAAAGCACGCCAAGCGCCTTTGGTTTTCGGATAGAGAGGATGCTCTGGACCCACGAGCCAGCGCTCCGGGAGATAGGCATCTGGGTCAGGCCAGTACGCAGGGTTGCGGTGCACTGCTTCATGCACAATCCAAACACTGCAACCAGCGGTAGGAAAACGTGTACCATCTTCGGCCACAAGCTCGATATCTGGGCTTCCCATACGGATGCCGCCTGCTAGCGGGAAGAGGCGGAGCGCTTCCTTGATTGCGGCGGAAGTCAATGGCAGCTGGTTTAGAAGCGCGGGGTCGACTCTCAGTTTTGATGCGGCTGCAGCCCGGTCTTTGCCAAATACTGCATCATGTTCTTCACGAACTGAGGCGAGGAATGATGGGTGAGTGTACAAGAGATGCAGGGTATAAGTCATGGCACTCGAGGTAGTATCGTGGCCGGCCACGAGGAACAAACGGAGTTGGGCGGTTGCGTAATCCTTGAAATTGGCATCGAGAGATTCGTTCGAAGCCTTTGGGCTCTCAGTAAGGTAACTGTCTAGTGCTAGAGCCACAATAGGTTTTGCTCTGCGAGACGATTTAGATGAAGTAGCCCGCCGCTCGTTGAAGCGTTTCCGAAGCTCCGAGTGTATGTAGTAGTTTAGGCGGCGTCCCCAATACCAGGTGATAAATTTACGGTATGGGTTCAAGCGTTTCAACGGATTGATAACGTCTCCAAACGTTTGCCACTCGATGAGGGAACGGAGGAGCGAGGGGAATTCGGAGTTGCGTAACTGGTAGTTGAAGTCCGTATCCAGACAAATAAGGCCGATAACGTCTATTGTCAACCTGAAAGTAGCTTCTTCAAGTTGGAAAACTGAGTTGGCGCGAGCCTTCTCCCGGAGCATCTCACAGAACACCTGAGCCTTGTCAATTAACTTGGGAACCTGCTCGAGCATGTGTGAATTGCTAAAGCCAGGACTGAAGACGGCACGCCACCGCTTCCACTGCACATCAGGCATTGTCAAAAGGTTTGGTCCACCTGTCATTGCAGCAAAAGCGTCTTGGACAGCTAATGGTTTCTGGACCGAAAGTTTTTGCGTAATTTGAGATGCGGCAAGAGGATTTGCTATGATCAAAAATGGAGTGTTCATTGGCCAAAAGTCGACGTAGAACATCGAGTGCTTGGGAAATTCGCGCGAGAGGCGACGTGCCGTATAGTTAAAAACGGCATCGGAGGGTAGCTTATTGAGATATTTCTTGACAACGAACATGTGGCCGAAGAACCAGCTCCACGGTGGCATGGGCTGCTTATATCAGTGAAAAGTCGAGTGCGGATTCGAAAACTACGAACAAGACTGCGTCTCCTTAAGTTGCCGATGACATTGCGAGTTGTGTATGCCTTGGTGATGCCATATAATAGGAAGACGATGAAGGCTTTGATTAGCACTGTTAATTCTGGAGAAGTATCCATTGCAGCTTCAGGGACGGACGAAAGAATGAAGGATATGCCGCAGCTCCAGGCAACGGGCGAAAGAAACAGAGGAAAGAGTGAAGTGACAAAAGGAAAAAGAAAAAGGAAGAGGGAAGACGAAGAGAGGTGAAAATGAAGATTGCGGCAAAGCACACCGTTGTAACGCCGACCCCTGACATAAAATGTGATCCGCTGCGCCGCCGTGCATATGCATCGGCACGAAAGCATCGACCAAACACAAAATCTTGTTCCTCCAAGACGAAAAAAATGATAAAAAGGAAAATTAAAAGGACCAATCCACCCAACAGCATCTCAGCTGGAGCTTTCGAAAATTGAACATGAAAGGCTGCCCTCTAGAAACAAACAAAAGATATTAGCTAATCCGGCTACCATTCTCAAGCTCACGCGGAGTCGTTGATCCTTGCGCTGGTCCTTGGTTTTGTGGAGGTGGTGTTGGCGCAGCTTTTCCATCATCATCGCTCTTGTCTGTAGTTTGCTCTGATTTGTCGTTCGACTTGCGATCGAACATGTAGCAGACAATCTCGAACAAGTGATGGAGAGACTTTCCGGGTGATATCAATGCATTGAACAATAACCTCAATGTCTTGATAGGGCATACAATAACAGGCCTCGAGATGGAGCGAATGATTTTGAGAGCTGGTTCAACGATCTCTTTATCAAGAAGCCTGGCATTTATCAATGCGCCAATGGTGATGGCCAGCGCAATGATAGCGGTGATGACCATTTGAATCAGTGTAGTCCGGCTTGGGGCTTCGCTCATGCTGAAAATTCCAGTTGTAAAACCAAGTGGCAGGAATACCACGGTAACATACGTGAAAAGGTTGATATTTTCGGAACCACGAAAGCTTATATCGTCTCGGATAGACGTCAGCCTGCGAGTTAAGGCCTCCCTGAATGATTGTATATTTTGTTTTAGTCGTTCCAACTCGCGTGTTTTCCGTTTAGTCAGGACCGAAAGCCTGGTCATCGTAGGACGATATCTTCTTTCGTCGTTTCTGGTCCATCGGGGTCTCTCCAGTCCGCGATCGCTTTCTCGCGCCCTCCATTCTTTGATTCTTTCCAAATTCTCATCCAAGTCTTCTTCGACTGCCTGAAGGATTTGTTCAAAGACTCGCCACCGTTCATTGAGAGAGAGATAGTTGTCGCTACCTTTCTGTTGTAGTTTTTGAAAGCCCCCCTGAAGCGCTTCTGCGAGCGGATTCAAATAGTCCGACGCTGTGGCCTTGAAAGGGTCCTCCAGATCCAAGGATACGGAATAATTTATAAGAGTCTTCGCGTCAGTTGTTTGGTGTTCATGTTCTCCTGGTTTATTGTTCTTCGGAGGCTTCCGCTTAAGCATACTATTTTTGGCCCAGTCTAGAACATTCCTTGCAGATGATGCCATTTCGTTGAGTATTTCATCCATTAGTACGAGTTCAAGGACCTTTCGTTGCTGCCAAGGATACTTTGTTTTTTTTTGCCGTCTTTTATGTCCTCAATTAGACCATGGTCAAGCTTAAAAATACGTGCCTTTCCGTCCTTGGTCACTGATCTTTTATCTGTCCGGGGTTTATGTTCGAGGAAATGGCATGTCCAATAGCGATCGAAAAAATCTCCAGTAAAGCGAAAGCTCATGACAGTTCGTACCACTGTGGCCAATTCTTCTTTGCGCTCGCTCACCGACACGAAACTTGGTCGAGGGATTGGATCGAGAATTTCGTAATGTTCATCTTTTAACTGGAAGAAGGAAAGGTGGATTTCGGTCTCCCATTCGTTTAATGATGCTGTAGCGCTGTCGAAAAAGTATTTCTCGTACGAGGCATGTCTGTCGAAGAAAGACGACAGGTTGTCTCGCTCTTTTGATGGAGAAGCCAGATAGCTATGCAATGCCGTTAGTCTGTCTCCACTCGGTAGCCAGATTAACCGTTTCTTGGCTTCTTGAACAGTTCGTATCCGTTTGAGAGCTTCCGAAAACTTTGAATTGCGCAGAAGTTGGACCTCTGACAAATTCGTTTTTCTTCCATCTTTGTTGCAGCCAGGCGCATCAATGACTGCGCCCTTGAAATTTTGGTCATCCCGATAACTCTTTTCGATGTACCGTTTTGTCGCTTCAGGGATGACCTCGTGGTCGCTTTCCAGCTCTTCGTGGAAAGTTTTGGGGATATGTGGTTTAACTCGAAACTCTATCGAGCTTGGCCCAGTTAATAGCCAGTCATCCTGTATGTCAATGATCCCATTTTGGTCGATGAGTTTGTTGAAGTTGCTAAACGGTACTGTCTTCTTGAAGAATTCTTTTGGTCGCCAGCCATCCTTGGAAATTTCAAGAGCCTTTGGAGGGTCTCTGACGTTCGGGGTTGCGATGTCCAATACTTGTTGAGTTGAGAACTCGATGTCGCTTTCATGGGTTTTCCTTTGGGTTGGTATAGTCTCCAAATAAGCTCTGCCATAGTTCCAAAGCAAATAAGGGATCTCAAACACTGCGTGCCAGTAACTATCCCGATCAAGCTCATCCTCAAAAGGTTTTGGAGTCTTACCCGGACCAAGGAGGCCAGGAAAAAGACCGTTTGGTGAGGTGATAGTAAATAGAGTCTTCAAGCTCCTTGAGAGGCTCTCTTCTGTTGGGATGTTGCTCACTCGTCTCTTCTTGGTGCTGGCCATCAGTTGAAGGCCATACCACAATGGGTTCTCCCAATCCCAGCTTTGGTTCTCTTCAAAGTTGACCTGAATATCGACAGTGTTCCTCCAAAACTCGGTTACATTTTTCCAGATATCATCATTTTGTCGTTTTTTTTTTTTTTTTTTACTTTTCTCAATTTCATCCTCGGGCTGTGGAATATCGAAGAACCCTGAATCCATAGCGTAAAAAAGCGTCGTATCTCTGGAGTGGAATAAGAATCTTGTGTCCGAAGACGTGCGAGATGTTGCAAGCAAGCGCCGCCTAGTAATGGGTTCCTCGGTCGTAAACTTTTTCACCACGTTTCCTCGAAAATCCACAGTTATAACTCTTGGAGATGAAGTCATCTGTAGCGTCCTCATCAGATGATCCTGGGCCGAGCTTGTCACCCAGCTCAAGGTCTTCGGCAGATTTTAACGCTGTGTAGATCCAGCCATGGTCTGACAGATGGAAGGTCTTGTCATACTCTCGAAACCGGGGAATCACACATTTTCCTCGGTGGTCTCTTTTATCCATCCCCTTAACCTATGCTCTTATTCTATCCTCTATTTTGTCTTTGTGATGCAGTGACTCTTTAGTTCCAGTGATTGTGTCGAAGTCTCGGACTTTGATTATTTGGAAAGCGGTGTCGGTTAAAGGCTGGAAAGACAAATAGTAGTTTTTCTCCCAGCCTTTGATTGGCATTCCGGTTGCCCAGTAATGTGGCAAAAATTGATCGGTAGAAGGCCCAGTTTTCTTGAACAACCAAGTAACATGTGCCTTGCATGTACTATGAATGCGATCCTTCAAAGTATTGATATATTTCATGAGGTCGGTGCAACCTTTGCACTTTTTTGTGCTCTTTTGCTCACAAAGACAATCATTTGGTGTGTGAGAATGCTTTAAAGGATTTTCGTTTTTGAGCAGGCTTTCAAGATATTTGTACATGAAAAGTAAAAACTGAAACGCGAAGCTGGCATAGATCAGCAAAAGTTGCTATAAATAGTACAATAGGCATTACATACAAACTTGTCGTTGAAGTTAGACGATGACCGGACATGTCGCCGCAGGTGAGCGCTACGGCTGTTTCCCCACCATCAGGAGATTTTGGAACATCTTTCCAAACAGGATTTTGAGGTATTGGTATCCGGCAAACGGAGAGTATGTGCTCAAGGTTTCGCCGGGTAATAAAATCCAAATGGGCATTGGTTGAGAAACGAAGTCTTCTCGTTGAGTTGTACAACTCGTAATTTTCTGAGGAGAAGTGCCTTCCCATGGCTTGCAAAGTCTTTGCTGGAATTAGTGAAGATTCCCAAGGCTCTTTGTCCGACATCATTTGCATGCGATAGGCTAGAGTGATTTCCAGGCTACCAGAAGTCTGGAGCTCTTTCCTATGTGCTTTGTCTAGGTCGATTTCATACACGTATGGAGATTCAGATGGTGAGACGGTTTTGAGAGATTGGGCACTTCCTTTCGAAAATGCAGTGATTACCAAACCAACAAACTTTGGAGCCTTTTCGTTGCTGATTTGTTGGTTCTCCAACCGGACGTTTGTATTATCAGCCGCATCCGTGTCCCCATCGGCGGATTTGAGCTGGTGCGTGATGATGATGCTTTTACAATGAGGACCCTTGCGGTAAGAATACCCACTATCGAGTAAGTCTGCTTCGTTGAAATTGTTTCTTCTGTCAACAAAGTCCAGGTTACGGATCAGAAGGTGTAAATCGATAGTGAGCTGTTGGAATTGCGGAATTGATGAACTTGTACTCCTGGATTTTAGCTGATACCTTTGAAAGACAATCCCAGAATTGCAAAAGTACTGAATGGAGAGTTTTGATAGTTTGTGGTTATCGAGCGTGTAGCGAGGCCATCGGTCGTAAAGGTAGTCCACAGTGGGTCTTACGTCAGTAAACTCCCATAGATTCTCCGGGCTGCCAGAAATTTTAAGGCGTATACCCTCTTCAGGACTTTCGCATAGGTCGGCAAGCTCTTGGTTTCGGGATTGAACCAGATACGGTTCTGGAACGTGGCCAAGGTCGACGCAGTAGAATCCAGATTTTCCATGACCAAAATAACGAGATATTTGCATGATATGACCGAAGGCATTGACGCTTGCCGTTGTACCATTGTCTCCGAATGATGAGGAAGTCAGGCGGTTCCTTGATGGTTCCGGGGCATTTGGAGGGATCCGCGTTCCTTCCTTAATCGTCTGGTGTGTGAGTGTAGCTATAAATTGTCAGATATAGAGTACTGAAGACTTAGGGGTATGTTTTGTCACATTCGAAAGATTCCCGATATCTTTTTGTGTCATCGCGTGGAATATCAGACCATAATATGGGACCCTTCTTTTCAGTTTCCGAGGAACAGTCCGGCATGGCGAAACTTTGAGTTCGCCGAAATGAACGGGTTTGGGTTACCGAGGGGATGGCCATGCGAGCCAAAAGTTGTATTTGAATCCGTTACTAGATCCTGAAGCAGTGGTCTTTTATGCAAATGCTCGACTTTGCTCTGGGGTCAGGTTCGAATGATAAATGGCTTCTGTGTAAAACTTTTCGGCAGGACCTTACGCAGATGGCCTCGTCAAATCCCATTAAAGCGAACTGCAGGAGCTCAATAAATGTGGCGCTGATAAATCCGTGTCAGCTCCTTCCAATTTTCTTACCTCTAAGCGAAGACATGTCTGCTTCGGTAAGCGACCTGCATCTCGATAACTGTTGCATCGATATTTGCACTTGTGGCTGGCTGAGGCCAGGCTCGCTAGTAAGTTTCTGCAGGTATTTGCCCGCTTATTGGCGTGTTTGGACATTGGCAATAAAAGCGACAGCATGCTACATGTGAGTGCAATGACCCCATGGGCGCTTGACAGGTAGGTAGAGCGGGCACAGACCTGGCCTGAATAAGCTAACTCTCAGAAGTACAATGATGAAGAAGTAGAAGCGTACCAGATCATCTTATAGTTAAATGTAGAAAGAAAGATGAGGAGCTATACGAATCAAACCATAAAAAAATGCAATTAAGGTTAGCAGAGAGAAGTTAAGTAAGTTGTTCAATTACTTTGATTGCAGTAGTGATAACGCGTTTGCAATGGTATAGAAAGCCCTGAGGACAAACTTGTCCATAGTATCCGTAGCAATGTCAATTAAGAGATCATCGTCCCGGCATAAAGCTGTACGGCTTTTAGTGGGGCAATAACTACAAGCTAATCAGTCTTTCATTGCTAGAAATCAAGAAGGCTCAAACTTACTGCAATTAAGGTCTCATATTGATCCGCATCAAAGTCTTCGTTAGTCTTCGTTCCCTGCAGCTTCGGCTCAGGCTCTGCGTCAACAAACTCATCCCCACATCTTCAAGGTCAAGCATGTATTGAGCTTGAAGTATAATCGACAAGACCGTAGCAGCGTTCTTAAAAATACTGACTGCTCCAGAGTACTCGTGTGTAACTGTAGTTGGAGGTCGGCGGAAGTTAAGGAGAAGCTCCGATAACCTCGGTGTTGACGTCAGTCCTTAACCCCCTCCCTGGCTTTGACCAACTGCCCAAAGCCTATCTATTCGTACGCTCAGTCGCAGCATTGCTCTACATACGTCGTATGATCGCGTAAACATGAGCGCCCCTATCGATTTAAAAATCACATTGAAGAAATCTGCATGACGCGGTGGATTTGTGGCCAATGACGCCATGCGACGGACCGTCGACTCCGGCTCTAGTGCACATGGCCTTCTAGAGTACTCTACCTACCTACCTTGACTTTCTCTGATGCACATTCTTTGAGTCGTTTTTACCGCTCTGTCTTTCCTAATTTCGATCTATAATTTTAAAATGGCCTGGCCTAATCCCTTCAAACGAAAGACTGAGAATACCCGAACGTAAGTCTCTCCGCCACAGATGGCCTTCGCCAAACACTGACGCGCATACCGCAGATGCTGGGGTTACACGTTCGAGTTAACGCCCGAGCACCTCACGCCGGAGCAGATGCACCCTCTGAAACACTCGTACGACGTCCTAGGCGAACAGGCCTTGCTGCGACTGAACGAGATCTCACCGCCACCGCGCAACGCGCTACCACGTAACAGCAGCCAGTATGCCGCGCGCATGGACAAGACGGGCGAAGCGCCGGAAGAACAGGATAGATCGCTAGGTGATGATCGGTCGCCGGGGAAAAGGGACGAACATACGCCACCGCGCAGGGATCTGTACGCTCTGTTGCGTGATAATGCGGACAAGGACGAGAAGCTGGGCGAGCTGTGGCGACAGCTCAACACGGTGCCCGAATGGGTTGACTGGGAGCAGATCGAGCGGGGACAGGATGTCTTCTATCGGTACGGCAGCGCCGCGCTGACGGGCCTGGCATACCAGTCCTTACTAGGTGGAATGGGCGCCGCGCGCGTGGTGGAGACATTAGCCAGAACAGGTGGATTCAGTACCAAAGTCGCCAGGAGGAGGATCTTCGAAACGACGCAGCACATCCTACAGTGTACGAAGAGCATAGAGAACCTGAAACCGGGTGGCGAGGGCTTTGCCAGCAGCGTGCGGGTCCGGTTACTCCACGCCGCTGTGCGCCTGCGCATCATGAAGCTGGCAGAGTCGCGGCCGGAATATTACAAGCTCGAGGAATGGGGCGTGCCGATAAACGACCTGGACAATCTCGCAACCATCGGCACCTTCTCTGCCACGCTCATCTGGCTCAGCTTTCCCCGCCAAGGTATCTTCATCCGGGAGCAGGAGGCCACGGACTACATCGCTTTGTGGCGCTACATCGGCTACCTTCTTGGGACGCCCACCGACCATTTCGAGACGCCGGAGAAGGCAAAGAAGATGATGGATGTCCTGTTACTCTACGAGATTCAGCCAACCAGCACGTCTAAAATCTTGGCCAACAACATCATCAAGAGTTTGCAGGACCAACCGCCCTATTTCGCCAGTTCCGACATGCTGATCGCATCCGCGCGATGGCTTAACGGCAACGAGCTGTGTGACCGCCTGGGGCTGCCGCGCCCATCTCTTTATTACTGGGCGCTCATGGCGGGGCAATGCATCTTTTTCATGGCGATGAACTATGGGTACCGCAGCGTGCCGAGCTGGGACAGGAAGAAGAATGCGATGACGCGTAAGGTCTTTTGGCAGTTCATCGTCGAAAGCAAGTGGGGGATGGGCGGGGACAAGACAAATTTCGACTTCAAGTACGTGCCCGAATACGGCATCTTGACGGAACTGGGCGAGTCGCAGCCGGCAGTGTTGAGCAGTGCGGGAGGGGTTGAGCGGAGGAACCTGAAGTGGTTGCTCATCGGGCTGGGGACTTGGGCTGTTGGATCGTACGTGGGGCTGAAGGTGGTGTCAGGTGTGGTTTCAGGGGTGACAAGGGTGACTCGATACGCTTGGCGGTGAGAAACTATGGCAAAGACTCCGGGTAGCTTTGCGGCGAGAATCATGCACGATTCGTGTCGAAGAATCACTGCTGTGCGCCAGTCGCGACACCAAACACAATTGGCACCCCAACCTGCTACGAACCACGCAATGGCCTAATGTCGATGCTCTTGCCGCAGTCCGGGCCGCCTCATGAAAGGCTTATCGGGCATGCCTGTTAACCTCCGTGCAACGATATGCTAGCTTGTTTCACTGGCTGCGCAACAGCAGAATCAACCGACAGCCTCCACCACCCGACTTTCGCTTCACTCGCAGCAGCTACAAGTCTCCCGGAACATTACTTCTAGCCATAGATACTCGGAATTTGCCTCAATATAGGCCGACACTGCTGCTACAAATGCAGCTGCGAAAACGAATGCGACACCGACCGACTCGATTCAGGCTGAGGACCACTTAGTCCGTACAATAAAACAAAGGCGAAGGACGAGAAGATGAAGGAAAGGTGGCCAACTAGAGCAAAAGAGCAGCCGTTGCGGAGAGTCATGCAAAGAGCACTAGCAGATACACAAGAAAACACTGCGCAAAAAGCTTAATGGCGAGGAATGGAGGTCATGCGCGCATCTACCCCCAGACGCGTTAGATGGCATTCGCATACTGCACCCCAAAGATTCAAACTACGCACAAATACACATTGTAATTTCTGGTCCGAAGAGTCCAAGGTCTATTTGGAGGGGGTACGTCGGATATGAAAGTCCAAGTAAAAACAGCGAGAAGGACCAAGCAAGGCAATGGAATGAACGCGGCAAGCGCACACGTATATGGACACAGTTGGTGGCTGCCAAGACGTGGATGCAGATGGACGTTGGTTGATTGAGTATCGGGCAAAGGTGAGTGAGTGGCTTGCGTGGAAAAGGGGGGAGAGAGGTGCCGTTCAGGTCAGGTACTCTACACCGAGGTCGACATGATTGCGGAAGACACGAGGAGAGCTGGGACAGTAGAACCGTGTAGTTTAACAAGAAGTACCTAATTCGTGAACTGCGGCGTGGTCGTGGACCGCCCAAGCTCCGCAAGCACCTCCGTGCCTCGGCCCTCAGCGCGTCGCTACCACCAGCAGCCCTCACCACCCTCAGCACCCTGCTTTGTCCTCTCCCTCGTTTCGCACACGAGACCGTCGCTCAAGCCGTCACGTCATCCACAGAAGCCATGTCCGCCATGAACAGCCCATGACCGGTGACGCTCCCGTGCGCCGAGGAGCTTCCCCAGCATACTCCGCAATCATGACCGCTTCAACCACCACAACGCCCATCCGCGTGTCGGTGCACTTCAAAGAGACGTCAGTCTTCGCCGGCGAGGATGTCGAGTGCACCATCACCTTCACCAACGTCACACCCGCCAATGCCGACCCGCCGCCGCCAGGAGGGGGCAGTAAGCAGCTCCTCCACCCCGAACGAGGCCGCAAGCCCCTGCCCGCGCAACGCCCGCCCTCCGTCTCCGGCTCCGTCTCTCAATCAGTCACACACTCTATTGCCCCGACCCTGCAGTCCTCCGGCATCCCGCCGTCCGCCTCGATCCATCAGCTTGGCGCGAGCAGGAAATCCTCTCTCCAGGACCCAGGCGGCGCAGCCGCTGCAGCGGCAGCTGGCAGAGCGCGCGGCCATCGCCCAGCGCTGAGCCTCAACACTCCAAGTGCGCCGGCGACGAGGCCGCCCTCTGCGGTGAGCAACGGATACAATAATGGGTCGACGACTCCGGCAACCCCTGGCCGGCATCAACACGCCAGGTCGCTCTCTATATTCTCGGTGGGCAGCCCACACACGCCTGGAGAAAACAATGGCAATGGATCGAAGGGCCCCACACCGAGAAGGCCAGGAAAAGGACACGGAAGAAGCGCAAGTCTTCAGGTCATCCCTAACAAAATCTCGCCTGGAGGTATGGCTGCGCAAGCCAATGGTGGTCAGGAATGGATGCTAACAATTATAGGGCGCTCGCCGTTGCAGCCATCGCCGAACTCAGTTGTGTCGCCTCCAGCGTTCACGCGATCACGAACGGACTTCATACCGATAAGGATGGGTAGGCGAACATCAGGGCCAGGTGGCACGCCAGGCACAAGTCCGAACACGCCGAACATAGGCGCTACCAGGAAGACACCAGAGTTGTTATCACAAGCCTTCAAGTTTCCGGCAGCGCTGGAAGAGAGCCCGACCCTAACAGAAAAGAGCCCCGCTCTGGAAGTATCACCAGCAGAAGACTTGTTTGCCGTTCCCAGAACCCGCCCGCCATCCGGCACGCCATCCCTACAAGGAGGAGATAAACTGGCACCATCGCCAGTGACGAGGATAATATCAAGCTCAAGCATGAACGGAACGCCCCGAAGCAGCGGCGAGTTCAATTACGCAGCGAGCAACAATTCATCCGATACACTCGTCTCGGAATACCCATCGCGACCTACAAGCCGTTTGTTTTCGGGTTTGAGGACACCACACGAACACCGTCCGTCGCAATTAGGCCCTGGAACACCCCGAGATCCCAAACAGCCTGAGGTTCTCATGATGGGCTATGCTCAGGTCATGGGCTCTTTCACTCTAGATGGATCGCTCGTAAACCAGGCACCGTTCGAAGAAGTTAAAAGGAAAGGCGTGGTAGGTGGCCAGGGAGGCGGTGGAGTAGTGGGAGTCGAACGGACAAAGAGAGAAAGTGGCCTTTTCGGAGCGCTTGGCTGGTCGAATATTGGAGAGTCTCTTGGAGGCCTTCTGGGAGGAAACGAACCGAGCAGCATAAGGGAGATGAGGGCGACGGCAAGCTCCAAGACCGTCCCTTTGCTCAGCACCCCGCAGAGCATACTGTTTGTTGACCTGAAGCTAGCGCCTGGTGAGAGCAAGAGCTACAAGTACAGCTTCACCATGCCTCGAGGACTGCCGCCAACCCACAAGGGAAGGGCAATGAAGGTCAATTATCAACTCAGCATTGGCACGCAAAGGCCTGGCAGCGCAAGAGATCAGAAGGCAGTCAGGAGTGTCAACGTGCCGTTCCGGGTGTTTGGCAGCGTGACCAGTAAGTAAAACGAGCTCCAGAGATGAAAGACAACGTGCTCACCTCAAACAGGCCGGGGCGAAATACTAGGCCACGACCTGATGAACCCTTATATTATCCTACGCGACCAGGCGCGCGTGGCAACCCTTCCCGAAACCAAGGCCCAAGCAGCCATTAATATTTATTCTAAACACGGCAAGACGGCTGATGACGCCAAAGACTCGCTATCTGAGTTCTTGGAGTACGTCAACAAGCTGATGGACCGGCCGCCGGAATCAGCAAATGGCCTCTTGTCTCCCACGTATCCCATATCATCCTTTCGCCGGCGACGCTCGACAGCCGAGTCGGAGCCCGCAGCAAACAGCATGAAAGAAGCAATCGACTTCGCGATCCTGCGCTCCAACTTGAGCAGCCCAGGCAAACAGTCGACAAACCGGTTCGAGATCGCGCGGAACGGACGGCGTGTGGCGGTAATCAACCTTGCGCGACCGTGCTACCGGCTGGGCGAGACGATCAACTGCGCGATCGACTTCTCGCGGGGCCAGGTCCCCGTGCTCGGCGTGTCAGTGGCGCTGGAGACGAGCGAGAAGGTTGACGCCGCCGTGGCCCTACGCAGCGCCAGCAGCGTTCACCGCGCGACGCGCAAGGTGCACGCTAGTTTCGCGGAGAGCACGCTATTTGCGCGGAGGGTCAACTTCGCGCCGACGGTCCCGGCTTCGGCGACACCCGAGTTCATCACCAGCGGCGTGGGGCTCGAATGGGCGCTGCGGGTGGAATTTGTCACGCCGAGGGGTAGCATCGGTGGAGGAGGTGGAGGGAGCCTGTTGCTGGAGGAGATGGCGGCCGATGACCGCGGGACGGTGCTGGCGCCAGTGGAGCGGCTGCAGTGCGAGAGCTTCGAAGTGGCGGTGCCGGTGCGGGTGTACGGAGCGCAGGCGGGCAGCGCGGGGCCGGACAGGCTTGCGGGCGAGGACGACCTGGGCTTTGTCATTTGATGATGAGACGGGAGAGCTGAGACGGAGGGTCCGGCGTTCGTTGACTGATTGAGGACTTGTTTCTTTTTTTGGGTGGCGGGACAACATCTACAACAAACATAGGTATGTGCCTAGGCCGGGATGGAGCCATGTCTGGGTGCGTACAATACCGGTGAGATCGGGACGGGTGTGTCGCAGCACGGTACGTATTGCGGGAGGATAAGGGAGGGATGGAAGGTAATGGCGAGACGGCGACGAGGGCGACGGTCAGCATTTGGAAGCGCGCGAATTATTACTATTATTGTCGGGAGTGTCGCGTTGCAGTTGCAGGTCTTGGAGGCAGGGATTATTCTTGGGCTGACTGCTGAGCCTCGCGCCTCGCCGGCCAATGTAATCAAAACAAGCCTTTTTTTTTTTTTTTTTCCTCTCATTGAGGCGCTGTGCCGGGAGCCGAGGAGGGTTATCGAATGGGCTGTTTTTCTCCATGGATCCGTCTCTTCCATCCCCATCCTTCTCTCTCTCTCTATACCTCCTGACCCGGAGATCATGTGGCACTGATTGCTGCCCGTGCGTTGGGGGTGGCCTGGCGGCGGCTGCCCCCCTTTCGGGAAGGCTAAGCTTTGCTGCAGGGCGCCGGCGCCCCAGATTCGGTAGCGATTGCGGCGCGGGCCTTCGCGGGTCTTGTCTTACACATTGACAGCCTACCTTTAGAGTACGATGTCACTTTGAAGATACGGTAGGTCCTCTATACGATTGTCTGTCTCGCGCATTTGTCTCTCTCCCGTTGTCGCTTTCGTTCTCGCTTCTCTCCTGCTTCGCCGTGTCTCTCTGCTTCCTGCTCTACGGCCGATGCTCGCATATTTGGCGCCAGGTATGTCCGAGAGTCGACGTTCGAGCCCCTGAAGGCGTCGCTGTTTATAGCGCTAGCGCCGTGATGGTGGCTGCAGACAAGCCTTGAGCCTTGGAAGATGGTGCGAGCTAAGGCGCTGCTGCCTAGCCGATGGATCTGGACTTGAGGTTTGGTGGTAATTGCGATTGGATTGGTGATGGTAGTGGAATTGGTGGTGCGGGGAGATTGATGGCGCGAGAATACATAAGGACTCTGTGGGTGCTACTGCTTTTGCTGCTTTCTTTCGGTGTCAAGGTTTCTTGCCTCAGTCTCTCTCTCACTCTCTCTCGAGTCTATTCTTGACGTCTGGCATTCGTTCATTATACTGTCCCTCGTTCAACAGTTCCGATAACCAAACCAACCACCACCAACTTTCTTATCTATCAAGATGCCTTCCACCACCGTCCGCGCGCTCGCGCTCACCGGCCTCCTGGCCTCCACCGCCCTGGCCCGCACCGACCTGGCCGGCTGCACCTCCACCGCCAACGGCAACAGCCTTGTCTACTACGTCCCGGGCACGGGCGAGCTTTGCGAGTTCCTCGACTGCGGTGGCGGACGCGCTCCCCCCAAGACCAACGTCCCCGGCTGCCCGCAGTACTCCGGCACCTCGACCTACTCGCCCTCCTTCCTGCCGGGCTACGGCGCCACGTCCGTCCCGGCTTCCACCACCGCCGCGCCTGTGAACGCCAAGCCCACCGATGTCGCGGGTGCCCTGAGCGCCCTCTCCACCATGGATGTCGACGCTATTGTCTCCTCGGCTGAGGCTGCTGGCAACGGCGCCGCTTCTTCCGCCCTTGCGTCCTACTATGCCGCGGCGTCCGCTTCTGCGTCTGCCTCTCCGTCGGCGTCTTCGTCTGACGACAGCGACGACAGCGATGACAGCGATGATGACGAGGACGACGACGAGGACGATGATGACGACGACGACAGCTCCGCCGCCACCTCGAGCAGCAGCAGCGGCAGCGGCAGCTTCACTGCTAACTTTGTGCCAGCCGCTGCCACCAAGGCGTCGGTTATCACCAGCGCGGCTGTCCTGACTCCTACGACTCCCACGCCCACGCCCAAGGCGGCTTACACTGGCGCAGCCAACATTGCGGGCTACGGCAAGGAGATGATGGGACTGGCTGCGGCTGGCGCCATGGCCGTGGCCATGTTTTAAGGGTGTACCTAGGAGGGATGTAATGGACTTTTAAATGGATGTATGATAGTTTGTTTGATGAGGATTAATTCTACTGATCATTGTGTGGAGATGGATCTGGTGGCGATGAAACGTGGGCGGGCCTGGGTGCGGGCGGTGAGAGGGTCGTCGCGTCCATTGCGGTCTCGGCTGCGGACGTGCGCGGCGCGGCATGACGTTGGCCCTTCCCTTGTCTCCTCGAGCTGAGCAAACAATTATACTCGACCGACGTCCATCCATCCAGCCTGCTTCCCCTCAACCCTGACCTCGCTCCTCGCTCTTCTCGATCCACTCGCATCCGATCCACTACCCCCTTCGATTCCCCCACACTTCGCTAATTTCCCCCTTTCCCTCCCCCCCGCTATCAACTTGGCGCCACCACCACGCTTCCGCTTCTTCTCCCGCCAAGCCCAGCGCCTGTCGCTCTTCCGCCACGAATTCCTTCCCGCTCTCAAACTACGCGCCCAGTCGACCATCTACCGCTACATCGTCCGTCGTCAGGCCCTCCGCGCCCAGAAGAAGAAGAACAACCCCCGCCGCATCCTCTCTCTCCTGCGCGGCCCTCGTCCGACAAAAGATGAACTGGCCTCGACGCGCCGGCCAAAGATGATTAGCGCAACCTCCGATCGGTACTATGCTGCCAGCCCCTATGAGGACTCCGACGCCTTGCGTTCGGAACCCCGCGAGCCGGGCGCGCGCCGGCGGAAGCTGGCTGGCTACCTCAAGGCGGCCAACGAGCTCCGGCAAACGTACCAGCAGCACTATGCCCGCAGCTGGGGCGGAGGCGGAGGCCAGATGGACTACCCCGATGGTGATGACACGCCTGGTGCCTTCCCCGACGCCGCCATCGTCCGTAACGGCGACGAGGAGATGGTGTTGTTCCCCAGCTATGCGCGCCACCACGTCAAGCGCAAGGTCAGTAGTGCTTCGCTGCCCTCTGGCGCGCCGCCGCAATGCTGACTGACTGCTCGGTAGCCTTCGGCGGTGCCAGGGACCATCCAGGAACAATCCGGGGCGGGGCGTGACGTGCGCGACACAACGGGGGCTGGCGATGCCGAGTTTTGGAAGAAAGAATGGGAGAAGCACGAGGACGACAGTGCCATAGTGGACGTGGACGTGCGGGGCTGGATCTACTCGCCGCACCGGGGCCAGATGACGCGCAGGCACAGGCTGTTTGTCGGATTGGCCCGGCAGCTGGTCGGCCTGCCCGCGCCCTCGTCCAAGTCCAGCGGCGCCAGCAGCCGCGACCCCAGCCCCGCGCGCTCGCACGTGCAAGAGGAGGAGCTGATTGAGAAGGAGGCCATGACTATTATGAAGAAGGGCGAGAACGAGGCGGCCAAGGCCGAGCGCGGAGGCTACAGTGAGGACCCGGCACGCTCCTCGGACAGCGACAGCGCCTACGGCTCCCGCTCGCGCCCGGCATCCCGTCCGGCGTCACCCGTGAAAGACGGCCGGCGCGGACGCATGGGTAACGAGTTGACGCCGGCCGACGCCTGCGGTGGTTCCGATGACGCGCCCGGTGTAGGCATACGAAAGCAGAGCTCGTGGATTTCACCTTCGCAGATGAACCCAGCCGAGCTGCAGACAGCGAACAACCACTTGATGTCACGTCTAAAACCTTTCCTGGCCAATCCGCTGGCCAACACGCCCATTTCCGTTTTTTTCTACAACGACAAGATATCACGGCAACGCACGATCTATACCGATAACTCTGGCCACTTTAGCGTCAGGGCCGCGCTGGAATTCGTCCCCACGCATGTCCGGATCCTTGCTTCAGAGCACCTGTCGGCCACTACTGAGGTGGTCATCACGGAGCCTCGGGGTATCAGTCTCATCAGCGACATTGACGACACGATCAAGCACTCGGCCATTAGCAGCGGAGCGCGTGAGATTTTCCGCAATGCCTTCATCCGTGAACTCGGCGATCTTACCATCGATGGCGTACGGGAGTGGTATAATATCATGTTCGACAGGGGCGTCAAGTTTCACTACGTCTCCAATTCACCATGGCAGCTGTTCCCGGTCATTCAAAAGTATTTCCGCCTGGCTGGACTACCCCCCGGATCTTTCCACTTGAAGCAGTACAGCGGCATGCTACAGGGCATCTTCGAGCCAGTTGCCGAACGTAAGAAGGCGACGCTCGACAGGCTCGCGCGGGATTTTCCTGAACGGAGCTTCATCCTTGTCGGAGACAGCGGCGAGGCGGATCTGGAAGTGTACACAGACTTCGTGCTGGACAATCCGGGACGGGTGGTCGCGGTGTTCATTCGTGACGTGACGACTTCGCCTCGATTCTTCGACAGCTCCATGGGACCCATGGCGGGTGAAAAGGGCAAGAAGTCGCGGCGAAGCTCGAGAGTCGGCACGCGGTCAGCACGGTCATCCAAGGCATCCGAGGACGACGACCCCGAGTTGCGGGCCGCGATCTTGGCCTCGTTGCGCGATATGAAGCAGTCGGAGGGTAAATACGACTGGACGCCGAGCCACAGCCCCAACGGGAGCATGAGCGACGCTGCGGAGAACAGGCCGGCGCTGCCCACGCGCAGGCCGACGGAGCCGCCGGCGCCAGAGGCACATCGCATGTCACCGAACTTGATTGATCTATCAGACGACGATGATTCGAACACGGTCACTGCCCCGCCGTTCACGCGCGCCCATTCCGACCCGGCTTCAGAGAACAGCATACTGTCACCCATTGAGGAGGCGCCCCTGCAGCGGCGGAACGCCGTCAAACGCTTATCTGGGGCGCCGGTGGTGCCGAGGAAGCCCATGGCGCTGCGCAGCCCGTCACAAGAAAACCTTCAATTACTAGGCGGACGCCAATCGCCGGTCCTGGGCCGGTCTCCATCGCCTAGGAAGCGCTCGCCGGTGACGGGAGGAGTGGGCAAGCCGCCGCCCCCGCCAATTAGGCGGCCTTCGACGTCTGTCAAGGCAAAGCCGGCACGGTCAGGGAGCCCGCTTTCACAGCCACCGCATGTGCCTGAGCTGCCGCGGGATGTGGTCACGAAGTATGCGAATAGTACGGGGTTGGGGACTGGTGCTGCAGGGAATAGATTGGGGGTTGGGGGTATTGGGAGTGGCAGTAGTCGGCCAGCAACGGCGACGGCATGGAAAGAGACGAACTGGGGCGAGCCGACGATACGGCCGGTGACATCTTCTGCCTCGACAACTACGATATCCTCCTCTGCGTTACCTAAGAAGACGCCACCACCTCCGCCGCCGCCGCGGAGGACGGGCACGTCAGGGAGTGTTGGGTCAAGTAGCGGGAAGGACTACATGAGCAGCCACCTGAGCAACAACGCCAACTCGGCAATGCAGAACAGCCGGCAGCCGTACAGCAGCAGCAGCAACAACAACTACTACGAGGAGCCGCCGCCAGGGCTGCCGCTGACGAAGCGCACGACCAACAGCTCGCAGATATCGGTGGGCAGCACGGCGTCGTACTCGAACGGCGGCGGCGGGAGCGCGACAGGCGGCGGCAGCGGCAGCAAGCGCGAGGAGCTGTGGCGCAAGCGCTGGAACCGGGCGCAGAGCCTGCTGGCGGAGCGCGGGGTGGTGCTGCGGGCGTGGCGGGTGGGCGCCGACGTGAGCGACGAGGCGGCGCGCTTGATTGAGGAGTGCTTGGAGCGGCAGAGGGAGGAGCGTCGCGATAGCGAGGGGAGGGAACTCTTGCTGGGACGGGGGCGCCGGTTGGAGGGGTAGTTGCGCAGTTGGAAGGTTGCGAGTGGACAGTACGCGTGTTTGGACGTGTGCGTGTGTGTGTACGTGTTGCTTGGGAGCGGTGGGATGGGAGGGGTGGGATAGGAGTGCGTGGCTGTGGGTATAGGGGGAGGGGGGAAGTTGGGCTTTTGCAAGATGTGCAATGTGCATACATGCATGCATAAGGCGGTACGGCACGGAGACGGGGCGTCCGTACCGTAGTACATTGAGGGCAAGCAAGGAAGCGGCAAGAGCATTGTGCAGTGTACCTAGGGTATAGGGGCAAAGATGATGATGACAAAACACGGGAACAGAAGAGATAGACGGCACGGCAGTGAGGCAAGGCAAGGCGAGGCGGGTCTCCGACACAGTCCTAGACAGACCGATACACCGATACGCAGATACGCAGATACTCCGTACCGACACCGATGTGCCGAGGGCGCCGATGGGGGCCGAGGCTCCTGGCTCCTGGCTCTTGTTTACGGGCTATGTATGTGTGAGAAAGAGAAAGCAAAGCCGTTGTTGGCGCCGTGATCGGAGTCGGCATCGCAGTCGGAGTCGACCGACTTTGTGAGGGGTTTTAAGTGCTTGCTTGGTGTGGTTTCCATTGGTTTTGCTTGGTTTCGGTACTTGATGGTGTTGAGTGTTGAGTCAATGTGTCTTTGTGTGTGGTGGCGGAGCGAGCGAGGAATAAAGATATCACGGCATTGAGGATTTGCTGAGTGTGTATATGGTATACAGATATTCTATTCTCTTTAATATTTTTTGTTGGAGTGAGAATATCGTGGGTTGTTCAGGTCACGATATGTAGCACAAGCACTACGGTAGGCAGAATGACCAACGACCTATCTCCGACTCGGTCGGTGAAGAAAGCAAAGTGCAGAAAGGGAAAGCGCGCACGTGTGCCCCCGGGCGTATGTGTATGGTGGGCGTGTCTCGGCGCGTGTGAGCGTGTGAGTGGCAGCGGTCGGGGATATTGATAAGACGGGATTTTTTATTCGCGCGGCGGTTGCGTGGGGGTTTGGCCGTTTGGCGTGGGCTGGCTGGCGGAGCCTCACTGAGGCACCGTGCGCGAGCTGGACTGGACAGATCCAGGGGCGCGTGCTGCGTGTGTACTGTGTGTGTGTACGTAGTAGATGCGACTTAGGTTGGGACTGGGTTTGGGCACGCCAGGGCAAGCCAGGGCAGGGCTGTCTAGTGCCGAGGTGCCTGCGTGAGCTAGGGCCGGCCGGGAATACTGGCACGGTGCGCGGTGCTTGGGAGCAGAAGACTTTACAGCACTAAAGAAGAGGTGAGCGAGTTGGATACGTACGAAGCCAGAAGGCGGGGCTGAGGTGAGACTCCCTCTCTATCGACAACGCGACATTTTGGGCAGGTTGGGCGGCGGCGGCGGCGAGGACCGGGGCCGGGGCTCGGCCGGGACAAGGTCGCGAGACTTGGGGCTGTGCGGCGCAATGCGTCGGGTGATGCCCCGTCACGTGACGGCAGGGAATCGCGCACCACGCACACCAGGAAGGCGGCCCGCGACAAAAGGATCGACGTCACGCCGGGAGGGGCTGGGATGGCGCGGACCTCCCATGCTTCATCAACCTTTTTGCCCACTCTTTCGATCAGAGCAGTCCTGACCCACTTCCAGGCCGTCGCTTCGGCCATGCTTGTGCCTGTGCCCTGTACCTGTTGTCTTTTTATAATGCGGCTCCCCGGTTGCCTTTGCCTGTCTGGTTGTTGTTCATCACTGACTCTCTCTCTACTCTCGAGTGTGCATCTTCTGCATACATCATTTCTACATACATACGCATGTCATACTTCCACCACTCCTCTACCAAACACGTCGAGTCCGCCTACATGACAGCCGGCACTCCCGAAAACATGAGCGGCACTGCCACTCCCGTCAACGGCGCCCAGGTGCCCGAGACGCCGCTGCCCACCGACATTGAGAAGAAGCGGCCCGCGTCCGACAACAACACGGCCGAGTCCGGCCGCCTTGGCAATGGCCGCGTCGGCTTCCGCGACCGCATCCAGCACTTCACCTGGGCGTGGTACACCACCACCATGAGCACGGGTGGCTTGGCCCTGCTGCTCGGCAAGACCCCCCATCGCTTCAACGGCCTGGACGTCATTGGCCGCATCGTCTACATCTTCGACTTGGTCCTGTTCGTGCTGTTTGCTATCGCAATGGTCACCAGGTTTGTCACGTGCCCGCGCGCCTTCAAGGCCTCGTTGACCGACTGGCACGAGTCCGTCTTCTTTGCTCCCTTCTGGCTCTCCTGCGCTACCATCATCGGCAACATGAAAGGCTACGGGTTGCCGCACGCCGGGCCCTGGCTCGTCGATTGCATCCGCGTGCTGTTCTGGATCTACTGCGCCTGCACCACCATCACGGCCATCGCGCTGCACTTCTCCCTCATCAACATCTCAGCACCCAAGGGCGTGTATAACGCCAAGTCGATGAACCCGACCTGGCTGTTCCCTCTGTTCCCCATCATGCTGACGGGCACCATCTCCTCCATCGTCGCCGACACCCAGACCCCCGCACACCGTCTCCCCATGATCGTCGCCGGCATCACCTGTCAGGGCGTCGGCTGGATGTACTCGTTCGCCATCACCACCATCTACCTCTTCCGCGTCATGCACGCGGGTATGATTCCTTACTCGGCTCGTCCCGGCATGTTCATGATGGTCGGCGCGCCGTCCTTCACGGCCCTGGCCTTGATCGGCAACTCCAAGGCGCTGCCCACCGACTACGGCTACTTCGCCGAGCACCCGATAGCGGCCGAGGTGCTGCAGATCATGGCCGTGTGGATCGCCATCTTCCTGTGGTGCCTGGCGTTCTGGTTCTTCTCCATCGCCGTCGTCGCCAACATCCAGGCCGCGCGCACGGGCGAGATGCGCTTCGCGCTCGGCTGGTGGGGCTTCGTCTTCCCCAACGTCGGCTTCACGGTCGCGACGATCCTGATTGGCCAGGCGTTCAAGAGCGAGGGCATCCTGTGGGTCGGCAGCATCATGACCATCTTCATCGTCATTGCGTGGCTGAGCGTCGGCTTCGGCCATGTTCGCGCTCTCTACAGAGGCGACATTTGCTATCCCGGCAAGGACGAAGACAGGTTCCAGCCTCACGTCATGGAGAAGGTCGCCCAGGAGTAGGCGGTCGGCCGTTGACCGTGGTGTGGAAAAGGCGTTTTGATTTTGGGTTTCCGGGTCCGCGGGACTAGTAAGTGTCATGTGTTACGGACGTTGCATCGCATCTTGATTGGGAAAGAGCAAAAGCATAAGCATCAGCATCAGCATTGGCGTCAGCATTGTTTGGTTGTTTGCTCCTGTCTTCTTGTTCCTATTTTTCTTTTTCTTGTTGTATTCCTTTAGTTCGATACCGGACCCCTGGGCATACAGCTTGGCGTTTTTACTGCAAAGCACAGCATGGCATTGCGAGGCGGGCGCTTCAAGCATTTTCACTGGCGTTTTTTATGGCGGAGACGATGGCGGAGACCCTACCTAGAGAGGGGGGGCTCTGGCTTTGACGAAAATAGACGAAGACGATACTACTATTGTACTTTATGTACTACATACTACATATATGAGGGCCTTAGGGCTGGTTAATACATTGTATATATACACTACTTTATTTATGATTATCTATACTACAGCCTACCCTGCATTCCTTTCTTATTGTCGTTGTTGTTGTTGTCTTTTTTCTTTCTCTTTACGTCTTCTCTAACTCTATTCCTCTATTTCTATTCCTCTATTTCGTTAACATCAACCAATCCCATCCATATATCATTTTCCCTCTTCTTTTTCTCTTCATATCTCCTTTCCGCGTCGTCAACGTCATCCTCGTCATCTCCTACACATGGTCGTCACCCACCAAGGACAAGGACAAAACCAAAACCAGCGAGCAACACCCCGCACGCACGCACGCACACAACGCACGATGGCGCTCATCTGCGCATAAAGCCCGCCCCCGTCGTCGTCAACGCCACCTCTACTTCGCCTTGGCCTTAACCTGGACCGGACCGGACCCTTGAAGCGCGTACATGCAGGGCGTACATCACCGTTGCATCATACCTGGCGTGCGTGATCGCCGCCGTCTCTCACAGCCACAACGACCACCATGTCCACGTCCCCGCACCGACCCGTCCATCCGTCCGAGCGGCCCCGATGGATGGGAGGTGGATGGACGGATGCGCAGGATGGACATATAGGCCCCGCAGCACCAGCAGGAGGGGCATCCTATTGTATGGGGGAGGGACCACCGAAGATCACGATCCCCGCTGGCTGGCGCAATCGTGCAGCGCGCATCACTGCTTGGCGGGCTTGGCTTCTTGGCTTCGTTGGGGTCGTCCTGCTGCTTGATCTTGGCTTTGGCTGACTCTGGAACGTCGGACAGGGCGGCGCCTGAGGGGGGTTTCATGCCTGGTAGCGGCCAAGACTGACTGCACGACAGGGCGGCTCTGGTGCCTGGATACATGCGCCGCTTCCCCCCGCCGCCGCCGCACACGCAGCCGCCCGCACGCACGCACGCACGCGCCGCGAAAGCAGCAACGACAGCAGCGAGAAGGGACGGGACGGGACGTCGCAAGTAGGTTTGGAGCGTGCGGCCATGGTGCCATCCTTGTGGGCACGTTGACACTATTTTTTTTCTTGGTGCCCGGTCGGAGCAGATCGGGACGCGCGCGCGGGAGGGCCCGGGTGCGGGCGGGAGTGCGGCAGGGAACGTACCTAGGGCGGGTGGGTTAGGGCGTTAAGGTTGTTTTTTCCTGGGCGTGCGTGCTTGGGCTAGTGGGCTGGGGGATCGTTGTGTGCGTGCGTTTCGGGGTTGTTGTGGGTTGTGGGTTGGTTGCTTGGGGGTGTGGAGGTGGAGATTTTTGGGGTTGGGGGGTTGGGGGGTTTTGGTGTCGGTGGTGCTGGTGGCGATGTAGAATGGTTTGTTTGTTTTTTGGGGGGAAGAGAGGTCTAAGAGGTAGGTAGGTATAAAGTGTGAATAGAGTTGTGCCTAAATGCTCTATTTGTATAGGCTAAATGTGAAGCCCTACAGCCCTATCACCACCACCACCACCAGCCACGCGGGCGCAGCTGCTCCTCCGGGTCGCTCGCCTGCGCCACCACCACTGCTCCAAACTTGCGTTCGTTCGACGCAGAAACGCACACGCCTTTCTGAGACCCTCGTCCTCGACGCCGCCTGCACGGCCTTGGCAATGCTTGCGCACGCTTGCGGCTTGCGTCGCCTTGGCCTTGGCCTTCCTTGCAAGCTTCGTTCGCTGGCTGTTCGGCACTCGGACCTCAGTACAATAGTAGATGCACGCACGTTTGCACGCGCGGTGCCGACTTCCGTGCAGCAGCAGCGCCTCAACCGTGCGTGCCCCTGGCGCTGCTCCCTCCCAAGTCAAGTCCCAACGAGAGGCTCTAGCTCGCACACACAGACGACCAGCAGCAAAGCCAAAAAAACCGCAAATGCTGAAACATGCGCGGTCGAGACTTTTTTTCCTTCAACCCGCTGTTACGACTCCTCCCCCACGTGTGCGCGTCCTCGCTGGTGCTGGGCTTACCGCCAATCGCCGCGCTCCTATTTGCCACGTGGGGAGGGGTGCTGCTGCCCCTGGGCAAGTTGGTCACTGCTGCTGCTGCTGCTGTTTTGCTTTGCTGCTGCGTGTGGTGTTGGGCGTCGCCGTCGGTGTCGGGCCGTTGCGTTATCTCCGCCCGGGTTTAACCTCCTGCATGCATGCAAGCATGGCTATCTATCTAGATCTGCTAGGCGCCTGGAGGATTGCAATGGCGTGCAGCCGTGGCTGGTTGGCTGTTGGTGGCGCTTGGCGCGCGTGCTCGCGAGCTTCTACAGATCCGATGGCACGGCAGGGCACGCAGGGCGTCGGGACTCGGGATTCTGGTTCGGGGGCTTCGTACGAGGCGCGCCGCCGGGCACGGTTGCGTGCTGCCTCCCTACCGGTACCTCCAACTGCCGGCGCAAGGGCGGCAGCGTGCGGTGTTGCGCTGGCTCTGGCTGGCAATGGCGGCGCTTTCGCCCTGTGCTACAGTATCTCCGCGCGCGCGCGATCACCACCGCTCTTGGCTCCATCCCATCTCGATGGGCCGTTTGCGACGATCCGCGGCTGCGGCTACCTACGCACTCGACATCGCATGCCGTGATCGTGCCCACTAGGTGCTGCCAAGGGCTCGAAAGCCGGTATTGCACAAGGATTCAAGGCACAGCAAGCAGCTGGAAGCTTTTTTCTCTTCTTCTTCGGCGCCGCACCTGCACTTGCGGCGGGTTGCGCAATACCTGCTTGCTTGCGCGACCTTGCGACTGCCGGCGTCGATAGCCGTGGCCGTTTCGTTTCGATCAGCAACACAACAGATAGCTAGCCGTCGACGGTCCGGCCAAACGCGGCCGCGTTCAGGCTCGTTGGCAATTAATGCCGCGCGCGCCGTTTGCTACGATATTGTGCACGGCAAGTCTTTGGCCTTGCCGTGCTGCCCTGCCGACCCGCGTGTGCCTGCTGCTGTGCTGGGTGCGTGTGCGTGTGGGTGCCAGTGTCCGGACGTGGCGCGGCGTGGCGTGGTGGTGCGGTGAGCGGGTGCATGCCGGAGCGGGCTGTTGGGTGACGTGAGATTGAGGCGGGAAGGCTTACTCTAGGCGGTTGGTTCCCTAGCGGCTCGATGCGCGGCGATTCGGCGGCGATACCTGCCCACTGCCTGCCGCGGAAATACTGCAACTTGGGGAAGGATGTCGTTTGTTGAACTTGGTGTCTCGCGCTTCTGCTCGGCTTTACGGTGCCGCGGAGATGGGGCTGCTGCTGCTGCTGCTGTTGCTGCGGAGTCGTGGTTTTGGTGGTGCGCCCCCGCTGCCTGTGGAGATCACGTCTTGTGAGGTCTTGTGATGTGTGTGTGGGGGTGTCTTGGATGAGGAGTGAGTGGTTTTTTGGGAATGTGAAGAGGGGGCATGCCGTGAGGTTTTGCGAAGCGGTAACGGCGATAGAGGGAGGAATGGGTAGGGATAGGAGGGTGGAGAAACGGGAATAAGGAAAGGACAATTGTGTTGAACAACTCGCAGGGTGGTGGAGCTGACTGCCATGGAACGGACTTGTGGTATACTATTTTGTTTTTTTCTGTGGCACGAATGGCTTGACAAAGTAGAGAGTCGAAGGAAAGGAGTGAAGAAACATGGTGTTGCATTTTCTATTCTCGTGGACGTCGCGGGTGATAGACTAAAGTACGATCGATACCTATGATAGCAGGGTGACGACCCTATAATGAGATAGCTTATAGAGAGATAAGGTAGCTTTATACTGTAGTGGTAATATCTTCGATATTACTGGTCCCAGGAGTGCGGTTTGTTGCGATGGAAGCACGGTTGAGAGTCTGCCGATCCAACTGCGACCGAGAAGGCATCCGTGTGGGCCTGCACAAAGAAGTGCAGAGACAACACAACAGGCAGGTGGATAGCTCTTGCTCGTTCGCCTTCAGTATGGAGATTGAAGAGCATCGTGACGAGTTGTGGAGTAGATGTGATGAGAGATCGGGCGGAGCACTGATTATGTTCCCCGCAGCGGTGTCCATCATACTGACGTCATTCGCATCGTCCAAGGATCGCGATCAGTTTTTTGGGCCTTGCTGTACCTGTAACCCAAGTGCCTGTCTATGCAAACTATACTCGGTATGTACGATTGTTCATCTCCGCGTGTTTCTGTGGATCAAAGAACTTCACGTCATTAAGGAGCGAACAGAGCCCAGACGTATACTGATTGGTGCGCGGCAAAGAAACAGGCGGCCAGGACATGTTGAACGCCACTGAAATTGGCAATGGTAAATATACATCCACAGGTGCTGAACATGATGAAGTGAATCGCAGTGGAAGGGATCATCCTGGAGTAGGGCATGTGATTTCTGCTGACTGGTTAGCAGCACTCACAAAGGATCAGCCTACAGCAGGTGCTGTTTGTTCAACCGTTGTACCTTGCATCCAGACAAGACGTTATCCCGACGCTCCCTTGGTTTGGTGCTTACCCATCTTAGAGGCCCGGTATATGTAGATTGCAATGCTAACTCTCTTCCTAGAAACCACGTGATAGTTTGAGATTGAGTCGCAGCAACACGGCAACACCAGGACCACAGGTTTTGTCCAAATTTATGTTCGTTATGGCCATAGTGAAGAGCCCAACGTAGTCGGCTATCGCTGTTTTTCATGGTCAATATCTAAAGATTTCGTCGCTACTTGCCGTGATTTCTGACTTAAAAAAATTAATCAGAGAGTTGCAAAAGTTATCACCAACTTCACTGTATTTGATAGCACGTCAAATTTTCTTTGGAAGATTCAGTGGCATTGTAGTTTTGACCGACACATTGGAACCAGACTTTAGAACCAAACTCTAGGACGTACCAAATGATCTCTATCGTCGAGCATAAGAACGATTTGTCTTTAAACTGGATGCTATTCCTATTTAAATTCCTATTTAAATTCCTATTTAGATTCCTTTAATTTTCCCATTTCTAAATTCCAATCATCTCTCTTCTTTACTACATCCAACACCCGAAAAACTTTCGACAGTTTACCATCTCTTCTACTGCATCCAATACTCAAAAGTCCAAACAGCTTCGTTAGCGCGCTACGAAACATTTTCTGAAGATGACGGTAATTATCCACGCCTAGTATGTTTTCACATATACTGACGAAATTTCAGAATCTAGTTAATCTTCCAGAAGAACTACTTAGTTCTGTTGCCGACAATCTTGGCTTAGACCACTTAAGAAATCTACGCCTTTCTTGCCGAACAATCCAAGAGAAGACAAGCTACTCGTTCGGTACCGCCTACTGCAAATCCCGTCGAGACAACCTCGAGCGGATCGCGTTTAACTATGCAGAAAGGGTGCTCCATAATTATGGCGAAAGCATTCCTATCCTTCGACCTCACATAAGATTTCCGGCAATCTCGCAGTCGTTCAGGCATTGCAATACCCACGACACGTATTTCGCACCACACACGCGCAAATTAGAGCTGTCCGCGTGCGACGAAGGATGGGAGGCTCTGTATGATAGCCTTGACACGGAAAGAACTATGAAAGTCACAAGGACCCTGACTTCTTATCTCCAACCCTTCCAAAAGCTCGAATGTCTCGAGCTAAATCTTCACCGCAATCCCCTGGAAGCCGACTCTTCTTTACTGAATACTACGCTGTCAACCGTTCTTTCCGCACTGTCTCGGAATGGAATCCGTTTGTCGCGACTCGCCATCAATATAACTTCATGTGGCGAGTTAAACCTCAGACCAATTCAAGAGAGCATTTATCCACTGGAGTGTCTTGAGACACTAAGAGCTATCCCAACCGTAGCTCTTTTCCTCAAGTGCTCTTTAGGAGATTCCCCCAGTAAGTTTTTCCCTACTCAGAAAAATTCACGGACGGAATAATAGGGCTAACACAACCATTGCTTAGGAACAATAATTCGTCAAAAGCGGGTCTGGGGATACGTAAAAGAGCTGGTCTCGCTAGCCCCCAATGTGCAAGAACCTCATGTGTGCCCGGAGACTGAGGATGACGAACTCCGCCTCCGAAATTTTCTGGAAGAGTTTTTAGCTCCCATCCCTGTCATACCTCAGCTCAGGAAATTGACTATCGAATCTGCACAAATCAGAGTCAGCTGGCTTGAAGATTTCCTCAGAGATCATTCCTCTACCCTGCAGTCGTTGCACCTTACAAACCTTTTCCTTTGTAATGCGGGTTATCGCCCACTGGTTAATGTTATACGGGATGAGCTCCCTAAGTTAACTGAGCTTACAATAATGGACATTGAGATGGACCACGCGTACATGTCATTTTTTTGGCCTAGCCTATTCCCGGGAGACTCCTACGTAGCATATGGTTTGGAAGATTCGGATAATGGGTCGCTGTTTGAGGTTGCCGTCAAAAGATTTGGATTTAGAAATGCCCTAAAGCAGCTGGTAGAAGGTTGTGGCGAATATTTTGATGATCCTATGTGTATGAGTTGGTTCCTGTATGACTAGAAATGGGTCTATCTAGCGGACGAAGGGCCTTTCTATTGGGTAGTTGACTGTCTACACTTGCGGTTTCAAATTAATGCTCTTGATGTAAACGATTGTTTTTGTATTTATAAACGGCTGCCGAAGAAGTATTTGATGGAAGTAATGAACCCACTCCAATAACTTCCGTCACCGTGAAGCTAGATTCATTATGAAACGAGATGGTGATATTTGTACAGAGAAGAAGAAGAGAACCAGTTATGATATATAGAGTCTATGTGTGCTCTAAGATCTTTTCACCTATGTCCAGGACTCAGGTTGAGAGCTAGGCAAGGAGTACTCTGTAGGGACTGCTTGTATCATCCACTGTCTCGCTAGACTGTAGATCTCGGTCGCTGGTGACGGAAGTTAAACGGCTATAAAGATGGTTTTACGGCTTCATACGTGAATGGACACGTAAACTGAACACTTCTCTGCCAATCTTTGATTTATAACTTATCAAGACCTCACTTCGGTTGGTTAAAAAAAAATGATCCGATAAATATCAACAGTTCTCTCTGCGTCTGGATCTCACAAACATTAATAATCTACCGCTAATCAAAACTGCATTTCACTCCTGCTGTCACATTCCTTCACGGGGATAGAACAGGCCCTAAAACCCAAACGACTGTTTTCGCTACAGCTTAAAAGCCACGATATGCCATCAGGTCATTGAACATTTTCACGCTGGCGGCCCAAGGCCATCTCCCACTTCTCCAAACGAGGAAGCGCCCACATGATCCCCGACGGCTTCACAAGACACTTCTCAAACCACTCTGTAGCGCAACGCTCAAGCGCATCCTCCCAAGCGCCCACTTCACCTTCCCAGATCATCCCGTTTCCTGCAGGCAACGTCTTCAGCTGCACCCTATCCTTTATAATCTGGCACGCGAGCCCCATCCAGTCGCCCTGGAAGATCAACGCTTTGACGCCACTGCGCCAGTTGCGATCCCGCTGCACAGCCTGTGAGATCTCCCAGGCCAGCTGCGCGGCCGTGATGCCTTCGATAGCCCGCGCGGCAAGCTCCACCGCGTTCATGTAGGGTGTTTCGAGCGAGAGGTTGAAGTGCGGATTGGCACGCTGCTCCATCGCTATCTGCGAGGCGATGTATTCCAACTCGAGAGGATAGATTTCTCGGTGCGTTTTTACTGCGGCGATATGTTGCGTGGCACCGTAGGCGCCTTTGGAAAGGTAGTTTCCATAGTCGGCAAGTAGGCGGCTGCAGATCAGCGATGGTGCTGCGTCGATGAGGCGCAGCGCGAGATCATGGGTGAGACGGTTGGGATCGCCGTTGCGCGTGTGAGGCCCCATGACGGTTTTCTTCGTTCGGTGCTTAGAACTGGTGAAAGGGAGGATATATATCTTCTTGGGATTTTTGAAAGCTTTCATTAAGGTTGAGGCCTTCATGGTGTTTTGGGTGTTAGAAAATCTGAAAGTTGTTGGATGCAAGATGTTAAGGCGAGTAAAGGAAGGGCAGTATTGCTCGCGGGCAATCAAATATATGTTGTGGGTAGTCAAAAGGTGAAATCACTTCGCTTGTATTTCTATGATCCGTGGTTGTAGTGAGTGGTCAAAAACGAAATACCCACAGTGTCGACCTTGATTCGAGTCCACCTTTGCAACATCTTTAGAACATCCATTACGGTTTGCATGAAACGGCTAGGCTAAACTGTTCATCTTTGGTAACATTGTGATCGTTCTAACTTGTCACCGAATAATGAACCACGTCTCCCTTTGTTGCAACCTTTGTGGTAATGACCACGTATGCCTCCGGATCATCAGATTTGTTTTTTGACGAGTGACTCCCGCCCTAACCATGGCTTTACAACCGCTTAAGCGAAAAGATAAAACCAACGCAGAGCAGAGAGCCTTATTTATAGAATGTAACTCGGAACTAACACCTAGAAAGCAGCTTTCTTGCTCACTATCCCGACATATACCGCCTCCACTATGGACAGCAGCTGTGTCCTCGCAGGCCTGCCTACGGAGATTCTGTGCATAATTGCACAGAATCTAGAGATCGATGACTTCCAAGCGCTACGTCTAGTCAGTCCGATACTTGCCGAGAGAACAGGTTACACATTCCGTGCCAAATTTTTCCAGGATCTCAAAGTCTACGGCGATGACATAGGTCTAAGAGATCGTGGGAAATTGTGTAGAATCTCACAAAACGAATATTTTGGACCATTTGTTCGTACCCTATGTTTCAGGGAGACGGACCAGGAGCCCTCTAAGCAGCATGGGAATACGACTCACCTTATAAATTCGGTCCCTCCTCAAAACTCCCCAAGATCTCAGCTTTCAGGCTCTACGGTGGTGCACCTTAACCGTAATTCCTCGCCCGTGTTCTCTTCTAATACGGAAAGGATTAGTAGCTTGAGTGCGGTGCTCTCAAGGCTTCCGAAGTTGAGTTGCATACGTTTCAATGTGAAGTTTGGTGGAGATCCTCAATTCGGGTCCCAAGGACGCTCTCTAGCTTCGCTGCATCATTTGCTTGAGGCAATAGACGTCAGTGAGATTCAACTACAAGAGTTCTCCCTCAAAATTCCAATACTTTTACCCCACGACCAGGATTGGATGAGACGCCCCGTACTCCCCACACTAGAAAAAATGCGGAACGTTTCGAACGTGCAGTACCACTTGGCGGCGCCCGATGAAGGTATCCGGCGCTGGTATAACTGTACGTCTTGCTTGGATTCCCAGACAAGCTTATGGATAGCAGCTGATGAAGTTTGTTAATAGGTCGACACCTCATGACTTACGCTTTCCTCATAAGTGCAGCCCAATTTCTCTCGGATGTGGCTATCGTTAAATCACTATTTCTGGAAGGAAATTTCACCACATTGCGTGGGTACATGCCAGACTTCGCGACAAAAATCGACTTGCGTTGGCAAAAATTGCCTATTATTCCTCATTTACGGCACCTCAAACTTCGGAAATTAAGCATGAACGAAGATTCCCTCCATAGACTTCCAACCAGATCTGCACAGACGCTCGAAAGCTTGGAATTAATCGATATCAACTTTAACAACGGAATTTGGACGCCGATCATTCAACACCTCATGCAGCAATGCCGGCATTAAAAAACTTGCGGATGGAAGACCTCACGCTCGGAACCCTGTGGTGCGAATTTGGATGGCCCTTGGATGAAGTGAACAGTGGAACACCATGCGTTACAACCCCCAAGCACGTAACCGTTGACAACGGTGCGTTGCTGCCCGATTTCATCAAGCGCTTTGGACTTGTACAGGCATTGAAAATAGTCTTGGATTGGTGGGGTAATGTAACGTACCTTGTATCTCAAAAGCCTGTCAGTATGGTAATGGAAGTTTGGTCTGAAGGCCCAAATTTATGGGTGGTGGTTCCACTACCCGTTTAATATCAATGGCGAGGGTACATTTAGGTTTACATATGAAATGCATGATAGTTTCAAGCATTGACTAGATAGGCGTTTACATGAGGTTTGTTCAGATAGAGGTAGACTTTGGTAAAAAGAGACCACGCCAACTTACACTTTCTCTCCAAATATACAAGACTGTCACCAGCTCCAGAAGAAATCGTCCAAGCAGTTGCAAATCTACATCGATCCACACGCTCGGGCGTCGATCATCAGCAGACTAGTTCGTCCGCTTGGACTTTTAAGTAGGTTTCTGTCTCGGTATCTGCAATGATCCTCCGATCGGCATCCTCCCGAGTGACCCGAGCCGAGCCGTAGCGGACGATCAATATCCAAGTGCGGGGGCGAGTTCATGTAGCCATGCGGGGATCCTCTATTGCGTGCTGGGTAGAGGCGTAGATAAAGGGCTGTCTGCGCTCCCGCACGCATCACCATCCCCAACCAGCATGGCGAAGATAACTATACTCGGCGCTGGGTACGTCAGTAGCGATGCTATATACCTATATCCCTCGACCTCCTGCTAACAACACCCAGCATAACCGGCCTTGCCATCGCACACGAGCTCACCAGCCGCGGCCACGCCGTTACAATAATCGCGCGCGACCTCCCCACACCACGCATGGACCTCGCCCATGCGACACAAGGATGGGCAAGTCCCTGGGCTGGCGCCTGCTTCCTGGGCCTCGACGGCGCGACGCCGCACGAGCAGGGCATGCAACGCGAGGCATTTCACACGCTCTGGACTCTCGCGGAAACGAACCCAGAGTCCAGTGTGCGCCGCATCGAGATGCATGACCTGCAGGACACTACGCCGCTGGAGCAAATCTGGTACCGAGACCTGATGCCGGAATTTCGGGTGATGGCGCCTGCGGAGCTGCCAAGCGGGTGTCGGCTAGGCATGGCGTATATGTCTGTGGTGCTGAACCCGGTCGTGTTCCTGCCGTGGCTGAGAAAAAAGCTGGAGAAGGCTGGGGTGCGGTTTGTAAAGAGGGAGGTTGGGTCGCTGGAGGAGCTGAAAGGACAGGGCCATAATGTCCTTGTTAATGCGACAGGCTGGGGCGCGAAGTTCTTGGGTGGAGTGGTCGATGCTGCAGTGCAACAGATCCGTGGACAGACGCTTCTTGTGAAGACGTCGTACGGCAAAATTTTTATGCGGCATGGTAAGGATTATACGTACTGCATTCCGCGCTTGGACGGTACGGCTGTGCTGGGTGGGATCAAGCAGGTTGGAAACACTGATCCGCGGGTGGACGAGAACTTGAAGATGGATATCTGTAACCGTGTAAGCGCCAACCTACCATACATATTCTCGACATTCCCAGCGGACTTCGAGCTGGTACGAGACAATGTGGGAATAAGACCTGGAAGAGAAGGGGGCGTGAGAGTTGAGAAAGACGTCATAGATAGCCAGAAAGTTGTCCACGCATATGGTAAGTTTACACAATTTTCAGAAACGCCGATATAGCGAATAGCTGACATGATTGGTCCAGGCGTTGGTGGTGGTGGCTACTGCTTTAGTTTCGGTGTGGGCAAGGTCGTGGGTGATCTCGTGGGTGAAATACTTTCAGCTTCTCCGCAGGTGAAGTTGTGAGTGCTTGTTGATACAGTGATCGATCTATTGCGAGAGAAAAGATAGTTTTCAGCACACATTTGAGAGAATCGAAAGCTGGAAGTAGCGGCGGAGAGACGACAATGAAACTTGTTTTGTGCGTAATTTGAGAACGAGCGCATGGAGAAATACAACCATCAACTGTTTCGAGGTTGGAGCTACGCTGCCGAGGCTTCACCGCACCAAGCCGAAGGCGGACTCTGATTTGGGTACCCGCATCGCACAGAGATACGATTGATCCCTCTGCTCGATTTCGGCTGGTACGTTTCCTTGGTGCAACGGTACCCGATGTCTCGATCGTCCCGACAGAATAGCACGCAGCAATCGGACGAAAGAGGTTTCCAGACATAACTGTCGGCCAAGAACGGTAAGGTGTAATTGCCGGTAGTAGAGACATTCTGTGTAGCACCGCCATAGTCTTCGCCGTCGTATAGTGCTAAGGTGAAGCTTTCAATTCCAGTTGCAGAAGACGAAGTAGTTGGCGTGGGATTTGTTGACGAAATAGATCTGTCAAGGGTAGTTGTATGTGGAATTGCAGTTGCGGTTTCAGAGCTCAGTGTGCTAGGGTACGGTAAGCCAGAAGCGTTCAGAAAGATACCTTTGTATTACCTTGTTGTTGAAATAGCCGTCTCTGCGGTAGCGTTGGAGCGTTCCTTGTTCTTTGCGGCTAGGCTGCCGCCAACACCGCCACCGATTGCACCTCCAACCACGATAAAAAGGACCAAGCCCATAATGATCCAAAATAGGCGTGTAGAGCAGCCGCAAATCTTTGCACGCTTCCGCTGCCCATCGCCACCAGGACGTAGTTCTTCGTTGAAAGCATCGCGAGGAATATTACTACACCTATGCAATACCTCTGGGCTTCCTTCAGAGCTGTCATTCCGTGTCGTAGTCTGGGTCAACGGCGTCCCCAGAGCACCAGCACTAAGCCGTGGCTCTGATAGACATTTAGGCTCGTTGTTGAATACTTGAGGGGCCTCGTGCCAGTTGTTGTTGGTGCTGTATCGAGATTGCTCATCCAACGGCTGTGGAGCTTCGGAGACTTGGCGGTCATAGGGGGCCGCAAGTTGTAGGCCCTCGGCGACCTTATACTCGTAGTTGTGCATTGTTGCAGACGTCGTCAGGATAGAGGCTGCGGATAGAGGCAAAAACGAGATGGAGATGATGATGCACAGGGGAAAGAAAGAAAACGACAACCCCCTGTGGCGGACATGTTTGTCGATGGGCATAAACCACCCCGCAGCGCTTCGATTGGTGCGTCAGTTGGTCGCACGAGGTTAATTGTAGACTCCGTTAGCGAATCTGCCTCGCGCCAAAATTAGACAGACATGGCATCCTTAGCCAACTGTTTACACGACAGCGTCCTTCAACATTCAAGATTCCGGTGGTGGAACAACGAATAAGAGATGAAATGACGTTGTGACAGAAAGAAGTGAACGTGGTGAAAGGAACGAAAATCGGGACTGTCTTGTCTAGTCTGCCTGCCAGCTGCACTTGAGGAGAGCGTGCCGTAGGACATTTACGTCGACCTACAGGGTGATCGCCCGAAGTCTCCATCAATTGCACAAGGACCTGCATGTGGTGGCCGGGGAAGCGTGGAGAGACGGGTCCAAATTGGCACGAAGCTAGCGATGGTCATGCTTCCAAAATCTGCGGTGCGACGTTGATTTTGGGTGGGTGGTGAGATGGATGTGACGGATGACGACCGGGTGCATTTGCGAAATTTGACAGGCCGGGTCGCTCGGAAGTGACGCGCGCCTTCCCGCAACGCGTCTTTCGTCGCGTCCTCAACACCACCTCCACACCAGATCAACCGCCAACATGCCCAGCATCCCGCTTCATCCGCCGTCCAAAACGGCCTCTCCCAGCACCGAAAATGGCCTCCCCAAGCTTCTACACACGCCCTCTGGGCTCGCCATTCTCGAAATCCAAGGCACCATCCACACGCAGCCCGGCTCGACGGCCGAGCAGCCCGAGCAGCTTCCCCTCGGCAAGCTCATATTCCCACACTACTCACCCGAGGACCCGCCCGAAAACACTGCCTGGATGAAGCGCGCACATCTCTACATTGGCAAGCACCAGCGGTTGACGGGCGAGGTCAAAAAGCTGCCCAAGCCGCTAGGCGTCATAAGGCGGCGGGAAGGCATGCTGGACGAAGCCCCGGAAGAGCTGGAAATTGTGGATATCATCAAGTATAAGATTGTGTTCTCGCATAGGCCGGAGCCGGTGAGCTGAGTGGAAGAGGCGCTCCAGTCTTGGCTCTCTGAAGTTTCTGCGAAGGCAAGTGTTGTCTCGCACGAAAAAACTCAGGTGTGCGTATTCCCTTCGGAACCGGAGCACACCTGGTCCGACGGCGCGTAGATTGCACCATGGAACCGACACCAACGCTTTCAACGTTTGGTTGCGCTTGAAACCATGCTGGTCTTGAAGTCGGATCGGAACACCGTCATCGTCATGTATCTTGGCCAAAGAAGTCATCCCTTCGCATATGGTCATTACAGCGGTAATGAACAGGGCTTTTTTGTCCTTTTTCCCCGGTATCTCCGTCGACGACTTCAAAACCTCCCGCGTTTAAAAGATTGAACAATGGTAGAATCGAAATAAGATATCCGACCATTGACGAAGATGGTTGCCTGGTATGCGGAGATTAGTGACCAACCTACACACATACCAAGCAACAAAGATTTCTGGACTTTTTGCATGAGACAGGCCATCCATATACTTCTAAAGTCCTTTTCACGGCGTCCCTCGCTGAATCTCAATGTTCTACCTCGTCTTTCTGGTTCCATGTGACCGAGAACTTGCATGTCTTCAATACAGAACCCAGGGACTCTATCTATAAGCATTTAACGCCACCACGACAGTTGTAAGCAGGATTTATGAACATACCAGGTTCACACAGCGGATCTGTTTGGCGAAATCTTGAGCAATTCAAGAATTCGTTATGCCATTATTCTCTCCGGCATCCCGACTTCTGTGTTTATTCCGCCTAATAAAAGGAAATGAAGCTTGGCTTGAATTATTTACTTACTGGGTTTCGTCTTTTCTTTATTTTTCTTCAGAGGGTGACACAATCTTCCGCACAGTCCGTGACACAAACCCCGCTTCTGCCTGAAAGATTCAACCCCAACAAATAAGTTCTTCACCCTGACAATGGCCACAAAGATGAAAACCCATCCCATTCGGGAACCGCGGACAACAAAACGTGACCAGAAAGCTGTTATTCACAACCCTGTCGAGCCAACCGTATCGATCCTGGTTGGCACGACAAACGGTCACGGAAACTTGGAATTTTTATGTACTACGGCCACCGAGTCTACTTCTACAGCATTCCCTGCATTTCTGGCCAGCAGGGAGTTGAGCTCCTCAGGGCTGATACTTGTGTATGTAGTTCACTGAATATAGGTCCTATGCTAAAAAATTTGACACTAGGGCAATCGAGGGACAGCAGCCATGGGTAGACGGCATGCTTCGTGGAGCTTCGCTCGACATGCCACCAGGGTCTTTCCATCAGATACACAGTCCGGATTATGAGGGATTAGCTTCACTACCGCATTTAGGGGGAAACGGTAAGACCACATATTTCCCGTTGACGGATATTGTTGCGCTCATGAACGTGTTGCAGACATGGCGTTTGTGATGGACCACGTCTACATCTCAGAAGGGGATTCCGATCAGCACTTGAGATCCTTGAGACTAAGTTCCTCCCGTCAGTACTTTTGCAAACGGCTCAGATCAATGATCGAATAACTTACCCCCTTCCGACTCTAGACTCGGCTCAATTTCTTCGTGTCTGTTCTTGGATTTGCTACAATAAAGACTCGAAGCTGTCTTCCGAGCGCCCAGTCATTGTCATCATGGGCTCCTTTGGTCACAATTTTCTTGACAGAGTACAAGAACTTTACTCTTCTGAGGGGAGTCGCCGCTGGAATCGTCTTTGTCGCGAAAATCACTGGGTTTTCCTGGATCAATTCTTCCTCTTTACTAGATGGAGTCAGGTTCTAAACGTTGTTGCCGACAACCTGGCATCTACGGTCTGTTTTGAGTAGAGCCCTACTGTCGGTCCGCCAATTAACATACGTGTATAGGAGGTCGTTGCGTACCAAAAGACGCTTCCAATTACGCCACTTGCCCGAGCTCTCCACATGGATATCGCTAGCACCATTGAGCTGCGAGAGCACATCCGCTTTCACAAAGATGTTATTCGCCAGATTAAATCTTGCGTTACCTCGGCCGCAGAGAGGAAACGGGGCTCCGGTTATGTTGTCGATGATTTGTTCATGCAGCGATTAAAAGGACTTTTTCATGTCCTGGAGCACTACGAGAGGTTGATAGAGACAACCCGAGAGCAGCTGCAGAATCTCCTGAGTCTGGTGAGATGCCGATCCTAACCCATCTCTTCGGCAAAGCTGACTGGTGAAGGTCTTCAATGCCGAGACCGTCGAGCAAGGAAAGCTAGTGTCTAGACTAACCGCCTTGGCTTTCGTGTTTATTCCCCTCTCTCTTGTTGCAGTGAGTTTTCTGACTGGTATCTTCAAGAACATTGAGAGAGCTAATGAGTATTTCGAACTGAAGACCGTCTTCGGAATGACTGAAGCGCACATCTCTCCGAAATGGTACGCCGCAAGCGCCGCACCAGTACTGATCCTCACTATTGCCGCGGCCTCCATCCTACCCCCAATATTCGACGCATGGGATAACTACCGCGTCCGCTTCACGCGAACCAACTCCACAGCAATCGAAGGGGCATCCCAATCCGAGCAAGCGCAAGCACGCGCCGCCAAAGAGCAACTCACAAGAGCGACGACATTCGAGCTCGAAAAGCACCGCCGTCGCCAGTCTCTGTCTAGCCAGACACACCTGCCAAGCAAGTCCGTCCAGAACCTTGCTGGCGCGCGGCTTTTTGGCGGCCCTGTGCAGGAGAACGCGGCGAGTGCCAAGTCCGCCCGCTATTCGGGGGCGACGATGAACGCGGCGCCGGTTTTTAGGGGCGCTAGTGAGGTCGAGAAACGTATGCGCGATACGCGTGGTAGAAGACGCTTGGATTATGATTCACCGAGCTGGTATCAGGTGTAGAGGAGGTTGGTGTTCGAGTGATAGTTCCAAATTACTTATCAAGGCCGTCTCTCATCCTATAGCAAGGCCAGTTCCCACCGTTACCCGCCCAAGGCAACACTCTGTTCTACATCCGCTAACCTATGATGATCACTTCATGGGTGGGTGTTTCGTCTGGACTGCAAATAACTACCAACAAAGAGTCGTCACGAACCGTTCTAATCAGCTCGCCAGTTTCGATTCCCGTCGTTCATTACCCCATGTTCATTTTGAGCAATATGGGTGCTTTGAACTGATACTCACTATCGAAGGTCGGTCATGACGATACTGATCAGTGCATTGTCTTTCGCAATGTAGTTTCCGTTCTGCATAACGGGCCTTAAAGTCCGCCTCGGAAAGCACGACTCTCAAATCCTCCCATCCGCGGCTCATGCCGACCATCTTGCATTGATGCTCGCTCTGCGCGTCCCACCAAGCCGGGAACAGGTCTGGCGTAAACCAGCGCATGGTAGCGAGGAAGTGCGCGAAGCCCGCGAAGCCCGCGAACCCGCTGCTCACGTTGCCGCTGAGGATGCTGTCGTGGTCGACGTTGCCGTGATGCTTGTGTTCGTCGTGCACGCGCAGCCGGTACGCGTCGATGAGCAGGGTGTAGGTGTCGGGACGGGAGCGGCCGTGCAGCCAAGTGCGGTCTTGGAGGCGGTGGAAGGGGTTCGGGATTGCGGCATCGAGGCTCTTTGGGCGGGCAGCGGTAGCGTGGGCGGGCGACGAAGAGGTGGTTGCGTGAGAAGTGCTTGACGGAGTCGCACTCGCGCTGGGCGGCGCAGTGTTTGTTGTGGATGAGCGCGCCGCCCCGGATTCCGTGGCTAGTTGCGCGCACGCCTTCGAGTGCGCCTTGTGGTGCGCCCGCTGGCAATGCCGGTTGCAGTACTGCGCGCTGTGGCATTTGGCGCAGGTCCTGAGGCCGGTGCCGGGCTTCTTGCACATGGCGCAGGTTGCGACGGCGCGGCGGCCGCCGCTGTTGTCGGCCATGCTGGAGAGCGTGTTGTGCGAGCTTTTGGGAGAGAGAGGAGTCGGCGGAAGAGAAAGACTGGCTTTCTGGAAAGTGAAACTGACGTGATGGCTTTGGTAGAAAGAAAAAGGTCGCTGTGTGAAGAGTGCAAACGGCGGTCTGTCAGTTGTTATGCGCACCTGGGAATGTGAAAGCAAACGATAACCTACCTACTTTTACCTAGCAGACTTTTTGTTAGCGTGTTAGTGATTGTTTGCTCACATCTATCCACCTGTCTTTCACCAGCAGCTTGGAAGTGGAAGTCGTTGCCTTTCCCATCCTGTTCAACGCTAGGCCGAAAACGGCAATTCACGGCATGCGCATACAACCAAGACTGGTTTTGATCTTTGAGTTGGTGAGAAACATTCGATCATTATGAAGGTGTTTGTCGTTCACCTGACTCCGCATTTGCACATTCTTACCGTTATGAAGCAAACTGTACATTATAAACAGTCAACAATAAAAGGCATCTGACTATAGTAAGTACTTCGCATAACATCAATATAAACCGGCACAAACGCGCAAGCCATCCGCCTAAACAAGACATAAAGCAAGCAGGTAGTAGCGAGACACGCCTAACATGCCAACGCCCAAGCAATAACTAGGTAGTAGAGGATACTTTTTCGCAGCAAGCAACCCCCAGCAGGGCGAAGCTCCTGTCTCACGCACCGGCAAATCTCCGCCTTGCATATACAACCTTAAACACGGGCACGCTCAACGTCCGCAGCACGCCTCGAAAGCAGCCCACGACGTGGCCGCGCAACACGTCAGGCAGGACGGGCTCGCAAACGGCAAAAGGGGGTGCGGGCGGGGCCCGTGCGCGCGTCGCAAGGACTCGCACGCTGCCGCGCATCGTGTACCTGAAACGGGCGGGCCGGGAGGCAACAACGCAGCGCCGAGCGAGCCGGTACAAGCGACGAATGAGCGGCAGGCGGAGGCAGCGGCGGGCCACGCACACGGGGGATCTGGGACGAGGGGGGAATGAGGCCGTCTGGGGCTGGGCCGCGCGCCCGTGACGGGCGCCAGTTGCTGCGACTTCCACCGCTCGCGAGTGAGTTCGCTCGCCTGATGTTCCAGCTTTCCATCTGTGCAGGGAAGCGGCGGTCCAGAAGCCGGCGCGCTGGGGAGCGCTCCCGAAGTTAAATCATGATGCTGGCGGCGGATCATCCCCTCTCTCTGATCAGGTATATAAAGGGAGGGAGGAGACCGTCGCCGAAGCTACCCCAAAGCACCAACACATCAATCACCTTCATTCAAACCAAACAAACAAACACCGCTCGTTTTAACAACCATGCCCTCGATCCGCGCCATCCTGTCCGTCGCCGCCGTGGCCATTGCCTCCGTCTCGGCGACGCTCGACCCCGCCACCAGCAACTCCAAGGGCAAGTACCCGGCCAGCCCCAACTGCTCCGCCACCAAGGTCAGCAAGGCCATCCAGGCCGCCGAGTGCGCCTACAACACGCGCGTCAGCGGCACCCAGACCTTTGCCGTCTTCAAGCAGGACCACCAGTACGACGGCAACAACGGCGCCCCGTACGGCACTTGCTCTGCCTACACGTGCACCGCCCCCGCTGACGGCGACCTCACCGCCGATGACGACTACTGGACCTTCTTCTGGAAGTGAGTTTTTGCCCTTGGTGTTGTTGTATTGGGGGATGTTTTGCCCCACTCACTCATCACTCCCCACCTCCCTCCCATCTCTTCCGTCCCTCCCTCGTGCTTTTAAGACGCTCCTCCCATGCGAACAACGCTCCCTCTGCAGGTTCTGTGTCTCTGACGGCGTGTGCAGCGACAACGGCTCCTCCAGCGGCGTCGGCACCACCTGCATCAAGGACCCCAGCTCGGGCGAGTGCGGCTGCGAGAACAGCGACGGCACCTTTGTCGTCGGCAGCTCGTCCTGCAAATAAACTGGCTGCTCTCTTGCATCGCCGTCATCAACGCGAGGAAGGAGAAGCGCTGGACGCCACGCCGGACGCAACGCCAACACGGCTTGACTGCAATGTTGTTTTGAACGATGATTTGGGAAGACGCAATGTGAAGGGTTGGTTCGATGTTAAGAAAATAAGAAACGTAGAAATGATTACTGAAAGCTGGTCTTTTCCTGAGCTGCAACGCGTCTTGCCGTGCTTGAGTGATGGGTGTGCTGAGCGCGTATACGCGAGGAATGAGAGAGTGTGAAATGAAGCGATAAAAGACGTCTAGGTTCACTATAAGCCAAACTCCAACGTGCGCCGTGATACTCGTACACTGTACGATCCCACCCCAAGCCCATACCGACCGACCGACCGACCGTGCGTCCGTGGTGTTAAACCCGCCATCCAAATCACGAATCAGACCACCGGCTGCCCCAGCCACCCTTGTTGTTGTTGTTCTTCTTCTCCGCGCCGGCATAGCTGCTCTCCTCCTCCTCCCACTTGAGGCGCTCCACCCTCCGGCGGGCCGAGAACGCCCGCGAGAACCGCCACGCCTCCGAGTCGGCCAGGTTCCACGCCTCGACCATCTCTTTGATCCGCACCATCTCCTTGACCTTGTTCTTCAGCGCCGCACGCGCCTTGTTCAGCAGCTCGCGCTCCTGCGTTAGCTCCTCCTCCGAGGGCACGACGCCGTCGGGCTTGGGCGGCGGGGGGCGGCGCTCCGGGCCTGGCACGGGGGTTTCCGACTTGCCGTCCGAGGGCGCGTGCGTTGGCAGCTCGAAGCCAAACACCCAGTTCAGGTCTTTGTGCGTCTCGCGCTCTGCTGTCAGCCACAGCGAGTTGTGCTGGCCGTGCTCTGAGGCCACTGCGGACTTGAACTGGCTGATACGGCTAGGGGCGCTTTTGCCTGTGCCCAGGAGCTCTTTGGTCACGCTCGTGATCCAGAGGTCGCGGTCTTTGACTTCGCGCCGCATGAACCGCGCGTCGATGTTGTCGCGCTGGTAGTGCAGCGATAGGAACGTGTACGGGTGCGGCACCGTCCCGATGGTGTAGAGTCCGGTTTCGTTGCGGTAGATCTGCATCAGCTTGATCTTCATCGGCGTGCTGGCAACGCATGGGTTGCAGCTGCGGTTGGGCGGGCAGGATGCGGGCATCGGCGACTCAGAACATTGCGTGAGGTTGCGCGCGATGTCGATGGCTTCCTCGGTGAGAGCGGTCATGTGAGTTGGCAGGGGCTTCACGATGGAGATGCCTTTGTCAAAGTTGTTTTGCCACACGGTGTGCAGGTGCGAGTTGACCAGCTGGGCGAGGGCGAGTAGGCCCTCAGCCTTGTTCTCGAGCTTCTTCGCGACCTCCCTGTAGTTTTCCTGAATGGCCTCACGGTCATAGAGCGCGACGGAATCACCCCGCTCGTCGACCCTGAAAGCTTCCTTGGGGATCGCGTCGATCATGCCCGTTTTCTCCTTGAGGGCAGGGTTGTTGAGCGCGGACTTGACTGCGGCATTGACATCTGCCTGGCTGCCAACGAACAGACCACTTTTAAGGGTCTCGTAGCGTGTCAGTGCCGGATATTCCCCGCGACGAAGGAAAGTGAGGAACGGATCCTGGTAAGGTGCCATGGGGAAGGTGAGCCAGTTGGTGAGAATGCCAGTGCCCATGTTGTCCCAAGCCAGCCAGCGCGCCATCTCAAGCTCCAATCTATCCAGTTCAGGCGTGCCGTGCAAGTTAAGCAGCTGCAATTGCTTGTAAAGCGGGTTGTTGGTCGCCTCGGCCCGGCCCAGAACGATGGGCTTGAAGCCCTGCGCCCACCAGGCTCTTCGCCACTGCAGCAGCAGCTTCTCCTCCGCCTCGCGAATCGCGGGCTCTTGCTTTACAGTTCCATCGTAGAATGTGTACACCGCCGGCCGGTTCGCCAGCGGCGGCAGCACCGACCGGTTTTCATCGAGGGTGATCTGCGACGAAAAAGGATTCATCCACTTCCAGTCGCTGTACCACTTGGACTCGCCGGCGGAGCTGTTGGCCTGGACAGGGGGCGCATGTGCGGCGGGAGCGAAGGGGTTGTAGGCCTGCGGGACCTTGGACAACGAGGGTATATGCGGGTTTTTAATCGTCTCTGCGACTTCATGGGCGGAAGGGACGTGATCAATGTTGGTCGGGCTGCCGAAAAGGAAGCATACGAGGAGGAACAATCCTATCGCAGCCAACACTCCCTGGTATCGGGTGTTTAGGCGGAAGTTGATGGGACGCCCGAAGAGCGTCTGCTGGGCGGGCATTGTGAAACAGGCGTGTCTACAGTGGCATCGACGCTGCGGTTGTTCGGAGAGCCAGAGAAGGGCTGGCGAAGGAGGGTGCGAACGGCTTGATGATCAAGCCCAAGGCTAATTTCGCGGCGAGGGGATAAAGGGGGCTGGCCAAGGAAAAGGTTAACGAGGGACAGGTCGAGCCAAAGAACGGCGGTTTCTACAACGGCGCGCAGGATAAAGCGCGGGCAAGAGTGATTGGGAAATCGTCGCCGCTGGTGTTGCGCGTCTCTCGGCCTTTCCCTGCACACCGCCCAGCCGGGGTCGAGCGCGTTAGTCGTGACCGTTCCATGCTTCATATGTAGAGAGATCGGCGGGTCACGACTTGCTGCCGCGGTGTTTCGGTCCCCGCAGCGCCGAAGTTCGGACGTCATCCCCAGATTTTTCGAAGCCTGAGAGCTGGCGGCCCATTGACTCATGCCACTTGCCTGATCTCCGCCCAAAACCACACAAAGTCAAAGGGCATACACCCTCACACTTGTTCGTTCTTCCTGTCTTTTTATTTTCCGCCACTGTCTGTTGCGACAATGGTGCAGAACGGCTCCGCCTCCGTCCTGCCGGACCCCACCGCCGACCTGCACTGGAGCAACTACCGGGGCGGTAAGTCTCGCGAGATTCCAATGCAAGCTTCCTGAAGCTGACCACGGTGCAGCAATCCACGAGATCTTCGCGGCCAATGCCCAGAAGCACCCTGAGAGGCCCTGCGTTGTCGAAACCGCGAGCGCCAGTGGCCCCGAGCGTGCCTTCACATACCAGCACATCAATGAGAGCTCAAATCAGCTTGCTCACCACTTCCTGCAACATGGCTGCGAGCGCGGCGACGTCGTCATGGTCTACGCCCACCGCGGGTCAGCAATTCCCACCCGTTTAAACGTCCAGTTGTCTGATCTGCCGTAGTGTCGACCTCGTCGTCGCATACATGGGTGCTCTCAAGGCCGGAGCAACCGTCAGCGTCCTCGACCCGCAATACCCGCCTGATCGCCAGACCATCTACCTCGAAGTCGCCAACCCTCGTTTCCTCGTACAGATTGAGCGCGCGACGGAGGAGGCAGGAAAGCTGCCGGACACGGTCAGGGAGTTCATCACCAAGAACTTGAGCCTCAAGGCCGAGGTTCCTGCTCTCAAGCTTCAGGATGATGGCACTTTGGTCGGTGGCCAAGTCGACGGCAAGGATTGCCTCGAGGCACAGGTCGCTGTTAAGAGCCAGTTGCCGGATGTGGTGGTCGGCCCCGACTCTATCCCCACGCTGAGCTTCACCAGTGGCTCGGAAGGCAGGCCGAAGGGCGTGCAGGGTCGTCACTTCTCCCTCACCTACTACTTCCCTTGGATGGCTGAGAGGTTTGGCCTGTCTGAAAACGACAAGTTCACCATGCTGTCCGGTATCGCCCACGACCCCATTCAGGTACACACCATCTATCCCCGAACTACGTCCGAATCAGGATGCTCACTATCGACAGAGAGATATCTTCACCCCTCTCTTCCTCGGCGCTCAACTCCTTGTTCCTAGCAGGGATGACATTGCTCACGAACTTCTCGCTGAGTGGATGCGCAACCACAAGGCCACTGTCACCCATTTGACGCCTGCCATGGGTCAGATTCTGGTCGGTGGTGCCTCCGCTGTCTTCCCTTCTCTCCACCACTCCTTCTTCGTCGGTGATGTATTGATCAAGAGAGACTGCAGGAGGCTGCAGGAGCTGGCTCCCAATGTTCGCATTGTCAACATGTACGGAACCACTGAGACCCAGCGAGCCGTCTCCTACTTTGAAATCCCCAGCAAGACCGATGATCCCGCGTTCCTTGACACCATGGGTGATATCATTCCCGCTGGCAAGGGTATGCTCGATGTTCAGCTGCTCGTTGTTGACCGCGAGAACCGCAACCGGATTTGCGAAGTCGGCGAGCAAGGTGAGCTTTTCACGCGTGCTGGTGGTTTGGCTCAAGGCTATCTTGGCAATGATGAGACCACTGCCAAGCTGAACGAGTCCAAGTTCATTTCCAACTGGTTCCTGGATCCCCAGCAGTGGGCCAAGCAGGATGAGGAGCAGGCTGCTGCTTCCGGTAAGCAGGAGCCATGGCGGCAATTCTACCAGGGTCCCCGTGACAGGCTATACCGGACCGGTGACTTGGGTCGCTACACTGCTGATGGAAACGTCGAGTGCACTGGTCGCATTGACAACCAGGTCAAGATCCGTGGTTTCCGTATCGAACTGGGCGAGATTGACACCCACCTGTCGCGTCACCCGCTCATCCGTGAGAATGTGACTCTGGTCCGCAGGAACAAGGATGAGGAGCCTACGCTGGTCAGCTACATCGTTCCCGAGATGAAGCGTTGGTACGAATGGCTCCAAGAGAAGGGCATCGCAATTGACGAGTCCATCGATGATACGATGGCTGGTATGCTGAAGAAGTTCAAGCCTCTGTCGGACGACTGCAGGAACTTGTTGAAGACCAAGGTCCCCTCCTACGCTGTTCCTAGCGTTTTTGTCCCTCTTTCTCGTATGCCTCTCAACCCCAACGGTAAGATTGACAAGCCGGCGCTTCCTTTCCCTGAGCCGGAAGATCTGCTCAAGGCCTCTGGCAGGAGGTATTCGCAGATCGCTGCTGCCATGACTGAGACCCAGAAGACAGTTGCGTCGATTTGGGGCGAGCTGCTTCCCAATGTCTCTGCCAAGATGTTGACGCCCGAGTCCAACTTCTTCGAGGAGGGTGGCCATTCGATTCTGGCCCAGCAGATGCTCCTGAAGGTCCGTAGGCAATGGAAGGGCACCGACGTTCCCATGAGCGTCATCTTCTCTTCGCAGACTCTCGAGGCTTTTGCTGAACAGATTGACCGTGCGCGTGACCCCGCTGGCCTGCGTCTGGATGCCGCCCCGGCTGTGGAAGATCTCAAGGACGAGGCTTACTCTGCTGACGCTCGTGAGCTGGCTCAACAGCTGCCCAAGTCCATCCCTTCGGGCGAACTGAACTTCTCGCAGCAGATCACTGTTTTCCTGACTGGCGCCACCGGTTTCCTTGGTTCTTACCTTTTGCACGACCTCCTCAACCGCAACACCAGGGTCATCGCACACGTCCGTGCCAAGGATTCCAAGGCCGGTTTGGAGCGTATCGTTCAGACTTGCAAGGCTTACGGTATCTGGTCTGAATACTGGAGAGACCGTCTGCACTGCGTTGTCGGTGACCTGACCAAGCCTAACCTTGGTCTCTCCCAGGACGCTTGGGAGAACGTCGCAAACGAGGCGGACGTCATCATCCACAACGGCGCTCTTGTCAACTGGATGCAGCCGTACTCCAGCCTTCGTGCCGCCAACGTCCTCAGCACCATGTCGGCCATCTCGCTCTGCACGAGCGGCAAGCCCAAGCACCTTGGCTTCGTTAGCTCCACCTCGACACTCGACAGCGAACACTACGTCAAGCTGTCCAAGGACAGCGTTGCCAACGGTGGCAAGGGTGTGCTCGAGGCCGATGACTTGGAGGGTAGCCGCAAGGGCCTGGGCACGGGATACGGACAGTCCAAGTGGGCCAGCGAGTACATTGTGCGCGAGGCCGGCCGTCGCGGTCTCAAGGGTGCCGTCATCCGTCCCGGCTACGTCACCGGTGACCCCAAGTCTGGTACTTCCATCACTGACGACTTCCTCATCCGCCTGTGGAAGGGCTGCCTGCAGCTCAAGGCGCGTCCCGATATCACCAACACGGTCAACCAGGTTCCTGTCACGCACGTTGCCCGCGTTGTCGTTTCTTCGACGATCCACCCTCCGGCTTCGCCTCTTGGTGTTTCCCAGGTCACCGGCCGCCCTCGCCTTACGTTCAACGAGTTCGTGGGTGCCCTGGAGACGTACGGCTACAATGTGCCGAAGGTGTCGTACGAGGAGTGGCGCGATGCGATGGAGGAGTATGTCGCCAGCTCCATCGATGGCAAGCAGGAGGAGCACGCTCTGTATGTTCTATATTTAATACCCGTTGAAGATGACGTAAAGCTAACATGCCCAGGCTTCCCCTCTTCCACTTCGTCACGGGCGACCTCCCCAGCGACACGATCGCCCCAGAGCTGGACGATGCCAACGCGGCCGCCGCGCTCAAGGTTGACGCCAACTATACGGGCGAGGATCTCTCGGCCGGCGGCGCAGTCACCGAGGACATCATCGGCAACTACCTGGCCTACCTCGTTGCGGTCGGCTTTTTGCCGAAGCCGGAGAAGGCGGGCGAGCGCGAGCTGCCGTGGTTTGAGCTCAGTGCGGAGCAGAAGGAGGCGCTTGGACGGATTGGTGGACGTGGTGGCAATGCGTAGGTTTGCGGTGGTGTGAGTGAATATTTGGATTTGTGGAGGGTTTAGGCGGGTAAGTGGGATGGGATAGAGTGGGGTTTGGAAAAATATACTTGTGTATATGTATACCAGCTGTGAGTGGGAGGACTGTTTCCATTCAATATGTGGTGTATATGTTTGGGTAGGTGGGGTGGAAAATCTAGGAATCGCTTGTATGTGCATGGAATGTCTGTACCACGAAATGTGCCTACCTATTTAAGTTCGCCCTTCACCCAGCATCAAACTTATTCACTCTAAACAACTCACACCAAACATTTCGACTACTCAATACAACATGACAAACCACTCAGATGAGAAGCCAGTCTTCTGGCTCTGCGGAACTGCTCCGCAACACACGCCTTCTTGAAAGCCTGGCCTTGGACAATGATCTCCTACAGACACCCCGGCTGTCCAGTTAGGCAGAATGCTTTCTCTCAAGCCCGGTGGCTAGACCATCTACCTCATCGCTAGATATATTATAAGTAATAAGTAATAATGGCAAAAGTGTGCTGATGAGAGACATGAATTGTTTGTGGCGCGGATAGACAGCTTCGTGGTGTAGTGCTGTGTGATACCATGGTAGTAGTAAATTATCGGAAGTATAGGCATTCCTTGGGCAGTATTGATTCTGTTGGTGTTGAGAGGAGATGCTCCTGGGATTGCGGACCGACACATGTGGTGACCGCATTGATCTTTCAGAATCGGATGATTAGAAATGAATGTTCGCTTGAAATTTGCTTGAGATGAGTAAAGCTGTTCTTAGACTAGAGCGGCAACCTGCGTCAGCCAGACATTTAGCAATATTAAAAGAGTTCAAAACGGCGTACGCAAAATACTACCACCGCTCCTCGCACGGCGAGAGAAATTAAGAATTGCCGTTTTCGGTATAGCGTTGAAGACAAGGGTGTTACAAGTTGACGGCAGAATCTGACCGCCTGATTTGTTTTTACTGTACTACAAAAAGCACTGATGAGCTCAAAACTTCCGCGAGGAAAGGAACCTAAGGTAGTCACAGACGGACGGCTACAAGCGCTGCTTCTCTAAGCAACAACGACTTCTTTGACAATCAAGCGGTAGTTGCCCTTCACCTTGTCAGCAGCGGAAAGAGCGATCTTTGTGTTTGCTACACCTACAAATAGCCGCTGCCACTTTTCTTTCCTCCTCCAACAACTACAATCTCCCCAGGCTTTCTTGATACCACACTACCAAATCGTGCAACTATGGCCGACACCAACGGTACCAACCCTGGGACTTGTTCCACTTGCAAGAAAGCTTCCCCCGATCTCAAACGTTGCGCCAAATGTCACACTGAGCAATACTGCAACCGCGACTGCCAGAAGGCGCATTGGAAGACCCACAAGAAAGTGTGCGCCATGCGTGCGGGCCAAACCCCAAACCCCAGCACCTCCACTCCCGGAAACGCAGCCCTGGCGCCAAAGAACCTTGACACGGCCATTGCCCAGCCGTTCCACTGCCTTGACGACCAAACCTGGCTTCACGGGCGCTCGGAGCGAGACACGTACAAGCTCCTCATCGACTCCTACCGCATCCGCATGAACGACCAGTACAACATGGAAGGCGACATCGACAACGACTGCGTCATGAGCGGCAACGTGTCCAGCAGCATCCGCGGCTTCGAGCGGTACCTACGGCTGCTGCACCGACGGGCCCCGAACCTCCTCCCGCCGTGGTGGAACAGTCAGAAGGAGCAGGAGTGCAAGAGCGCTGGCATGCGGAGCAGTGCGTGGGAGAGCCTCAGCGCTTGCCCTGAGAAGAGCGACTTCATTGAGCACTATGGGGACTCGATGATGCCGATGCAGTTGAGGATGTTCAATGAAAGTGTGTATGGCAATGCGCCTGGTGGGTCCAGCGGCGAGGGCATGAGGAAGATGATGATGATGCAGGAAGCGGGCGGTAATGGTGAGGGCATGCACTCGGATACTGTCGATATCAGTGCGATGTTGGCTGGTTTGGTGGGTCGCCGTTGATTTGTGGTCGAATGCCTTTCCCGACGGATACCCTTAACTGGGTACTGATTCAGAGCATTTCTGGTTCGCATCTTAAGAGATCAGACCCCTAATAGATACTCTTGTACTGTTGAGAAGGAGGCATACTAAGGCAGTATCTTACGTAATCCAAGATAAAGAAGTTACACTGCTACCTTAGTCTCAATCAAAGAGTATCATTCTCCATATCTCAGTACTTCTTATCCAGATACTTCTCAGTGATGTTTGCACGACAGTACAACAAGTACCCATCCTCCCCATCTTTTTCCCCTACCGGCATTTACCCTTCACCTAAACCACTTAAGTCTCCTGACTGATCTTTCAAGCGGCCTCGCCCATTTTCTGTGAGCTAGAGTTTCAGCTCAGCAAGCAATAACTCTAGCCATCCAAACATCCCTATTAACTTAAGCTCTAGTACACACTCGTCCACTAACCCAAACCCAACCACAACCCCAACAGCACGTATACACACCAACCACATACTCAGTATTTACTAACTCCTCAACGCCCACCCCGCCTTCCCTTTCCCTCCCAACAACAACCACAAAACCACCCACCCACATCCACACCAACCACTCGACCAACCAACACACGCACCCAGCCAACCAACCACACCCGACCCACACAATCACGGATACGTGCCTCCTTCCTCCATCGCCTTCATCCAAGCAAGTCGTCGGGTACAACTTTCCTGCAACGTTTAACACCCACCACCCCCAACCCAACCCCCCGCCTACACTCAGGATCAGAAAAAGCATGCGCTGATGCGAAACGCCAGGCTGTGGGGGGTCGTTAAGGTTTCTTAATAGTATGCGCTATCATTGCCTCATGGTGGTGCTGCTCATTACCACCACCGCCGCCACCGCAAATCGTCCACCTCAGCAGCTAGGATATAAGCCATGTCAGATGGGCGAACGGCCACGTAGTGCGGCAGCCGCGTCTCACCCGCATAAGAGAGAAGCTTTGTTAAGAAGAAGGAAGGGCAGTAAGTACATCGAGAGCCATCGAACAAGCGTAGGAGCGTATAAAGGCTGGGGAGTGCGAAAATAGTGCTGACTGCTGAAGGCCAAGGAACGTTCGTTGCATTTCATATCTGGCTGAAAGAAAAGAAAAGAAAGGCTACCTCTAATAGCGTCGTCGTCGTCCGGCCATGTGTTGCCTGCCAATGCCAATACCAATGCCAGATGCCCTCCCCATCCCTCCCCATACCTCCCCCCCTAAGCCTCCACAATAGCCCCATCCCTGCACCTCGTCCCCTCCGCAACGCGTCCCATATCGACCCAGCCGCCATGATCACAGACCAAAAAGCCATCCTCGCCCTTACACTTAAACGTGCCGTCGGTATCGCAGTCGCCGAACGGACGGGCGCGGACATGGCGGTCGTCGCGCCCTTTGCCGGCTTCGAAGGGCAGGCACATCATCCCGTCCGCGACGGGGTGGGGGTCCCGCCATTCCCACGCTGAGTTGCTTGCGGGGGCGCAGGTGAAGAAGCGGTCGGGGGACGCGCAGAGGAAGGCGCCGGGCGTGCAGGGGGGGTTGGTGGGGGGGTTGGGGAGGTAGGGTGGGTGTGGGGAGGAGGTGTTGGGGTTGTTGTTGTTGTTGCCGCTGTTGTTGCCACCGTTATTTTCACCACTGCTGCCACCAGTAGTAGTAGTGCTAGTGGCAGTGGTAATAGTAGAGGAAGTGCTGCTCTTGCTCGTTGTCATCGTCGCCGTGCTCGCGTACAGCGACCGCGACGCCGAGCACACGGTCGTGCACGCGTTGATGGGGCCACACGCATCTCCAGACGCGCAGTTGCACGCCACAACCGGCTTCGTGCACGTTTCGGCGGGAAGGGGCGCCGTGAAGATGCTTGTTGCGATGGGGACGGAGGTAGTGCAGCTGCTAGACGCCGCTGCAGCCGACATCTCGGCGAAGCCCGCGGGCGTAGCGTGTTGTTTCTTGGTCGTGGAGGTGGAGGTCTGTTTGGAGTTGGGGGACGCAGCGGCTTTGCCTGGAGAGGCGTTGTTGGAGCTGGAGCCAGAACCAGCGGGGCAGGCCGGGTCAGGGAGTTCGCAGTTGCCCTTGGCGGCGGGGGAGGAGGCGGTTGCGTCGCCATTGTACTCGACGTCGTCGCCGGGGTTGGGGTAGACAATGTCGACGCCCTCGGTGGAGCGGCAGCTGTTGATGCTCGAGATGCCGGCGACGTACAGGTTGGGCAGGCCGCAAAGGCTGGAGCTGTTCCCGCTGCTGGCGTTGTCGTCGCCACGAATGCGCACCGCCGCGCAGTTCATGTAGAACTCGCGGTTGCCGGAGTGGTTGATCCACGTCCACGCGAACAGCGCCTTCCCGCTGGGCGCCTTCTTCGGAATCGTGAAGTTGTACGTCGCCTCGCCGCGGGCCGGACAGCCGCCCACGACGCTCTTGATGACCTTGAACGTCTCGCCCTCGTCGTATGATAGCGCGAGCTGGCAGCTGCCGCCCCCGTGGTTCGCCGACCCCTCGAGCATCATGTTATACGTCTCGCCGGCTGTGTAGTTTGCGCTGACCGGCGCCGAGGCGGCTTCCTGTACTCCCTGGCATGGGAAGTTGGAGCCGTCGCCCTGCAGCGGCGATTTGATGTCGTAGTCGCGGACGGCCGCATTGGTGGCTCTAGGGCTGTCCCACGGCTCGGGGTCCGTCATGGCCATGTGGGCGTAGGATAGGGGGGCATGGAGGAGGGATGCGCAGAGAATGGAGCGTAGAAAAACCATCTTGGCCCAAGGCATTGCGGTTGGCGCAATGGGATCGAAGTAAAATGGATAGATAGAGCCCCAATGGCACTCCGACAAGAAGGAAACGCACGACTTAAATCATATTCAGCAAGGGCAGACGCGGGAGCCACCTCCTGCGCGCGCAAGAGCCTGGGCAGTGGGGAGACGTGTTGGGGAAATCCGTAGCACCAGGGCCTGGGCTCGGCGCTGGGATGATCAGTGTCTTGCGTGATTGGGCAGCTTGTGACTTTTCCATAGCTGCGAGTCGCTGCGGTCGGCTTCTTCAACGCCGCGTGTGGTGTTTCGAGGTACATTCTTCACGCGGGAAGTGCCACCAGGAATGCTCCGCTCGGCCCTGCCCGGTAGCCTCCTCGCGCGCGTACCTCGCCCTGTCAGCAATCCACGGGTCACCAGGTATTCGCCTTTACTCACTGCCACGAGACCACGTACGTCGTTGCACACGCGGTTTCGAGCTGGCTGGGTCAACATAGCAGTCTCATAACATATGTCTCCCATCTGACATAGTCGCGTATCCCTGTCGATGCCACGGCCAGACAAGTGGTCACTCCTTGATCAAGAACTCCTCGATATCCTTGTCGCTCTCGGCCTCGGCCTCGGCCTGCAACTTCTGCTCATGCTTCTCCAGCGCGTCCCGCACGAACTTCCTCTGCCGCAGGCGCGCGGCGCGCCCCCACTCGCCGGGGCGGACCGCGCTCTCTTCCTCACTGCTATCATCGTCGTCGCTGTCGACGCCGGGCAGCGCGATCTTGGGCTTGCGGCTCTTCTTCGCTCCCACACGCAGGTCGTTGGCGTCCGCGAGTTCTTCCGCCCGCGCCTGCCGCTTGGCCTCGGCATCCTGGTGCTCGAGCTGCTTCAGTTGGCGGTGCGCGCCCAGCTTGACCAGCCACTGGCGCAGCAGGAGGTAGCCGCCGATGATGACAACGAGGCGGATGTAGTCTTTGGGACCGAGATTGTTGAACTAGATGGACACGGTGTCAGTAGTCGTAGCTCGAAAGAAGAAGAAGACGAAGAAGCGTGAGCGCGCACGGCTTTGGACGTTTGCGTGGAGAGGTTATCGCCCCAAGTGGAGAGCAGCGTCATGATGTCCGGGGAAGGCGGCTGGTGCGCATTGGCGGCGCGTGCGTTGGGGAGGTGCTGGTCGGCGGCCATTTTGCGATCTTTGCACTGCTTTGCTCTTTGTGACGCAGACTGCTTGGACAGGAACGTGAGAAGGAAAAAAGTCCAGCTTAGCTTGAGGATGCCGCGCGCGAGGTGGTGAAAGAAGCCACCCGGCAGGCGACGCAGGCCAAGACCCCTGTCTAGCGCCCGTTCCGCACCCGCGCCGACATCATCCTTCCGACGCGTCGTCGCGACCCAGTTCTCTCGACACAACAATTCGATACAATCCAATCCACCCACAGCTGCGCGCTCCGCTCCGCAACCAGCCACTGCGAGTGCTATCCACCTGTTGCTCACTCCACCACCACCACTATCATCACCACCGTCACCAAACAAGTCAAACCGTTCAAACAACCCAAACACACAACCAAAATGGCCAGCACGCCCACCGACCCCAGCACCACCAAGGAAGAAGTACGCTCCCATCCCCTCCCCCACCCACACCCACACCCACGCACCCCACTAACATCCCGACCACAGGCGCTCAAATCCGCCCTCTGGCTCTCCCTCGGCGCCCACATCGACGACACCTGCCTCCACCACGCCTTCAGCACAACGCCGCAATTCATCGGCGCCTTCACCGAGCTCGTCTACACGCAGATCCAGTCCGCAGCGCGGGACCTGGCGGCATTCGCACGCCACGCCGGCCGCGCCCAAGTGCGCACCGAAGACGTGTTGCTGCTTGCGCGGCGGAACGAGGGCCTTGAAGGCTTGTTGATGGGGTTTGTGGAGGAGTTGAGGAAGGAGGAGGGCGGGTCTGGGGGCGCGGGACGGAGGACCAGTGCCGGAGCGGCCAGAGGTGGGGTTAGGAAGAGGGGCGGTGCTGCTGGGGCGGCTGCGGGCCGTGGTGGCGCGGGCAGAGGGCGCGGTGCTGGGAGGGCGAGGGGCCGTGGGAGAGGGCGCGGGAAGGCTGCTGCCGCTGAGTGAGTGGCCACGCTGCTTGCTGGTGCGTCGCTCTCTCCCCCACCATACTCCCAATGCACCACCGCCCCGCCAGCCAGCCAAGCAATCCACCTCTCACCCATCCACCCGTCACGCGCCGCACTCTTATCCACGACAGCAAGCTCTCCGCCCATCAGCACAACCGCAAGACTGGGCACAGCAAAAGCAAGAACCCAAGCAGGCTTGGGCAAACAAGCAGAGATTTCCACGCGACACACACACACACACACACACAAACACACACACACACACACACACACACACACACACAAATCAGCCAGCGCACCACGCGCCCTATATCCCATGCGCCCTAAACCCACAAGCCAGCAGACCAACGCACCGGCCTCGACGGCAAACGAAACCAGCACGGTGCCCACAAAGCCAGGCACTGATTGGGAGTCTGCACACCCGTACCTAGCACAGCAAGCGCTAGACCAGGCGCTCCTGATTCCAGCGGCGCAGGCGGGAGGGGGATGCGCAGGGGGATATTGGAGAGATAACGAGATAATCATACGGTTAAGGAGGGGAAGATGGAAATCACGGCTAAACAGGAGAATTATGGACAATATGGTTAAGCAGGCACGCACAGGCGCGTGCGGATGCGCATATTGCAGTGTGCGTCTCGCGCGTGTGCTAAAAACGACCAGAAATAAAGATAGCAGCATACAGACACGGTCACAGACACGGACAGAGACGGCTAAAACAATTACAATATACACCCCTAGGTAGCCAGCACTCGCAATAGAAGCGCACATTGGAAGTCAAGCACGCACAAGTCAAGCACTCAGCACAGCACAGCAAAACACACCAGCTCTCAAAATCAATATTCTTCATTACGCTCATCCATTCATTAGGTGGTGTGGTGTGGTACTGGGGTGATCCAATCCCCCATCTCACCCTCTAGCTCAGCCGGGCTCGCTCCTCTGCGCAACGCAATCATCGCGGCAATCCAAGCTTTTACCTCTGGATTGCGTTACTGCGGCAGATTGAAGCACCCGGTCGAGGTCATGAACCGCGCCGCAGCGCGGTGGTGGTATACTGCTGCAATTTCATAATACACGGCGCCCCTGGTGGGGGCGCGACATTAGGCGTAGTGGGTGGTGGTTTTGTTGTTGATGGTTGTTGTTGTGGAGATTGCTATTTGTGGAGACGGTGTGGTGTAACAATCGCGTGATGGAGCTGGTGATGGCGGTGCTATTCTAAACGGCGACGGCGGCGGCGGCAGCGGTAGCGGTAGTGATGGATTTCGCGGCGGCAGGGACGTCGTCGCCGTCGTCGTCGTCGGGGAGGTTTCGAACACAGCAGTGGCTTAATAAGCGCTCTTATCGTAGCCGTAAGGGTTACCCATAGCGGTGCCAGTAGGCTGGGTGTAGTAGCCGGAGGTGCGGTTATCGGGCTTGTAGTTGCCGCCGTAGTTGTTGTCGTTTGCGCCGACGGTAGAGCCGGTGTAAGCCGTGTCGGCGCTAGGGCGCGTGTCGACGTTGTTAGTGGGAGCGAGCGAAGCGGGAGCACCGGCGCCATACGTTCCGAGTTCCGAGTCCGGGCTCTTGGGCGCCGTCTTGTTGCGCTTCCAGAAGGGGCCCTTGCCCGTGCCCGACGTGTAGTTGTTGGCCGGCGACGGGCCGAAGCGGCTTTCCTTCTTGTGGCGGCGGGCCAGGAAGAACTCGACAACAGCGCAGAGGAGGAACAGCACGCTGTGCGGGGAGTGTTAGCAATCTTTTTTGTCAGGGAGGCCCTAGGGGTGTAGTGTGGCCATGTGATTTTTTAGTTTGGTTCCGACTTACGCTCCAATGATCGAGACGGCGCAGCAGGCCTTGTTGAACATGCAGGCCGTGCCGAACCGGGCTTGGTAGGTAGCGTTCTCGCCGTTGTTCACGCCGAAGCCCTTGCTGCCGTAGCCCTCGCCCGTCTCGGCATTACCCTTGCCCAAGGGCGTGTCGATGGTGCCGGTGCAGGCGCCCAGGCCGTCACGCGTCAGGACGGCCAGGGCAATAAAGGCGCCGCAAAAGGCAACGTCGAGGACCATGCACAGGAAGGCCAGGAAGCTAACGCCGCCAAAGCACGGCGTCAGGACGCAGGCCACGAGGGTGTAGAAGACGCCGGCGCCGGAAATGCCTTCGACGGCCTTTTCCCACGTCGGGATGGGACGGTCCCGGTCGGACAGGACGGCGAGGAAGTACGAGTAGAAGCCGAGAACGATGGCGGCGCAGCAGAAAGCCAGGCCATACGGGATGGTCCCGAAGACGCGCGCGATGAAACCCATGCTGCGTGAGTGGGTGAGAGATGTGCGTTTCAGTTCGTGTATTGGACAGGAGAGAGGCGGCGCGCGGGGAATGCGAGGGATTTGAACGGGCGACAGAGACAGCCAACCGAAGGGGGTGTGGGCAGCTTGACGAGCCTGAAAGTTGCGGTAAGGCCAGAAAGGCCGGTCCCTTCCCTAATAAACGGCAGCGAGCATGTAAAATGACGCAGCATCACGGCGCACGCTGGCCCTTGACCCTGCAGAAGGCAGGGAAGCTTAAACCCCATGCCCACTTGCTCCCCTGTCTCTTCCCTGCTGATCGACCGAACCGCGTCATGCTCGTGGCGTCGGGCGGCTTGTGGCGCTTCTAGATGATTCAGGCCAAGCCGAAAATCTTAGTGACCGATACCTGATAACGCTGCCTTTTCCTCCAGTCTCGACAACACCTGGCCAACATTCCGTGACCATGTTGGGTGCACATCCTCGATGACGCCTCTTGCGCCGCCAATCCCTCGTCAATCCACCTCTTCTTGCCCAACGCTGGGGGAACACAATGTTTTATGTTTCCGGCTTTCCCCATACCTACTCTACTCTACTCTACCCATTCAGAGGGTTGTTTAAAAAGGGGCAGTCTCGGCGCATCTCTGGTCCATGAGCGCGGAGCGGACGGCGCGGGGCGGGGCGGGCACGGCGGGGTTCGCAGGCCTCGATCGGTTCACAGGAGCCGCGCGTTCTCCGCACGCCGTCCGTCTGTCTGTCGTGACGCACGCAACGCCGGCCCGTGCAGCTGACCCAGCAGTATGTACACGTAGGTATTGTACCATAGCTATGTATGCGCATCGCCGGGCCCATTGTGGCCGGTGTGCGACAGCGAAGAGATATTGTACAATACCTCCCACGTCCAACCTCGGCCGTGGTGATGATGCGCCAACAACAACACCTGCACAGCCCAAAGATTATCGCCCACAGTGGGCATGAACAGCCTCACACCTGCCGTTTTTCGTCGCTCGCACGCGCGCACGCTGTTGTAATCCCTCCCCCAGACCGGCAGTGACCTGCTGCCTATCCGTACTCGCTCCACTCCGCCCACCTCCACGCCCCACGCCCCAGCGATTGTCTATCCAAAACTGCGGGCCCTGCGCTCCATATTGCCACTGGACTCCGTACCACCACCACAACCAACGAACCACGGTTATCATGGCCTCGTCCCGACGTCCCGTCCCAGACTTTGTTTGTAGTTCCCCTTGACTGCGGTCTGCGGCCCGCAGGACCTTCCGTGCGGATTAACGTCGCGGCTTTGGTTGTGCTGGGGGCCAGTCGTATGCGCGTCGTGCTATGGATGCGATACTGGCGGGTGGGGGCTTTTTCTCCCACACGCACGCCTACAACGCGGATCCCAACCGCGCAGCTTGTTGGTGCGATTGCACCACCCGCGAGGTTTGCCTAGTTAGTCATCGCTGGAGAGACAGCCATGTGCTTCCCTGCGGATTACTGATTGCGACCTACTGGGCAGTGGAGCGAACGGGCCGAGCGGGATGCGCGGTGAGCGGAAAGAGCGGCAGCCAGGCAGCGTGGGAGCAGGGAGCCTCGCAGATACAAATAAAATCCGTAGACAACGCTGCGGACGCCGTAGGAACGGCGGAGCGGAATGGCGGGCTGGCGGATAGATGTTCCCTACCTACGAGTAGAGAGCTCGCGTTCTTGCGCTCCGCTCTGCTCGACTCTGCTTTGCTCTACTCTGCTGTCCACAGGAGGTGGTGATGTCTGCGGCGGCTCAATAGAACGGATCCGGCACCCCCAACCCGTCCATCCACAGTGCCACGGCACCATGATGTCTCACCACATCTTTAAACACACGTACATACCCAGGCACTCTCATGTCCAATTACCCAAACCAAACCACCACACTCCCTCCATCCTTCCATCAATCTCAGCCCCAGCTCCAGCCTTACCACCGGCAACCCAGCGGAGCCCCCGCCCGAGACCCGGAGACGCACCTCAGTTTACAGCGCGGAGGCACAGCGCGAGTCAGTCAGCCGTCATTCCGCCCACCCGTCCGCCCTGCCGCCCGCGCACCTGTCTCCAGTAACAGTCGTATGTCATTGTGAGAACAGGCTGTGGAGACCACTCACACAGCGTCGCCGGATACTTGCTACCCAGGCAGCGTGTGCGTCTGCTGCTATATAAAGCTGCGCGTCGGCCGCTGCGCGTCGTGCTGCGTGCGTCAGGGCGTGCGCTCTCGCTTTGCGCCCAAGCGGATGTGGCTTTTGCAAGGCGTTTTGGCGTGCCCGCTCGATCGCGAGCTGCCCGTGTGTTGCGCCCACTGCGCCTGCTGTGCGCGCTGCGCTCTGAGGGCTTGGGGTAGCGCGCGTGCCTGTGATTCTCCGTTCTGCTAGGACGCGTGCTGGCTTGCGCTGCGCTGCTGTGGCTCGTGGGGCGGTGTGGTGCTTTGTAGGTGCGCTGATGAAGGAAAAGAAGAAGGTAAGTAGGACTAAGGTAAGGATTTTGGTTTCGCGCATGCTTCGTCTAGTTCTTTTCTCCCGCAATATTTCCCTTTCTCCAGTCGCAGTCGCATTATTTCCTTCCAGTTCATTTCGGTCTCGTCCATTTATTTCCGAAAGGGGACCTTAACGAAGCTTCACCCCGCCTCGAGTGGGTGGAGGCTCTTCTCTGGCACGTCGCGCGTCGGGTAATAAGATTCCAAATTCCATATGGTATGGCTGCAGCCGGGAGTGGGATGTGACAGACGAGCGATGGCCGGCTAGCGGGAAGGTGAGCCGAGGCGGGAAAATGGCGGGGAAGAAGCAGCCAACTCTCCAACGTCGAGCGCAAAGCGCGTCATGGATTCAACACTTGGACAGGCAGGTGGGAAGCCGATACGCGGACGACACTTTGCTAGCGCGGCGACGGCGCAGACGGCCGCGCCAATCCCCCTCTCGTCATCCCTTTCTGGCACGCCTGCCCATGCGTCTGCCGTAGCTGATTGGTGGCAAAAGTAATGACGTCCCCCGGCCCTTGATGCTCCTTTGCGCGAGCTCCACCAAAAAAGACGGTTTCGGACGAGGCGTGTCTACACCGCGAGGCACGCTGCCAGAAGGGAGCGAGCAGCTATACGGAGTATATACGCTCGAGCAGACAGGCCTCCTCGCCGCTGGCTGGCAGCAGACGGCGACGCGACGCGATGCGATGCGATGCGACAGGGCGACGTCGGCGCAGCATCATCGACGGTGCCTGCCCTTGTGCCATGCCGGAGATACTCTAGCAGTCTCGACGAGCCCATGGCACTACCGCGCGCAAGACCCGCCGTGCCGCCTACACCTCATGCATCGGGGCCATCTTGGCCGTGACAGGAAATGATATCACCCGGGGTGTGAGGGCTTCTGCGCGCATTCATAAGCCGAAGCCCCTCCCCCTCCTCTCTGGGCTTTTCCACCAACACTATTTTTCCGCCATTTTCCTGTCAAATTATACCTCGATAGCCGCTTTTTCCCACCCCAATTCTGCCACAATGCCTTACCCCGAGACCGCCGAGGGCTTCTGCGTCACTGACATCAAGAACTGGAGCACGTTTGAGAAGAGGGAGGTCCGTTACTCTCGCTCCTCGCTCCCAAGCGCCACCACGAAGCTAAACATCCTCCCGCACAGATCAAGCTCAAGCCCTTCGAGGACCGCGACATCGACGTCGCCATTGACGCCTGCGGCGTGTGCGCCTCGGACGTGCACACCATCACGGGGGGCTGGGGGTCGGACATCCCGCTGCCGCTGTGCGTGGGGCACGAGGTAGTGGGGCGGGCGGTGCGGGTAGGCAAAGACGTGACGACGATCAAGGTGGGCGACCGGGTAGGCGTGGGCGCGCAGATCAGCGCCGACCTCACCTGCGCCAACTGCAAGGCCGACCAAGAGAACTACTGCCCCAAGTCCGTCGACACGTACGGCGCGCCCTACCCGGACGGCACCATCTCGCAGGGCGGCTATGCCAGCCATATCCGCGCCCATGAATACTTTACCTTCAAGATCCCGGATGGTCTGGATACGGCGCTTGCGGCGCCCATGCTGTGTGCTGGCTTGACTACGTATAGTCCGCTTAAGAGGCTGGGCGCGGGGCCGGGGAAGAAGGTCGGCATAATCGGAATGTAAGAGACGCCTCTAAGGCCCCTGCGCAGTAAACAACAGCACTAACCACGCGCACAGCGGCGGACTCGGCCACTTCGGAATCCTATGGGCCAAGGCCCTAGGCGCCGAAGTATACGCGATCTCGCACTCGCCGGGCAAGAAAGACGACGCGCTCGCGCTGGGAGCGAAAGAGTTCATCTGCACCAAAGAAAAAAACTGGGCCGAGCCGTACAAATTCCAGCTGGACTTCGTGATCAACACAGCCGACGCGACTGACAAGTTCGACCTGGCGGAGTACTTCTCAGTCCTCAAGGTCAACGGGACCTTTCACATGGTGGGCTTCCCTGACAACCCGCTGCCGGCCTTCCAGGCCCAGATCTTCGCCACCAACGGCTGCTACATGGGCGCGTCGCACATCGGAAACCGCCCCGAGATGATTGAGATGTTGGAGCTTGCGGCGAAGCAGAAGATTAAGAGCTGGGTCCAGACGATTGATATTTCGGAGGAGGGGTGCAAGGAGGCGGTTGAGCGCGTGTATAAGAATGATAATGTGCGGTATAGGTTTACGCTCACGGGGTTCGATAAGGCGTTTGGGAAGCGGGAGTAGAGGAGCGTTGCGTGCGGTTATGACTGATGATTGTGTTTGTGTTTGTTGGCGCGGGGGGTAGGGTGGCTATGACTGCGTTGCGAGAGGTAGAAAGTATTTTTGGTTGTAACTCCTACGTCCTGCCCTCTGCCTCTCGCACATCTTTCTTCCCATCAGCACGCACACACAAACTCCCACACTCCCAAACTCCTACACAAACAACGAAGCAAAGAAAGAGAGGAACGTGCTTGCGCACCCAAACCCTATCTACCTAAGTATGTATGTAAGCATCCAACTCCAAACCCAAGCCCAATGCCTGATGCACCCGACCCTAACCCCAAACCTAAACGCCTCACTCGTCCCATCCTCCCTCATCCTTTCACATCCCCCTCAATTTCCCATCCCCTCAACTCTTCCCCTTAGCACAGCACACAGCTCACAGCCCCCTCGGCGGCCCCCCATGATACGGATCCCTGGGCCAAGCCGGCTCGCCGCTCTTGGTGCCCTGGGGCGGGGGAGGCGGCTTGGAGAGGACGGGGCGGGTGGGCGTGGGACGGGGGACCCAGAGCGTTTGCTTGGCCTTCTTCTTGTTGCTGCTGATGATGGTTGTTGTGATGGTGGGGTACCGTGGGTAGGGGTGGAAGGGGAGCGTCGTCTTTGTTGTCTTTGTGGTTGTGATGGCCATTTTGATGGTTGTGGTGGTGGTGGTTGTTGGTGGTTGGTTGTTGTGTGGTGGTCGTCTGTATGCACGCACTGACTAGGTATGCGTTCGCGGCGGCGGTATGTATGTATATATGTAGGTGTTTGACGACAACAAAAGGCTGAAGTGTCGTAGGTAGGGATGTATCTGTGTATGTCCGTCCGCTCAATAGAGTTGAAAGTTGAAGAATCGTAGGTAGGTAGGTAGGTAGGTAGGTAGGTAGGTAGGTAGGTAGGTAGATAGGTAGATAGGTAGATAGATAGGTAAACAATATGAACAGCGAAGTCGTCTGTCCGTCTGTCTGATTTGTATGTTCTGTATGTTGTATGTTCTGTCTCTGCCCTCTCCCTTCCCGCGCACACCCGCCCTTCTTATACCCTTCCTCCCTCCCTCCCTCCCTCACCTCACACACCAACAAGGCAAGGCAAGGCAGACAGCAGCCCCCACACGGCGGCTCCCGCGCGCGCGCCTGTGCGCTATTCTTACTGCTCCTGCCGGCTTGGCGGGTCCGGCGCAGTGGGCAGAGCAGCGGCGCATAAGGCAGCGGCAGAGCATAAGGCTCTGAGTCTGACTACCTACACAGCACAGCACGGCGCGGCACGAGGTAAGCACAGGCGCCGCGACCCGCCCGTCGTTAGCGCCGTGGATAGTTAGTGCGTGGCTGGGTGCGGCAGCGGCACTTGCGGCACTTGCCTACCTGGGTAGGTTGGCGTAGCACAGTGCGCGCCGCCGGAGGGGCTTTCTGCCTAGCCTAGGTAGCTACCTAGGCGTTTGCGGTTGTGTCAGTGACGGCGGAGGCGGAGGCGGAGGCGGGGGCGGAGCTAGGTAGAGGCACCAGAGGCAGCAGGAGCAGCAGGAGCAGCGGCGCGACGTCGTGCAGAGCAGGGCGCGGTAGTCAGTCAGTCAGGTAGGCAGACACTGCGCGCCGCGCGCATCAGGCTGAAAATCCCAGGCGCGCGGGCGTTCGGGCGCGCGCGCTTACTGGTGGATATTATGGGGTGTTGCTATGTATGTGTGTGTGTGTGTGTGTATATTTACGTACGTGGGTAGGGAGCTGAGCGCGCGGGTATGGCTGGATTTGCGGATGGATGGGTGAGGTGGTGGTGGTGGTGGTGTAAGCAAGCCATCACGGGCAGCGACCAATCAGGTCCGCGTATGTATGTGGGGCGGGGCGATGTGATGCGATGTGATTGATGATCGATGTTCAGGCCGAGATACGGATTAGGTATGTGTATGTGGGTGTGTGTAAGCGACTGCGGCTAAGTTTGTAGACATCCACGCTGAGACAAGACAAGACGGAGACAAGACGGTGCGAAGCTAGGTTGGTGTTCATTATTGCTGTGGCCGATGCCTGCTGCTGCTGTTGTTGTGTGAAGAGGGCGCGTTTCAGCGCGCAACAGCCGCGCAGCAGCAGCAAGGCGATAGTAGAAGATAGATAGTAGACGGTAGGTTTCCGCACCAAGCGGCGGCAACGCGGCGACGCCGTCAGCGGCAGCGGCAGTGGCAGCAGCGGGCGCGCGCGCATACCGGTCGTGCTCGTGGAGGTGATGATCGTGGTGGTGGTAGACGCGGCACCCAGCTGAGCGCTGCTGCCCCGCACCCGCACCCGCAGTCGCGTCGACGACGACCATGCCACCACTACAAGCTGGCGCCACCGCAGCCGCCGACAGCGACAGCGACAGCAGCAGCGACGATCGAACACCGCGGCGTTTCGCGCACTGCTACAGCCGCCAGTGCCTTTGCCGTCACTGCCTCTACCACTGCCGCCGCCGCAGCTCGACCCGCGCGCGTGCATAATAAATAGCTAGGGCGCTTAAGAATGAAGAACGGCGCTTCGTGCTCGCGCACAGGCCGCCTCAACAACAACTAAGGTAACAACTAAGGTAGGTAGATAGAAGAGAGGTAGGTGGGTAGGAGCGCGGAAATAACACGAAGAAGGGCGGCGCGGGCTCAGAAGAGGTCGCGCGGCCAGGCGTCCTTGGGTTTTGGCTGCGGCCCGTAGGGCACTTCGCTGGGCTTGACGACGACGATGTTGGTGGTTGTGGGGGCGGCCATGGTAGGTAACCTTGGGTAAGGTACTGTAGGTAGGTCCACAAAAGTGCCTGGATGGTTGGATGGGTGGATGGATGGATGGTTGCTGCTGCTCTCCCCAACATGTCAGCCAATCGTGTCGCGGATCGCCTCGCTTACCGGGCAGGGAATGGCGAACCGATGATCTTGTTCGTGCGCTGGAGACGGAACGCGGGTTGGAGGGTTGATATGCTCGGGAGTCGGGAGCGCGCGAGCTCGGTCGGTCGGTCGGTCTGTTGGTCGGGATGCGGACGGATGCTTGCTGCTGATGATGCTGCTGATATGCTGATATGCTGATGTTTGCTGATCGGGATGCCGAGAATTAGAGGCGGCTGTGGCGGCGACGACGGCGGGCGGACGGGAAGTTGTTTTGTTTTGTTTTGCTTTGCTTTTGCTTTCTTATTGCTTTGCTCTGCTTTGCTTTGCTTTGCCGTTTCTTGCTTGTTTGATTGCTTGCTTGCTTTGCTGCTGCCGTGGACAAGACAACACCCACCAACAAACCACGGGCTCCAAGACTATTATACCGTGCGCCCCCCTTGCCGGGCGCGACGACAAGGCAGCCGGCGCAGAAAAAGACGGTCGCTCTCGGGGCGTCGTCGCCGGTGAGGCCTGACCGTCGCGTGTTGACCGGTCACCGGTCACAGATCGACTGACTCGCCGTGCGCCGTAGGGCGACGGCTCACCGGTTCGCGGGGGCTTCTAGCTGCGTTCCTTTCTCTCAGCCTCCACATGCGACACGAGAATCATATTGGCTTGGGCCTGATCTGTCGCGTGACGCTGCTCTCCCTTTCGTTGAAACAAACATTCGCTGATCTTGCGCTTCCTTGTTGATCCCCTTAGACTGATGGGGCCAGCTGGCTCTTTCGACCAATTCCTCCCGACGGACGGGACTGACTGACTGACTCTCGAGACTGACTCTCCCAGAACGCAGAACGTCATTGGCGGCTCACCGCATAAAAGCCCGTAAAACCAACCAACAAGCTTCCATACAAGCCAAGCAAACACGCATCCCGAAAAAAATGAAAACCACCACGACCACCCTGGCGCCCATCCCCATCCACGCGTATCGTCACTGTCACTCACATGGCCCCGCGCGCTGCAGTGCGGCTGCGAGAACACGTAGAGCGCGGATCAAGTCGCTAAGCCCAGCCCTCCCGTCCGGTCCGCACAACCAACAACCAACATTCTACTACTACGTACTACGTAGGCACGTCCGAGAAATTTTCATCGTCCACGTCCTCGCTTGAGATCTTCGCCGCGTAGCTAAGCTAGCTTGCCATGTTGCAGTTGCATGCATGCAGAGGGCTGCGAGGCTGTCGCCGCGGCAACGGCTACGGCTACGCCTCCTGTCCCTGTCCCTGGCCAGGGGCGTGGTATTGTATTGTTGGCTTTCTTGGCTTGGCTGGGTTGGAGGCTGTGTCGACGCCTTACCACTTGCGCGCTCCTGCTGGCTGGTCTGTGATGCCATGCTATGGTATGGGCGATACAATAGAATACAGCAGCAACCTTCGCGTTCACACGCGCGCACGTTGTGGTGGTTATGGTGGTGTTGGTTTTGGTGTTGGCGCAGTGACCACCAGGGCCTAGGTCCACCAATCAGCCAACCAACCAGCGCGTCCGCGTCCGCGTCACAGCAATCCGCGAAGATATGCAAGACGCACTCGCAACGGCAACGACCAGCCAGACAGACTTACCACGTACGTAGTAGGCAATTACCTAGGCAGAGCTAGTTCGTCGCCAACAAAAAAGCCGGGGCGACGGCAAGACTCCCTCTCTCCACACTGTATTGTACATCCGTACCCGCTGCTACTAACTTGCTGCAGTCTAAAGTCGGCTGGCGCCCGGCTACCGACGGATGGATTACCACGTACGTACGGCTTGCAGATGACAGATGCCTGATAGCGTAAGGTCTGTACTATACGTGGTGTACGTAGTATACCGGTACCGGCACGCTGCACCGGTCAGCCACACGCAAGCAGCTGCTAACCCACTAAGCACTCACCACTCACCAGCTAACCAACTAAGCAACTAATCATAGCATCCGCTATCGTATGTGCCGGTGAGTTTTCTTACCGGTGTACTGTGCAGCGGCAGCAGCTTCTGCGCATCACGTCAACGCGTCCCGGTTCGCGGCGTGCGTCTGTTATACATGCGAGGGTCATATTGCACAGAGGCTAGAAGCTGCTGCTTGTTGAGGCTCCACTTTAGGGCGGTGTGATAACCGCTAGCTGCAGATGCTACAGATACTGTGGATATCGCAGATATTGAGGGGCGGGTGTGCGGGGTTGGTTTTGGTGGTGTTTGGTGGTGGTGGTGATGGTGTTTTTGCACCATTTTTTGTCCTTCACGACTAATATTGGTCGCTCTTATATCGATAGTTAGTAGATAAGAAAATGGCGCAGTGCGGGATATTCCGCCCGGGGCGTGGGTGCGGTGGGTTTATCTTTTTGTCGCGACCGTCTCAGAACCTTTTTTTTTTTTTTTTTTTTTTTTTTTTTTTTTTTTTTGTTTTTTTTTTTTGGGAGGGGGCTTGATGTTGCTTCGTCATGAATTTGGTTTCTAGGCAGTACTCTTTGACGCTGGTGTAGCTGCTTCTATTATTCATTTATGACCAAGTCGTTAAAGACGTTGTTTTGGTCTTTCTTTGAAGTGCTTACGCTTGTATAGGGCTCCAGCCAGCAGTTCTCTCGCCCTTATTAAGACTGTCATTATTTGCACCGCCAATGTCCGAAGAGCCAGCTTCAATTGGTTATCGAAAGTTACTTGCCAGGCTGATTTGAAGCCGAATGCAGCCACGCTGAGCCCGGAACACACATATACTCGATCGGTCTTGGGCAGACGCTTTCAATGAAGATGGAGAAAACCCATGTTGGAGATGGAGTTCTATTAGAGGTTGGTTATGGTAGACGCTAAGCTCCGCGCTACTTGGATGATTCTAGACCCATCTCCGCGAGCGATTGGACGACGTACAAACAAGCACGTGCGGACTCCGCACACAAAAGCGCTCATGGTATGTACCTTACTCTCCAAGTCACATCAATCATCACCAACCACTCACCCGCTAACAAAATCACACGCTCAGATGACCGGCAGGCCGACCCAGCGCACCCGAGCAGAGCCTCAAGCCCCCCGCCTCACTTTCCCTTCCCAATCCGCTCGCCGCGGCACGACGTGACATGCACCCCACGCCTCACTCTTTCCCTACCAACCACGACGTATGTCCGGAGGCCGCCAGGCAGACCGGCCAGCCAGCCAGCCACACCCGCACTACAACCCCCTCCGTTTCTCTGACCGCTTCTGACCTGCATCGCGATGCCTAGCCACGCAGCCTGGCAGCCTAGCAACCTAGCAGCCTAGCAGCTAAGCAGGCAGCCAGCCTGCAACGCTGGCCCGAAGCGGGCAACGGGCAGTGCCATGCGCAAGGTCGTTTGCCTGCTTCTTCCACCTCTCCGCCAGGCTGAAAGAGGCACATACATAGGTCGGTTGGCTGACTGGCGCTATGGTATATTTACATACATTCATACGCACACATGTATGTGTGTATCCCTGCCTTACGACAAGTCATCCTGCGCGGCCTCGCGTTCGTGGCCGTCGAGGCGCCGAGGGCCCGACGCAGCTGCACTGGATTGCTGAGGTGCGCGCCGAACCGCCCGCTGCGCTGCACTGCACTGCGTTGCCGACCGCTGTTGCTGCTGCTGCTGCTGCATGAAGCCTTGTCGCTTCGCCCTTTCCGCGATGGTCGCGTCGGGCCTGGGCTGCGTGGCCAACCACGCCAACGCCAATGGCCTGCGCCGAGACCCTTGTCGGGCGAGCGAGCGCGCGTGCATGACGGAGGGAGCTGAGATGACCCTGGCTTCTTCGGCGCGCGTGCTCATCTCGACTCTGGACGTCTTCCCCCCAGCATCGGTAGAAGCGTCGGCGTCGGCCGCTGGTATATTGCCGCTGAGATCCATTCTACCTACGCAAGCTGAACGCGTCCTTGGCCAACTGCGTTCGGATCTTCAGTCTCTCCGTGCTGACTCTTGACATGTTCGGCTGTGTGCGTGGAAAGCACGTCAACCGCTGAGCTGGCTTGCTTTGATGGCCAGATTGCCTTCATCACAAAAATAAACATCGGTTAAGAGACGAACCGTCGCAAGGTTCAGCAAAAGGAATGATTTGCACAATCTTGCGGCTCTTGCCAGACATGGTGCTCCTTATCAGTTGTGGGTTACGTCTATTCTCTTTTCGGGCTAATTTGATAAGTAGCAAATGATAGAGGACAATTAGGCCACAAATATGCGGCTCTATACCAGCCAAGGACCACCCTACCGGAAGAACGACGGAATGGCGATATGAACTGCAGAACGTGTGCAAAGGGCGGCTGCCGAAGGGCCACTACCGAAGCGTACAGCATCACATGCGAACCACGATCCTACCTGATGGGGATTGGCAAACTACACGCGTCATGCAGTAGGTCATTCGCCCTCTCAAGCGCCCCCAAGCGCCCTCAAGCGCCCTCCAAGTTATGGCCTGCGATCGTTCACCGTTCGTCCGGCCCAAGCCTATGGGTTTGCTTCCAAGGATGCGGCAAGGGCGGTTCCGCCCATACCACACGATTATAGCCGTTGAGCTTGTCTCACCGGTCTAGTATCCTAGCCACGTAGGAGCCGGTAAACAACCACGCCAAGATTGAGGCTCAAAAGGCGGGGTATGGGCTTGCAGACCTTGCGGGAGACGGCGTCCATGCCACCCGCTGCAAGGGTCAATTTCAACTTTACTCCGAGCCGCATGTCCCTTCACTGGGAACGTATGACTAGAAACTAGCGAAACATCAATCAACCGAAACTTTCAAGAGCTAGGGAAAGTCGCTGTAAATTCTTGAATATTATTCCAGTGTCTTGCTTTACCAGTTTACGCGGCTCATTCCATGCACGACGCGTCGTCTCTGCCGGTTCAAAGCGGTTCTATCCCCATGCACATCACCTCTGCCCTAATTCCGGGTATTATTCGCCCTCTCGACGCAATTGCAGCAAAAAAGACCGTGGTAATCAGGGTAGGCTGACCGCATCGCCCTTTGGTTCCGCATGTCGCCCTGCACATCTGAAACGCCTCTCTGTGTCCCACGGCCACGGACCTGACCATGGGACTGCGGTGAAAGAGAGGACGCGACAACCGCGTCCCGGAACTTGCAGTTAGTAGCAGTGCTCGCCCTCCACCTCGGTATTTCGGTCTCGTGGACTGCATATTGGAAGCTTGTAAGTGGATGTCCACGTAAACCATGAAACAGCGAGACAGGCAGACACACATTAATCAGCGGTCTTTTCTAAGCGACGTTGGACAACAAGCTTCGTTCCCTCTGAGAGGGCGTTCTATTTGTCAGGACTGGGTCCGCAGAGCTTTCTTGATAGGTTGGTTGGTGTGAGAGTGCCAGTCCTGTGAGGAACTCAGCACTATTAGCATGTCCATATATGGGTCGCATAAATACCCAGAGGTTTCATTTGAAGACGAACAAACACCCCTCGCCAGTTTCTGAAGACCTTCCCTTTTCGGACCCTGGATGTACGGAGAACGAACGCACTATACGCCACCACTGAGATAATCTTCTTCTTTAATCTTCGAACAAATTCTCAAAGTCCGCTTGCTTCGTAATAGCCAATTGCTCATAATGTCAGCAAACTCCGCTCAAGCCAGGATCAACGTAAGTCGGATAAGCAACCCGACTCCCTTTCACACACAGTGTGACTGACTTCAACCTCCGGGGTGCATCTCAACAGAGCGCGCAGGCAGGACAATGGCAAAGCGTATCTCGAGCATGGGGCTCTAGCCGAAGCGCGGAGTCCGGGGTACACGCAACCGAGGCAACTACCACCGGAAGCTACGGCGCGTCCACCCAAGGCGGAGCCAGCTACGACAAACTCCAAGCCTGGTTCGCACAAGACCAAAAGTCGGGACCATACGACGGCGTGGGTTACATCAAACGGAACAATTGAATGAGCCACGAGAGGCACAGTCAAGAGGCTCAACTCAACAATTCAAGAGGCGCACGTCGCCAAGTCATGAAGAGGGGAAAAAGAGGGGCGCTGCAGCGCGAGGCAGACCAGCTGAAGATCGCATCATGCGACCTTGTTTCTCCGTCACACGAGATCTCTTTCGTGCAACACCAATTCCGGGGACGCGAAACGTCCTTATCTCCAGAACATCCTTGCAAGATATACCCACGAGCCAGCACGAACACGTCTTCACCATATCCGTCTTTAATTCTAGATAATAGTGCAACCTCCTTCAATTCTATGTTTCAAGTCGCTCGAGGGAATTCTTGTCGCTCTGCATAGTGCATGGGCAATTCAATAGCCCTTACATCGTCTGCTGCACTTAAGTCGCCGATGGCTTGCTCGCAGCCAATGGGGCTCGGCGGCCCATGCAACTAACCACCATTCCGTCAGGCGCCCATTCTTTTTGTGAACTCTCGTTTGGCCGATCGATTCGATGGCCTTTTGCTGGGTGGTGGCTCTGCCTTAGAACCGAGTAACTGTGGCATAAAAATGACCTGGGAGCGCATACCACCTACCGCTTCTGTGGTTTCTGAAAACAGGAGTGGGGTAAGAGCCTCATTACAAAAGGGTGGCTTTTCCTTGTCCCGTTTTCCTGCCTTTCCGGTGGTCTTCTCGATGTTCGTTTTCCCCTCCAACCTCATCCTTCGACCTCACCGGCCAACCGAAATATCGCAGGACTAGCTACCCCCGGACGATGGAGCAAGTCTTGGCCTTCAACAGGGAACTTCGTGTCCTTCTCTTCCAGCTGCTCCGGTCGGGACATCGTCTAGCGATATCTTTTACCCGTTTCAAAGCGATCCTGTGCTCCCAACAAGGCTGATACTTCTTTGCAGCCCGACTTGCATGATCCTTCGATCATGAGGCCGGCCCAGCGAGGCGCTCTCAGGCAGCAGCAGCAGCTCATTCAGGCCCCCCGGGCCACGGAACCCACCACGCACCGCCACTGTTCCTTCCCCAGATGGCTGTGCAATAAGGCAAACGCCTCAGTGGCACACGCCATGGACCACCACACACTTCCAGGGGACGTCTGGATTCTCAGGTCTGAGCATTCCAGGCCATGAAAATTCGCGCACCTGCTCGACGGTCACTCTTTTCGTCATCCATCGGGACTTGACGGCGCGTGCCATAGTCCCGCATACGGCGTCTTTCCCCGAGGGCAAAGGCTTGCCTGGAGTACAGGACTATCGACAAAGGACGCGTAGGCCTCAGTCCTCCGGGTTTCTACCACCAACACCCTGGCATCGTCCCATACGACGCTGTCCTTCTAGTCCCACTCTTCCGGAAGCCCTGCGATGCCAGCGGCGTCTCGTCGTATTTAACGACACCATCGCCACTCCCCGTTTTCCGGCCACTCCTGTCATTCTGTCGGAAACGGGTACATCTTTGGCTGCTGTTCTCGCCGTCACCCCCTTCCCACAACATGTCCCTGGGTGTAAGCTCGGAACTGAAGTTTGAGATAGGCTATACCTTCCAGTCGGTACAGTGACTATTCCAGCTTGGAACTGTACTGATTGCTGACTCTAGTCTCAGCATCAAAAGCCCTCGAAGCAGTAAATCTAAACAGCTTCCCGCCGCCTCGGATCATTCGCTTGCATACCTTCCTTCGTCCCCAGGCTCTGACGACGAAGACGACGACGACGACTTCGAAAAGCCACGATACTGTCTGACCACTCGCACCCCGGTCGAACCTAAGGAGTCATCACCTTGCTGCAATCGAAATCCATCTGACCATCCTCAACCACAAACGCTGCGCTTCCCCGAGCCCGAGCATCAGTTTCCCTCTGTTGCTCCATTGCCTGAACCCCCTCGTCGACGCAGGGATAGCTTCTACCGTCACTGCAAGAAAGCAATGTCACGCTTTGTACCCACCCAGTCAAGGTCTTCGGCCTCTTCACACCCTAGGAACATGGCTCCGCACACTCAATCCTTTCCTCTCCAGCCGCGCAAACATCTCTACTCTGCCTCGAACAACCGGTCTTTCTTCCATCCGTTTGGTGCGTTCGCCAAAGGTCCCAAGGATACCGTACCAGGATATGTGGAGATGCCTCAGGATCCGCTCGCACCTACCCCTGCTCAGGCAGCTGCGCTCCATCATGAAAGGAAGCGCCATGCAGAGCTTGAAGGCTGTTACAACTCGGTCCACGAAATGCCCCAGCCGACGCCGCCTCCGATGCCTACTGAGATGCCCGGCGACTTTCCTCTTGGCCATGTTTTGCCGGAGTATTCGATGCAGAGTTTCAATCCGTCTGAGGATCCGTGGACCCCGGAGCGACAGGCCTTTGCACCTGGAAGGAGTAATGTCTCAGTAAACAATGACGGCTTCAACCGCTTTTATGAAAACCAGGAGGCAATCTATTCACTAGACGATGTCCACCAACCGCCATTCACGCCTTGCCACAACCAATCGGCTTTCGAGGACCACAGCCTGGCCATGACCACCGCAAACAACGGCATGGACGAACTGTCGTCTCCATGGAACAGCACTAACCCACTCAACAACCCACAGCAGCGCCTACAAGCCCATCCAAACGAACAACTCCACCCAGCGCCCATCATCTACAATGTCCTCTCCCCCAACACCAGCACCGGCTACACCACGCACTCCGCCCAGCCAGCCTCAGCCCCAGCACCACCCCACCTCAGCAGCAGCCACCACACCCTACGCACCGGCTCCCCCCGCCCCCAAATGCGCATCGATACGTCCGTCTCGAGCATGCCACCCGCCTACCCAGCGCAATACTCCAGCAGCACCGCGACGTCCTCCAGCACAAACAGCAGTTCGCGCCGCAGCGGCGGCACCAGCAGCAGCGGCGCCTACTCCAGCGGCGCTTACTCCAGCGGCGGCTCCTCCGCCGTCCCGCCCTTCTTCCCCCGCCGCGCAAGCGCCATCCCCAGCACCCCGACGTCGTCGATCCCTTCGTCTGGGACGTCGGGCTGCCCGTCGCACTGGCGCTTCCCTGATGATGCGTCTGCGATTTCTGCTACGCACCGCAGCTTTCTGGGCGACGAGTTCGCGTTTTCTCCGTTTGGGGAGTGCGGGAAGGTGTATGTCCTCCTTTGATGCTTTATGCACACCTCTTTTGTCTGGCTGGCTGATTGACACACATAAGCAGGTTCCCGCTATTCGGCAGCCCCCTTAGCCCTTGGTCTGGGAGCGGCAGCGGCAGTACTGGCGCCCCGGACGCTTACGCCGCCACCACGGGTGCTGCCGGCCCTGGGAATTTCCACCAGGCTGGCTTGGATGCGGAGGCGTTGCCCGCGCCGTACAACGTCAATGTCGTGGTCTCGCCTGCGTCGCCTACGGACTGCAGGACTGAGGCCTCGCAACCGGCTTCCTCGCAACAACAACAACAACAACACTGCGCGGTCCCATCACCACCACCACCACTACAGCAACAACAGCACCAGCAGCACCAGCAGCAGCAACAACTCTACCCCCTGCCTCTGCAGCCCACAAAGCCTCCCTACGCCAGCGCCACCAGCGCCGCCAGCAGCCCACAGCACGTCCCCCTCCCTAAGAACGTCTGCCCAGACTGCAAGATGCGCTTCAAGTCGAAAACGCGCGACCTGGTGGGCAACATCAAGCGGCACCAGAAGACGGCGTGTCCGGCGCGGCCGGCTGCGGCTGTGTATCCGTGCTCGTATAGGGGGTGCGTCAAGACTTACAATCGGAGTGATGCGCGCAAGTCGCATGAGCGGGAGAAACATCGTGAGGGGTTGGGGGCGGAGGGGGAGTGAGGTGTTTTAGTGGATGAGTGGGTGATTGAGTGAATGAGTGAGTGGTTTATGTGGGAGGAAGGGTTGGTTTCTTTTTATTTTTATTTTTCTTCTTTTTCTTTAATTCCTTTTCCCCCATATTCTGCTAATGCGGGTTCTGATTTCTTTTCTTTTATTTTATTTTCCTTTCCTTTCCTTTCTTCTTTCTTAATGCTTGTATACCCTTCCTGTACACCCTTCAGCCACTTTCTTGTTTCTTTACTTAAGAAGAGGAGGACAAATCATGTAATAACGACGACGACGAAAGGCGCGGAGAAAGAGGCCGGTTCTCTTTTCCGCCTACGACGCTGGGTAGGTATGATAGACGCGTTTCCTTCTTTTCTTCTTAAATCACGGAACCGGCACGCTATCACTGAGGTAGCTCCACCCAATGAATATTTATCACTGAAATACGCTACGTCTCTAATACTGACGCGCGCGACGCGAAGCTGAAGACGCATCGCAACATCTACGCTGTAGTACCCAGCTAATACATCTGTCTACTTTCCTATCATCTTTACCTCTCCTCTCTCTCCCTCCCTCCCGCCCTCCCTACTCCTTTCGCAGGCATAGTTAGGTACTTGAATCATACATCACGTGGAGTAATAAATTATCTTGCGCCTAGGTGCGTAGTAGGTACACGACGCCACACAGTCCTCAGATGTCCAGACCAAGCCTGCGCGTGCATACATACTATCTTTTACCTTACCGATTGGCGGAAGGCAGTCTGACATCATCCCCGCCTACGACTCGTCACTTGGAATATGCGCCGAGCCGCCTGACGTTCACAGCCACGATATAACATATCCCAGAGCGCGGATCAGCATCGATGCACCGTGATGGATTATTGGCCGTACAGCAACCAATCAGCCGAGCTGGAGACAAACATACTAGCCCGCTTCCTTCCAGCCTGGTGCGGCTCTTATAGCAGGCCGGAACAGTCGGACTGTTGATTTCGTGCTTTTCTCAGGCTAAACGGACCCATGACATCGCCTCACTTTTCATGCAGCAGCAGTGCAACCTTGACCGCGCCTTTTCCGTCCCCCAACATACCCCACACCCTCGTGCGCCACAGCGGACTGGACTACTGTCTTGGTTTTCTGCATGCAAATTTGTGATTTCGAGACACAGAATATCTTCAGGTCATTTTATTAAAGGGACTGAGCTGGAACAATGTTCTAGACAGGCATAAAAATGATAAGCATCTTGCGACTCGTACCTGACATGGATGCTGTCGATCCGCAAGCTGATTAGGAATAAAACTGTTGGTTGACAAGAACAATTAATCAAAAAAAAAAAA